CAAACACTGTTCTGTATGTTTGCGGTACCGATGGAGCCGCGTTGTCGACGTAACGTTTTTACCTGTTGGGTGTCTGGGGTCTAACGCTGCTTTCTCCACCCGTGTGTGTGTTTATTTATTTATTTATTTTGTCCTCCTCTCTGGTCCTCGGTCCTCCAGGGTCACAGAAACGTGACCTTGTCCCTCCATGCGTCTAATGCATCATTTAAGCGCCTAACTAACGATTTGGCTTAAGCAAAGAAAACAGGAAATTCATTCAAACCAGAGCTCCAATTGTTTTATAATGTACAATGAAACGGAGTGTTAAGTGAAGCGAGCTTGTCAACACAAACTGCAAACCGCGTGTCGTTTTCACACTGTCGGCTAAATAATAAACTATAAAACAAAAGATTGGGAGGCCATGATCCACGCATGATGTTTGAAATGATGCCTCTTAATTGAATCATTTTGGCCGCCATCTAAATGGCACAATGGTCACGATTAATCCCCAAAGGAGAACAAAGGCAACGCGAGACAACCCGTTGTCATCTAGGCAAATATTTAACCCAGTGTGTGTGTGTGTGTTGTGAAGAAGACAGTCATTATCGGTGGGTTCCTCCAGGGGACGGACATTAATGCCGAAGTCTGGGGTCAGGTGTGTTTTCAGTGGCCTTGAAGACCCGCCGTCGTCCGTGAACCGAGATAAGGGGGGTGAACCTCATCCACCTCAGCGTCTCTTCATGGAGGTTGTAGGCAGGACGTAGTGTGCTGTTGCTTCTGTTGCAGGTTGAGACACAAATTTGACTTCTTGAGAAAAAACAAAACAAAAAAATCACTTTATCAAAGTCAACAAGGTTGCATAGTAATTAAATGTGGGGGGAAGGGGGGGGCACCGTGGACCTGTTCTGGACTGGGAATAAAACTGCTTACGATGGCTTTCAACGTTGCAGCCCCCCGAGAGAAACTGTGTAGTTGTGTGCACTCTAATGTCATTGAGATCAACAACTTCATACATGCCTATGAGAGACCTTTGTTCACCGCGGTCTGTTAATTAACCGGGAGAGGGGGGGAGGCCTCGGCCTCATCTCAAACCCCATTTCCTGTCAAACGTGTGTGTTGTGATGTTGATGAGGCTCCATCATGGTGCAGCCAGGGGGTCCTCACATACTATGCCGGCCCTGAGGGCCGCTGAATGGGATTTAGCACAGGATGACGAGGGGGGAGAGTAGGTAGCCAGAAAACGTGTGCGCACACACACACACACACACACATGTTTGGGCCTGCACCGTGGCTCCCATTCTCATTTACGGATTTACAGTGCTGCTGACGCCCCCATTGATGCTACTGTTTAAGTGGTGGCAGCTGTGCATTCTTCATTCCCTCTTATCGCCGTACTGCAGAACGTAACCCCACTGTTACTGACTGCAAGTATTTATGAATCCGTACTCTTTATTTTAAGAAATGCAGAAAATGGACCAGGAAGGAGTTTGACGGAGCGGGTGCAGCAGTGTGTAGACATCTTCTGGCTCAGTCCGTCCTCGACTCGGCCTCTTTTCAGCCCCGTGGTGGCTGCTGTGGTGTGGCTTCGGTGTGCTCAGACTGCCTGCGCTCCCGTCTGTGGGTTTTTTTTCGGGGGGGGGGGCGCTATTGACTGTTTCATTTGAATCCTGAAATAGGTTCGGAGGCCAGGCTTGGAGAAAAGCGATCCTCCTCGCTGAAGCTGCTCTTTTTCCAAAATAGCGGAGTTCATTCCGTCCGGTCTTGTTGGCCGCGATTAGCAGCGATCACTTCTTGCTATTGATGTTTTACTGCAGGGAGCCGCTGTCTGAAATGTGATTGATTTATTCTCTGACCCCTCAGGTGTTAAAGTTCAGTCAGAATTCTTTCTCCTTGGTGCTCATATCCTTATCGTACACACCGGCTGTTTCACAGTTTAAAGTAAACAGTAGTAATATATTGGCACCTTGGTTTGTGTGTCCTGCGCTATAGACGGTGGCATCCTACATGGCAATAAAGTCATGTAGGATGCCGGCTCGAGCAGCGCAGCTCAAGCAGCCGTTGCGCAACATTGTGTTCCAGAGAAAGTACTGAAACGGTTTTCTCCAGCGGAGGGATGTTGTGCAGTGTTGCCCCGAGTGATTCCGGGATTCATTTGAGCCAGGTCCTCGTAACGGAGCGGGCTTCATGTACCCGCCGGAGTCTATTTGGCGATCTTCAAGCGCACATACGGCGGCTGACCTGTGCGCCCGCGTGAGGCCAAGCAGATGTACGTCTGACGGGTTGCGTGGGCACACGAGGGATTGCGGGACACACGCGCGTCCTGTCTGGTCCACCAGACCGCAGCGCAGCTGTTGTGACCAGCTGGGTCGGCCCTGGGAACAAGGAGGGGGCACAACTGTAGAGATGCGTGTTAAAACGTGTTAGTTCGGGTACAGGGAGGGAAGGCAGCAGAGGGGGGGCGGCGCAGAAAAGGGATAAGAGAGTATGTCTAGCAGACGGGAGTTGAGCAGCTGTGAGGTCAGTCACTCCGACTGTACGACCCCGTTTCCTCATTGAAACATGTTGGTCTTCCTGCTTCAAACTCTGGCCTGGAGTCATTTCGCCTAACCGGGTCTCAGAGGATGGCGAGTCCGTGTTCCAGACGGGTCCCGTTGGTCCCGGGCAGGGTGGGGCTCCCCCCCCCCCCCCCCCCGGCTCAGAGCAAGGCGCCCGGCCCTTCACCCACTGCCCCTCCACCCCTGCTTTCTAGCCCGCCCTGATCTGGTGAGGAGGAGAGAGAGAGTGAGAGAGAGACGTATCTGCTGCCTTTTATGGCAAAGACTGGCCTGAGAAAACTTCACCAAGAACACAAAAAGGTGTGTGTGTGTGTGTGTGTGTGTGTGTGTGTGTGTGTGTGTGTGTGTGTGTGTGTGTGTGTGTGTGTGTGTGTGTGTGTGAGACTGTACGTATGAGGGGAGCAGCGCTGGCACAGAGGAAGTTTTCTTTATCCTAAAATAAACCAATGGCTCCAGAATTTCACCTCCCCCTTACCACACCAATGTTTACGATAGGTGGAGGAGGCGTTTAATGGAAAACGATCTAATTTCATTTCTAAGGAAACGGAATGTTTTCAACAGGAGGGGAAAGAGGGGGAGGTAGAAGAACTGATTTGACCCCTTTTTTTTTTCAGAAGGGCTTAGCAGAGCTGGAGGTGTCTGGATGAAGCTCCATCCTCTGGTAAAGCTCTCTCACATGACGGAACGCGTAGCTCACGGCGCATTACAGACCACATGAATGTGTCCGTACCCGCGTGAGCAGAACGAGGTTTTGTGTGTTGTGAGGGGGAGAAGGAAGATCGGGAGAAATGAGACCAGTAATACACGCCTGGAAAGAAACCTTTAGTGTTTAATTCAGATTTGAGTCGGAGTAAAGGTCGCGGAGTGAGGAAATGGGAAACTGATGGTACGGGATAATAGTTGGGAACAGAATGGAAAGGGCAGACAGAGATGAACGGATAAGCATGAAAATACGGCGCCTGAAGCCTTTGACCCTGAACAATGGGACGGTCGGGCCGCTGAGGCTGCAGCCGCGACGAAGGAACGCAAAGAATAAATAAATAAAAACGAAGAACAGTGCAAGAGGAGAAGAGGTGAAACAGACAGTGGCCATTAATAATTAGCCAGCAATGTAATCTGCGGTGTCCTTTTTTTTTTTTTTTTTTTCTCAATGAGGCCGAAACGTGCTTCACAGCGAGAACCGAATACCCCGGTGAATCATTACCGAGCCAATGAGAACCAGCGCGGTGTCGCGTGTGTCTGCACAACCGTCGGCCCCCTTCAGATCACGCCGGTTCCCACAGCGGAACGAGACGACGGCGCACATACAGAGGGGGGGAAACTTAAACATTTACAAAGTAAACGGTTGCTGGCTCCGAGTGCGTCCACATGTTGACATGCCTTCCCTTGTTTGCTGAGGTGGAAAACGCTTTGGGGGGGGCTGAGGCCTCGTGCTCCACAGCTCTTGTCATGTTTCAGCTGTTCTCCCTCCTCTCACCCATTCCCTTCCCTCGCAGCCTCCCCCCTTCTGTCCTCTGTGTCACCCACCTTGAAGCCATTTCTCACAGCTGAATGTGCACTGGCCGTCGCTCCTTTCCAGGAAAGAGGAGCCCAAATGGAAAGTGAGAAGGCTTTTTGTGCTCTGTTCTCGGACCGGGAGTCTTCTGGGAGTGTGACCGGGAAGGAAATGGAGGGGGGGGGGGGAAGTGAGCGAGCGCCAAGAACACATTGCTCCACCATTGTATTTACACAGAGGGTGTTGCAGAGAGGGGCGGTGGGAACTGGAGATTGAGGGAGGGGGTCCGCAAGACGACGGGCGGAAATGACGTTCGACAAAAGCGCAAAAAAAAAAATTCCGGGAGCAAAACTGAAACTCCTTCGACAGCCAGGCCTCTACTACTGTCTCACTTACGTATCAACGCGTTCAACCTTTGACCCCAGATTGCACTGGTGCAGACAGAGAAGGGGAGGGGGTTACAGCCCTGGAAGTGCAGGAAGTGTGTGATTTGACATCCCCGTGCTAAAACTGGCAGTGGAGGTTCAAGTCGCCGGCGAGGGACGTCTGTGTAGAAGCTATAGACCTATGGTCAGAGGTCAGGGGTCAGGCCCAGACACTGAGCTCCTACTTCGTTTGGTCTCTTTAGGGTGCTGCAAGTCGTTGCTTGGGGGGCAGGAAGTTAAGCGACTCCGTCGTCATCGCACAGTTGATTCCCAGTGCATTTTAAGCGTTTGACCTTCGCGGGCGTCCCGTTTCGAGTTTTTTTTTTTTTTTTTTTTTTTTTTTTTACTGCTGAACCAACATGTGCTTGTTATTACTCTGCGTTCAGCGTTGGCACAGCAGTCAAGCTACGCGAATGTCGTGGTTAGCTTCTATACAGTGAAGTCACGTAGAAACCCTCTGTTGAGAACTTCTGCTTCCTTAATCTGTTATTGCCCTTTACAGCTCTTTGACCTGTCCTCCTCCTTCTTTTTTTTTTCCTCCTGCAGGAAGTCAAAGACGAAGCCAAATGGAAAGAAGCCCCCGCCTGAAGAGAAGAAGCAGTACCTGGAACTCGAGTACACAAAAATCCGTGTGGTGGATTTTGACCTCAAGGAGCTGGTGGTGCTGCCCAGAGAGATAGACCTCAACGAATGGCTGGCCAGCAACAGTGAGTACCTGCAGCACGGGACAAAGACAGCCGTCCTCCAGGCAGAGCTGAGGACGGTATCAGAGAACGCAAACCGCTGCTGTCGTTAGGAAGCCTGGTTTTCATATGATATATATACACGTTTCGAGCGAGCCGAGCCCCTGATAGGATCCAGACCCGGCGCAGCGTTTGGCTCCTTCCCAACGACACCGCACGCCGCTACTTTAAACACCGTAGTTTACTGCCGGCCTTCATTGCAGTGTTTTAACTCTTTAAAATTGATGCTTGTCATTAGGAGCGTGGTCTCTGGGGTTCTGTGAGCTCGCCTGATGGATGGAGGAGGTCTCTGTTGTGGCACTATTTTCCCCCGTCGCCCTGAACTTGTTTCGGTTACGCATCCAAACCAGACCAGCGAGGAAAGGAAAAATTCTTTCCCATTTACTTTAGGCTGATAAAACGTTATAGAAAACAGATGCGGCGTGTTTTCACCGGTTAATGTGTATACAGACATAAAAAGTCTGAGCAGGGTTTTTATTAAATAGCTTAACCAAATCATTAATCACTGGAACACCCCCCTCCCCCCCCCCCCCCTCTGCACTCTGCACAGAAGCACAATTATTATATACAATTATTACTAAAAGATAATCTAATCTAATCCTTTTTGTTTGTGCAGTTTAGCAGGTTGTGTAGGACTTTCCTTTGAAAGCAGAAATACCGGTTAAATAGTTCACACTCCTCCCATCATCTCCATGTCTGTGACGCTCACACGCTGTACACTGCATTACAGTGTGTGTGTGTGTGTGTGTCTGTGCGCGCGCGCGTGCGTGCGCCCGTTTCTCCAACGGAGAAAGTGTCCTCTTAGCCCCATCCTTCAGGCATATAAACATATTTGGTTGTATAAATGTATGACACGTGTCTGAAATCAGTCTTCTTTTTGCCACAGCGACAACATTCTTCAATCTTATCAACCTGCAGTACAGCACTATCTCAGAGTTCTGCACCGGGGACACCTGTCAAGCCATGAATGCCTGCAACACGTGAGTTCCCCCCCCTCCCCTTTTTGTTTGGTTTATTCATCACTCACATGCAGAGGCCCACTGGTTTATTTATCATGAATTGGTTAATTCATCGATGGATGCTTCAACCAGTCAGCGAGGGACGACTCAGGAGGCTTCAGCAGTTTGAGTATATTATTACCATGATGAGACACACACAGCAACACTGAACCTTCTCATTGATGACATCATTTAGTGTAGAAGATGATTTGATATTTTTTGAGTTGTGAGCCCAGAGGTCAAGGATTTATGTACAAACATGGAGTAGATTCATTCAGACACATTCATTGCGGCTGCGTTACGAATACATCTGACCAATGAGCAGTGAGAGCCTGAGGACGTGCTGGATGCACACGTGGTGTAGCTCCTCCTTTCATCGCCTGCGGTCAAACCGGTGTTTCTTGCTGCTACCCGATCTCTGCTAAAGTCATTATATCAACATCACACACACAATGATTGACCGAGGGGAGTGAGGAACTACTACCAAAGGGGGTCCGCCTGGAACCCGGGACCACGCGTCCGGGTAGTCTGACCCTTCCGAAGTCAACAGACACGGGTGTTTCATGGCTACCGTGTGCAATAAAGTACGGTTACACCTCTAGAGTACGAGCTGTGAGAGGATGAACCTTTCGTGGAGATCTATTGCTGCCACGTTAGCAGAAGGGGAGGTGACGACCTGTCGGCATTTATCCAACTAGTTTGTCCTGTCGGGGCGCGGTGTCGCCTCCATGTGCGAACCCTCTTCTCTGGAAGGAGGCCGGCATTCCCCCTGTGAACACTGAAGTCTGGAAAAACCTGATTATCGACACTCTTGAGAAACCTGCGCGTTCATGCGCTCACCCTAGTTAAAAATACGACGGTGAAAACGAGGCAACCGGTGAGAAGGTGGACGAACTTGTCACAAGTTAACCTCCCGGAGAAAGCAAGTTGGGCTGCTGTAGGCGAATAGGCGTCCCGTCTCTCTGCCCGGTTCTGGATTCAACTAAACATGTTTAGTGCATTTTTGTGTGACTCAAAGTTATTACTCTTTCTAAGGAGAAAGCACAGCATTCAGAACTTTACCTTCCACACTGCTTGGCACCCCACCCTTTCCTGCCAGTGCAGGACCTGCACCCCCCCCCCCCTCCCCTCCTCCCCTCCTTCCCCCTTGTGGTAAAAACTGCCTGAGTACCAGCAGCGTCAGTACCCCTGCCCAGAGGCACAGCTCGCACTACTTAAAGAAGAAAATGTTTCCATGAGGGAACGGAACCATTTGGGAGCTATTTGTGTGTGCGTGTGTGTGTGTGAGTGTGAGATGGGTATTCATGTTCTCACTCTATTCTTTAGCATTTGGTTCTTTATAGCCGGTTGCATCCTTTGTTTTTTGGGTTGATTTCCTATTTATAAGAGCGTGCCGGTCAGTGGTTAAAGCTCTTATAAAACATTTAATGGGTCTTCCTCTATCCGGTCGTTCCTTTTTGAGAGTCCCGTCAATGTTTCAAGTTAGTCATTTTCATTGCGTTTAATTACGTCCGTGCGTAAACCGATATTTATCAAATCCACATTTTCAATATAGTTTTTCCCAGCATTGCACAGCGTGCCACAATTAGCACCATGGGGACATTTAATGATGCCATAACCTTGATATATAAACATTCCAAAAAGAGAAAAACCAAACATGTCTACGGAGGTTAAGATGCTATATTGGAAAAATGATCCAAAAACAATACAGGAAAGACCAAAAAATGACCCTTAAGACTGCTTTGAACCCTTTGGGAAGAATGAAACGGCAGTGAAACGAATCACATAAAAAAAAAAATCTATATTCAATCAAATTCTATCAAGCACCTTGTGTGTTGATAAACGGTTGGTAACTCTTCCCTACCGTGCTTTTTGCTGCAAATAGTGGTTTGATCATGTTTGTAGTAAACTGGTTCTGGTTTCACTTCCCGTCTCATTGTGAGGTGCTCATCTGCTGGCATGACTGTCGACCTAAAGCTCCGATCAGCAGCAGGACGGCGAGGGGGGGGGGGGCCTGGCGTCTACCAGAATGATGCGTCACTACTCTATAACACAGTGGGCAAAAAAAACCCACGACGCAACTTCCTTTCGTCTCTACTTGTGGCCCTGCTTTCCCACTGGATGCGCATAAAAAGATTCAGCTGAGTTTTTACTGATGCAGGGCGAGCACACGCCGTCCGCTTTAATCATGGGGAGGCCTCTTTTAGAATGTGCAAGCAGCCCCATCCCCTCGCTCTAAGGACCGTGTGCCCTCTGTGAAGAAAGGATGCTCCTAGTCTTACTGGCCCATTACTCGTTACTGTCGGACAGAACGTCGCCTCACTGCCAGTACGTTATTTTTTTGTTGTGTGAAATCTCTCTCGCAGCTCGTCTCGAATGTTTCTTTCTCTTCCTGCTCGGATGAATCATTTGTTTACCAGGAAACACTGGTGTTTTTGTCTGCGCAACCCGTACTGCAACCACAAAGCATTTAGTTAGGAAACATTAACTGTGATTCATTAAAACTCATCTCTCAGGTGCGTAATCGCATCCTGTTTGTGATCCATGCGTCTGACGCGCCGTTTTGAGAGACACGCACACATGTGATGACGGCGTTTGGCATGTTTTCTCTTGTCTCTCTCTTTCTAGAATATACTACTGGTATGACGAGAGGGGGAAGAAGACAAAGTGCACTGCTCCACAGTACGTCGACTTTGTGATGAGTCTTTGTCAGAAACTGGTCACAGACGAGGAAATCTTCCCTACTAAATATGGTGAGTGTCCCCCTGCAGGTCTCCTGTGTCCTAGAAGCTGCTGCTGCCCCCTGCTGCTCCAGATGGAGGGTGTAAATGAGAGGGGGGGTCAAGATCAATTAATCAACCAGCTTTTGGGTTGTTCAAACTCTTAGTGATTACATTACAGAAGGAAGATGCGAGTAGAAAAATAGTTAAATACTCAAATAATTTCTCTATTTGATATTTGTAAAGAAAGGTTTTCATCCTTCCAAAATATATTGTTTTTTTTTGTTTTTTTTAAGCTGACTTCCCCATTAGAAACACATGTGCTTGTTCTATTGTAAATCAAGCATTTAGGATTCACAGGATTTCTTTTTTTGATAATATGTAGAATAATTGAACAAAACGAAGCTTACCCTCTCCTGTGCTTAACCCGGTCTCTCCTCCTCTCTCCCCCCTCCAGGCAAAGAGTTCCCCAACTCCTTTGAGTCCTTGGTGAAGAAGATCTGCCGGTACCTGTTCCACGTGCTGGCTCACCTCTACTGGGCGCACTTTAAAGAGACCGTGGCTCTGGAGCTGCAGGGCCACCTGAACACTCTGTACGCACATTTCATCGTTTTCGTAAGGGAATTCAACCTGGTCGACCCCAAGGAGACCTGCATCATGGACGACCTGTCCGAGGTCCTCTGCACCCCCGCCCCGCCACCCGCACCCGCCCCGGCCCCCTCCGCCCCGGCCTCGGCGCCCTCCCCTTCTTCACAAAACCACGTGACGGAGAGATGAGCGGGGGGGGGGTGAGAACAGCAGCCCCGGGGGTGAAGATAAGATGGAGGCGAGAAGCAAAGACAGCCTGCCCCACCCCCCTCTTTGGTGCCAGCAGGACTTAAAGACCTTCCACTACCCTTATATTTCGCTATGACACCAATCAACCAGCCGGAAGGATGGGGGTGGGGGGGGCTTTTGAGGGTTTGGGGTAGCAGGGAGGGGTTTGTCACGCCAGCAGGAATTGGCGTGAGCATTCCTCCCAGAGGCAAATCCCTCCCACCTCCTCTGCAATTTAAAAGTATGTGTATGTTTGTTTTTCTTTTTTTGGTTTTATTTCACCTTTTCTTTTTTTCTTTTAAGTTTAATTCAGTTTTCATTTTTTGCTGAGGGGGGAGGGGGTGCAGTGTGGCCCCTTAGTCTCCTTCTGTCCTCTACCTAACATACAGTACAGGGAGGGGTTTCTGCTTTGCTTCAACCTGCTATTGTACAGTGTTGTTAATGTGAGGAGAAGAGATGTTCTCCTCACCGGCAGGCTTGTCCTTCCCTCCTCCTCCTCCTGCTTGGGGGAGGGGGGGCACGGCCACCACGCTGGCCAGTAGGGAGCCACGTTACTGCCTGACGGGGCGATACTAGCCAATCACTGTTTGGGTTGTTTATGTGGGGGATGATTTGAAGCGCTTCCTACTCAGGGCCTAAGAGAATATGTCACTGCTGCCAGAGAGGAGTTAGTCTCTCTTTTCTTTTGTTTTGATTCTCTCGTTCACAGACTGCTTATCCCTTTTTACGGCCGACGTCTGCCGCGTTTAACTACACTATAGTCACATAACCACATGGCGAAGTCCCAGCGGCCACCTGTAGAGGGCAGCGAACATGAAGAGAGGCTAACCCGCAACAGGGAGATGGAGAGAGAAATATAAAAGATTGTATGATGGATATTTAAATTGGATCCGAGTCGAGACGGACTGGTGCCAATATGACTCCGAGTCGTGTGCCGGTGCTCTGCACAGCAGCAGCCACTTGAACCGCCACCACTTCACCCACTTCAGCAGCACAGAAGGACAAAGACATGAGGTAATGTCTGCAGGCCCAGAGAGGCGCACACGGAGGGAGTTACGGGTGGGAGGAGATGATGTGGAGCTGCTCTGCTGTTTAACAGCCAGTGCTTAAGTCAAGTTCTCCACTCCTGGTTTATTATTTTTACCCGACCCATTTAAAATTAGATTAAAAAAAAAAAAAAAATTATCAGAGGAAAATTAGTTCAGAAATAATAACAATAATGGTATCATTACACATGTATAGAAAATGCACAGTCTGCTTGGACTTTACTGTACAAAGAATCACAAGTGGGTTCTCTCAGACATAGCCTTTGTATCGAGGAGGATTGGGTTCATTATTCTCCTTTTTTATTTATTTTTGTTTTTTTTGCAGGGTTCTTCAGTTCTGGCTCTCATTTTTATGTATTTTAATTATTAACTAAGTTAAAAGCAATTTAATATTTTAAGCTCTGCAGATTATAATCTAATAAAAAGAGAGAAATGCCACTTCGCCTCAGAGTCTTTTGTATCGATGCGTTTGTGAAAATGATTTAAAAGGAAAGAAACAAGCTTGTTGTGTGCTGCCTCGTACAAATTATGACTTGACTACTTCAAGTTCACTATAGAGGGCTTTAGTTTTTTTCGATTCGTTACCTGAGGAAGAATAAAACCAAACTGTCACCTTTTTAACGGAACACTCAACTTTTATCACTTGTTATCCCTATCACATTTTATACAGATTTTTAAAATTCATTTCAGTTCTTATGTTAGTCTTTCGTTTGCTACAGGTTATAGGAAGCACGAGACTAATATGAAGAAAAACATGATGCAACAACAATCCCAACCGGTATATCTTCATAGATTAGTCACGCAGAACTGAGGCTGTACAAGGACACTTCGTTTGCTTAAATTGCATCTCAGTGATTTAAATTACTCTTGACATCAGAGGAGAGGGGGGAGCAGAAGAACACTTCTGATGATAAGGCCATTAAGATATCAACGCATAATATGCCATACAAATGTCATTAAAGTAATTAGTAGAACCGAAGTAATGTCGTAAAATACATTATGCAGTATGCCACTAAAGAAATTCTCATTTTAAGAGTACATATATAAAGAAAAAATGAGGCCACGTAATTTTCATATAAAACGTATAGTATGATATACTGTATTACGTTTTCATTCAATCTTTGACATTTTTATCAGCTACATGATCCATTTTTTTTTTCATGAAGTACTATAATATGACATTTGTATTTAGCTTCTTTTCACTTTGTATTAATGTACTATATGAGGACTGTATAAGTCAATTTCTAACATTACATTATAAAATGTATGTATTTTAATGCTTTATGGAAGTGCTTTCTAAATCTTTGAGGTCTTTTAAATGATATGGTCTAAACCCCCCCCCCCCAAAAAAAGAAGAAAAAACTTCACATGAATGATAAAACATGCATACACACATAATTATAGATATAAAATGATCAGATGCAACCAAACTGCACTTCCTTTTCCTTCTGGGTCAATTCTGTGACCCTAAATGGAAACATGCACACATGTGATACTCCACAACACGCGTTCCTCAACTATACAAAATGTCATTGGCTGACGTGGACCGTGACGTCACTCGGGCTGCTTCTTTGACCTGCGGACCCCCGCGGAGCCGCGCCGCCTTCTCACCGTCGCCCGCAAGGTGACGCCCTCGTTCAGTTTAAGCCGCGCGATGCCGCCCGACTCGTCCAGTTTTTTGGCGCTGCAGCACGGCGTGGGGACCTTCGTGGTGTTCCCGAACTTAGAGTAGTCCACGGCGTACATGCCGTCCTCCGCGGAGACGGTCGGCACGAAGCGCTGCCCCCACAGGATCTCCTCCGACACGTATGAGGTCCTGGCCTGGGTGGTGATGCCCGTGGTCTCCACCACCCCTTCCAGCACCGCGATCACTTCGATGTCGTCGTACTGCAGGTCACCAGCGGACAGCTCGTACAGGGGGCTGTCCTTGTCGATCACGTGGCAGATGATGAGGGGGGACACCAGGAAGACGCCGTTGGTGCCCACCGGGTTATCCATGTGGATGTCGATCTGGTCCAGAGGCAGAACCTCGCCCTCCTCCGTGGAGCTTCTCCTGACCACCTGCAGCCGCACGGTGGCGCTGATGATCATGCTCTTCCTCAGGTCGCCGATGCGGATCATGAAGCACAGCTTGTTGTTGCGGACGGAGATGACTGCGTGCTTGCTGAAAATGAGCGTCTCCGCGCGCCGATTGGCCTGCGCGGTTTTCATGAAGATGCACCCGAGCATGATGGCGTTGATGAGCAGTCCGACGATGTTCTGCACGATGAGGACGACGATGGCGGAGACGCACTCCTCTGTGACCATCCGGCCGCCGAAGCCGATGGTCACCTGGACCTCTATTGAGAAGAGGAAAGCGGAGGAGAAGGAGTGAATGTCCGTTACGCACGGGACAAAGTCGTCTCCCTTCTGGTCCAAGTCGCCGTGCGCAAACGCGATGAGCCACCAGATCATCCCGAAAAGGAGCCAACTGCACAGGTAGGACATGGTGAAAATGATGAGCGTGTGGAGCCATTTTAAATCCACCAGAGTGGTGAAGACGTCCAGCAGGAATCGACCTTGTTCTCTGATGTTGGTGTGCGCTACGTTGCAGGTGCCGTTCTTGGTGACGAACCGTGCTTTCCCCGGTTTGACCTTAAAACACTTCGGCTGCAGGACATCCTCGGCCAGACGTGTGAGTAAATAATCCTCTGGAATGAGTCCTTTCCTGGACAACATAGCGCTCCCATGCTATACGGACCCTCAAGTATTTTGTTTGTGTTGCTTTTAGAGATCTCCTCGGCCCTGTTGAAGATGAATTACTCTCCTCTTCCCCCCCGGGCGTCTTTCCTTACAACTCCTCAGCTGTCGAGCGCAGTTATCTCCCCCGTTTTTCTGGAGGTATGTGCACTCCTCGCGTTGCCTCCAGATCAGGCGCTCCACAACCGCGCATGCAGTCACGGGGGGGGGGGGGGGGGAGAAATTTCTCCTTTCAGCTCCGCAACTGCCGGAATCAGTTAAAGCGGCCCCCGAACGGGTGGATGCGCCACGCTGCCTGCTTGCATCCACGATCGACCCCGTGTGCAATCACCGTGGAAATTCAGTCAGATGTTAAATGTTGATGCTTGAGCCAAGCGGGGCCCCCCTGGGCTGAGTTCTTATCACCCCCGTGGACCAGAAGGCACAGGCTTTAGCGGCACATTAGGCTGTGTGATGAGTCTGCCACTTCACCTGAGCTTGGTAACGTGAGATGGAGACGTTGTGAGGTAAGGTGGGCCTATTGTCCTCCAGCATCTCTTTTTTTTTTTTTGACTAGAAGGCCGGAGTGGGACCCTTCAAACTAAAGCCCCCAGGCAGCCGTGAATATATAATGGGTTAAATATAGAGCGCTATACATTAAGTGGTCTTCAGGCTGTTTGGGGATGAGTTTTGCTTTACATGAATAGAAAGTGGGCCCTTTTCTATCTATTCATCCAGAGTCTTAAAATCACCACGGCTCCTTCTCTTCTCCATTCCAGCCACCGGACAGCTTATTTTACAGGCGGCCGTTCTCCTCTTCAACTTTCTAACGTCACACGTCAGCTCGGGCTGCAGCTGCTCACCCCGCCGTGACGCCCCTCTTAGAGTCTTAGAAGATATGGATATAGAACACCGTGCTGTGTCTCTGGCCCTTTGCCTTCATCTGGCTGGACAGCACGGCGTACTCTTCAGCGGATTTTGAACCCGCGAGCTGCTGATGACTCGTTTATTTCGCAACCGTCACAGCGTTTCATTCACACAAGCACAAAAAAAAACTTTGGAGGTCGTCCCAGTCGTCATTCTGACTGAGCTCAACAGAAAAAAAACCCACGCTTGTTAATGATCATTCATGTTTTATTAACAAAGCATTTACTTTGTATGTACAAATATTATACAAGACAATTATAAAATAAAAGGAATATATCTTCGATGGGACAATTGCACTTTGAATGGCTTCGTCTAACGCTTCTCCCTCTCCTCTCTTGTGCTATTTGTCTGCCCGTACGAAGGAGGCAAAGACGCTGTCTTCCTTGTCCAGCAGCGCCTGGGGCCTGTCGTACTCCAGGATTATCCCCCGCTTCATCACAATCACTAGGTCGGCATTCAGGATGGTGTGGACGCGATGCTGTGCGGCGGAGGGGAAAAGAATCAGTCGCTACATTGACTCTAAAAAGTCAAAAAAATCAACGCGTTGCCACACAAACTTTCATTTTTACACTGATAAGCACCACTCCAATGGCACTGGCTGGTAGGTTTAGTATGAGGTGCAATAAATGGTTGTGGGCCAGGAAGATACACGGGAATAATTTGCCCGGTGGAATTCTGGGGGGAGATACTCACTGCTATAGTAACTACTGTTCGGTCCGCAAAAGCAGTCATCACAACTTTCTGCAGGATGCTTTCCTGTGAGGACAGAGGGAGGGGAGGCTGATTTACTTTCATGACGGAGAATCAAGGACAAGCACAAAGTGGTATGCAACGTTTTTTTTTTTTTTAAAGCAATTTGAGCAGTTAACGTGTTCCTTGGTGCTTTTCGACCCCGTTGGACTGTCACCTCTCTCGCTCCTCGTCCCTGATTAGACGCCTCACCGTGTTTCCCTGCGGGCGGTGCAGCTGCGTTATTGTATGCTGGAAATGTCGCTCTTTGTGACCCATGATCCTTGAGTGGGTCTTGCATGTGAAAACACTGACTCCCTTAAGGCTCCCAGCAATTTCCCTTCTATTTCCTCAGTTCTCTCCCCCCTAACACACTGAGCACACTTCCTCCCCCCTCTCGTCTCTCCTGCTTCCACAATGAAAACCCTTTAAATAAATGGACCAGGAGCAAATAACAATTCAATTATTATTTCATTAAAAAAACGAAACGAAATGAATTGAAATGAAAAGACACTGACCGTTGCCATGTCTATGGAAGCAGTGGCTTCGTCCATGATGAGGATGCTGCTCTTCCTGACGAAGGCTCTGGCCAGACAGAACAGCTGCCGCTGACCCTGACTGAAGTTTTCTCCACCCTCTGTCACCATGGCATCTGAATGAAATAAACATTGTTAGTCTGGTGATATTCATGTATTTGGTATACTGGTGTAAATATTAATATCAGAGACTGCTTCATGCGTGACATGGAACATTACGATGGCACTACGCTAGTATTTCAGACAGAGTTCATCAGCCGTTAACTCTTACGGAATATCTTATTATGAAGAAAATTACAATTAAATTATACATCGCATGAGAAAATAAGAATACGGTATGATGAAGTAAAGCAAACTTGTAAAAAACTCAATTCCAATCCATTCACTTACAAAGACTCACTGCGGATAACTGGTCTGCTCAATATTCACCACAACACTCAACATCGACACTAAACGGTTACTTTAACTTAATTACTTTAACAAATTAGTCCTTAACCTCTGGGTGCAGATCAATATCTTAGCAGAGATTTGGCTCTAAACTAAAGCAATGAGTAACTTACATTGAACATGTTACACACTGACACACATGCACACACACACATCTGTCATTGTCACATTGATTGAATCCGGCGACATGTGAAGCGAGCAGTCTGTTATTCCACCCGAGTAACGAATGCTTTCTCTGCCTTTTCTTCATAAGTAAAAGGACGGACAGAGGCATTAAAAAACCTGGGGGATGAACTTCAAACCTAAAGCAGCTGAAGCAGTAACCTGCAGAGGCGAGGTCAGTGTGTATGTAGGTTGGAGAGGAACATGACTCTTACGCTCCGCTAACATCTGATGTGATGAGACCGCCGCTGCCGTCTGACAACTGCCGAGTCTGAGTCAAAAATACGATCTGAAGGGAGCCAAGCATGAAGTGGCTTCACACAGAATACGTAAAAGATTCATGCTCATGTGCATCTGATACAGCAACCTGGCCGTTGTAACGAGAAACTACAGTTGCATCAGAGCAATAGAAGGGAAGACTCACCAGGGAGATGAACACACACACACACACATTTAAACAACCACATGTTTCTCACCCAGGCCTCCTGGGAGGGATTTAACAACAGGCTTCAGCTGAGCGATCTCCAGAGCTTCCCAGAGCATCTCATCTGTAGCCTTCATCTCCGGGTCCAGGTTGAACCTACGTGCACAAACGCAGGCGCGTGAACACGTAGAAACAGACTTTTGTCTTGATTACTTAATTAATTAGCTACATGGTGTTTTATCACCTAAACCCTGGACAAGGCCATTCCATTTATTCAACAACGACATTAAATTTTAGGAATGTCATTGTGACCTTGATCTGCACTCTGTCTGACGGCATCACATAGCGCCCTTAAAGGTACCCTCATCTATCGTCCAACGCGACAAAGGCTTAAGCATTGCTGTCTTGCGGTCTCTCTCCGGCTGTGCTGCCTTCATCACACAGTCTACAATTAACCAGGGACGTTTTCAGAGGAACGTCCTACTCGGCTCTACTTCAACGTTTCGTTGTACCGGATGGCGCCGCTGAACAGGAAGGGGTCTTGAAGGATGATGGACAAGCGAGACCTGAGCGTCTGCAGAGGCAGCTTGGCGATGTCAATGCCATCGATGATGATCCTCCCTGCGAAAAAAAAGGGAGAGAGAGAATAACGAACCACACATCAAACACAGACTACCGTGTGAAAGCTTTTTCAATGTGCTGAGTTTCAACGTAAGCGTGGACGTTTTGCTTTACCTTCAAACATGTCCACCATGCGGAATAAGGCCAAGGAGAAAGAGGACTTGCCGCTTCCCGTCCTGCCACATATTCCCACCTGAAAACCAACATGTCCGACTCATTATTAACAGAATGATTCCATCGTTGGTCTTTGGTTTCACAGGCTGCCTCAGATTGACGATACCTTCTGTCCGGGGTGGATGTGGGAGTTGACATTTTTGAGCACTGGCTTCAGCGCGGCGTCATATCGGACACTCAAATTCTGGATCTTGATCTCTCCGTCTCTGGGCCAGCAGTCAGGGACCTGAGACACAGCTGGGGACAGATGCAGAAACATCAGTACATTTTTACCCCTTCACATACAGACTTATTAGCACTATATCAAAACATGGTCTAACTTTAAACTGCACTTCTAGACTAGGGTGAAATTACACGGCTTAACCATGTACAGTCAGTGCTCTAAATTGTGGCCAAACACAGACAGTCAGTAACGCTGTTTATAATGTAAACGAGGGACATTAAATGTTCATCTGGTCGCAGTTATATTTGTGTTTGTTGAAGTGCATTTGAATCAGCTCTGGTCGCCCTTTATGAAGGCAGCAGATATTCGCTGCACGCGGTCTCAAACTGAAGAGCGATTACTGGAAGTATTAATTAAAAGGCAGAACTGCTGCTCCCCGTTCTTAATTACAGTGCAAGCGGGAGAAGCAACATGACGTGACAGATGTTTCTCGTAGACTAATCACACAGAACACACAAGATATTTCATAGCCGCGTCCCAAAATGCGGCTCTCGTAGCAAAAGCATTTCATTGGTCATAAGTTTGCTGCGATAAAAAACTTTTTAGGATTCCCAAAGGGCCTCACGGCGGGACGGTGAAAGCAGTGAGCGGGATCGGCTGTGATTGTCGAAGCCAACCTGTGATTATCCCTTTTTAGTGTGCTCAACAGGTGTGTGACACAAGCCTGGCCACACAATCACAAAAGAACAGTGTGGCATTGCTGCAGGTGCACGCAGCGGGGCGTCCGACTGCAACCGGGCCGCCAAGTTCACAAAAAAATAAAGCCCCCTGGGTGAGAAACTAACTCTGCGGAGGTAAAACCATAAAAGCAAAGAGAGAATGTACAACTGCTGATTCTTCAGACAAAGACTGGATGAACATCTACAGCATAACGAGGCAGGTTGAATAAAACACCGAGACTGAGTGGTGCTCATATCCAGGTTGCCGATGGAGACGCTGGTGTCTCGGCGTCAGTGCATAAGAGCAGAGCAGCCTTGGTTTTAAAAGCATTTTACAACAACAATTACATATTTATTGCGGTTGGCTGATCACGGAGGTAAAGCCACTAGGGCGGAAACACTGCTGCTTCGTGGCGTTCGTATTGCTGGACGCCGCTTTGTGTGTAGCCCGAAAAAGCAATCAATTCCAATCGAGCTCCTGGTAGAACTGGTTAAAGGAGTTTAATTTAAGAAGGGTCTTTGAAGGTGTGGCCGCACTCACTGAGCAGTCCCTCGTAATTCTCCGGTTCAGTTTTGAGCAGCCCGTTAATTCTCTTGACTGAACCGAGCTGCACTTCCATGTCTGCCAGGTTACGCACCATCCAGTTCATGTAGTTGGATACCTGATACATAAGAGGGAGGAGGAAGAGGAGGAGGAGGAAGAGGGGAGTTGGTTAATGTCAACGTAGGCACACACTTCATTTGCCGTTTGTCAGATACATTTCTCAACGTTTAATTATTCAGTTGAAAATATTAAATTCGCCAAATTTTGTAAACACATGTTTCCACCAGACTGAAGTGATATAATCAGAAAAGTTTGACTAAGATCTTCAACTGTAAAGTTTTTATTACCTAAGTATCAATAATGGAATATTGATGTTTTTCTGTTTCAACAGATGTTCAGGCAGATTTCACATTCACAATTTCAAAGTAATATTTTTTGCTGAAAGATACACAAGATACTCTAAAATAATTGGTCAGGAGAGACGGAAATATATTCAGATATACAAAGAGCAGAACAAGAAAAGTAACTCAAATCTGTTGCCTGTGACACGTTATAAAAACACACACACACACACACACACACACACACACACACACACACCAGGAGTGCGTAGGTCAGTCCCAGCCCCACCAGACCGGGAGTCAGCTGGTTGTAGAGAGAATTACTGATGGAGGTTACAGCCGCCACCAACACAACACAAGCTCCAATATACTCCTGCAGAGAAAGAGAGAGAGAGACACGTCAACGTTACAGCAGGAAGGTGAAGCATCGCTGCATAATTTAAAAAGGTCAATTAAAAAGAGGAGATTTTGATTTAGTTTAAATGTAGAAGACGGACATGCTGCCATAGAGCCCTGTTTGGTTTTCCTTCCTGCACACATGAATCTCCTGCGTCCAACTGTGAAACACAACGAGCCAAATGAGCTGCGAGCGGCTGATGGTTAAAACATCACACGAAGAACACAGAACGTGACCTTGACAAAAACGAGCGATGAGGGATTCAGTGTTTTGGGGATCCCAACAGAGGGAGCCAGCGACATAAACAGCTGCCGCCAACAGACCTAAAGCGGATCCCGAAGCACTGAGCGGGGGAACAAAGCTCCATTACCATTCGGACCTCCAGCCAACGGTTGGCCGCCGTGCGGAAGAGGGAAGCGATGTTGTTGGCGTCCGTGTACTGCAGTAACCTCTGTCTGAACCTGGGCTCGTACCTGCCGGCGGAGAAAGAAAAAGTTTCCTTTTTGTTTGTGTCCGACCGGCTCGGCGTCTATGATAAGTCCCGTCACAATTGGAGATTTCAAGTTTCCACATCAAATTGCATATTTGGACCTTGATTGGCTTCCAAACTAGCTGTTATTTCAGAAAATCCTCAATCAAAGAGACACTTTTCCCAATCAACAGATGAATATGAACACAGACGTTTAGCGTGGAGCTCTGCACACACGTCATTTAGCACAGTGAGGCTCCAACATCCAAGTAAAAATATATGGTACAACAATATTCAGTTAAGATAGTTTGACCCGTTGTTAATGATCACCTGAGGGCCCTTATAGTGGTGAGACCTTCCACTGTCTCAGAGAAGTGGCAGAGCAGAGGGAGTTGGGTGCTGTCCTCCAGCTGCTGCAGGTCCCTGACCAGAAGACAGAGGACACAAAAAAAGAAGAGGGAAATATCAACTGAAGCAAAGTTCAAATAATATCAGAGGTCGTAGGGTTGGAGAAGGGTTAGCAGAAGAGAAGAGCAGAAGTGAACGGTTCAATGGGTTCAGAGAACTGTTGAATCCAATAAAAAGATATTTCACTGCGACATGCATCCCACTCTCAATCGGATGGGTTCATGCATTTTAGCACCCGTCTCTATTATATGGGAAATAGAAGAGCTACAGTGCTGGAGAAAACGAAGCCAAAGAAAGCATCATTTGAAATATACAGCATTTTATTTTCAAACATGTATCCTTTGTTATTTGTGTTTAATTTCACCATCCAAATAAATTAAATGAAAACCGATCGTGACCAACACGCATCCCTCCGTCCCTGCGTCCCATCCGACTGACCTGGAGGCCACCCGGAAGTACTTCTGCATGAAGTAGCAGGCGACGGCCAGCGGCAGGAGGGCGATGAGAAAGACGGGGGTCACGTAGGAGATGACGCCCAGAGCGGACAAGCACAGCAGGGTGGAGCGGGAGAGGCACTCCAGGGTGGTGGGGATGTGCTGGTCAATTGTGTTTGTGTCTGTGGAAAACCTGTTGAGGATGCTGCCGAGCGGAGTCGTCTCAAACAGCCTGCAGGGACAAACGCGTTAAACTCAGTCTGTGATTTACGCTTTCATTTCCCCAGAATACGTCCACCCTCATAGTCTTTGGGACCATAATAATACTTTAGAGATTTCAACATGTCCACAAAATGAAAGATGTGCTGTGCGGTCAGCTAGATAATTTCATTATTTAATGTGAAAGTGATGTGTTTATTTAGCTGTGTATGTGAGTGTAGATACAGTACACGTTTATCCGCATGTGAGCGTCTCATGTCGGTAAGGTCCCCCGTGTTCTTTTTTAAAAGCAAAGCAGATGGTGCTTTGCAGCTCTGAGTAATGGGGCGAAAAGAGAAGCTCTTAGCGTTGTTCCTCTGCTTAAATGATCGCTTTCAGCAAACACACGTTATCAGCACACTCACGTCTCTCCCGAACACAACCAGGCAGAGCTGCAGAACACACACACACACACACACACACACACACGCTGAGCGTCCAACCTCATGGGTGCCAGGATGATCTTGTTGAGCAGGTCGTGGTGCAGCTCTTTGGCCACTTTGAGGCCGGTCCACTCCACAGCCACGGAGGAGGCCAGACACAGGACGATGCCCAGGCAGCACAGCACGCTGAACACGGACAGATACCACGAGTGACAAGTCTGCAGAGGGGGGAGGCTTGGTTACAACCGGGTCGAAACAGAGGCCAGCGACGCTTTAAAACATCTCATCTGGCAACATTTCAACTTTTTGTGAAGAGACGCTGTTCTGTGTTTTCCCCTCAATTTGACACCTGCGTCGTCTGTGATTTCGCTCAGTTTGAATCAGACCTTTCTAGTATTTTTTTCTGCAAATCTACATGCAGATGTGCTCTGGACACACAGTATCCAACGTCCGTCTCTGTCATCATTCACACAGGAATATAAAGTAAAAAAATAGTAAAAAAACTGTATAGAACATTTAACCAGAAAGTCCAATATCATTTTGATTCACTGTTTTGAATCAAATATTTATTTTCTTTCTTTACATACTATATACATTTTTTGATATTCTTCAGTACAGTTCATTTGTTTTTCTCACCCTCAGACTGCCTGAAGCAATGTACATTGAAAATGTTGAAAATGTTTAATCTCACTTAAGCAAAACACATTGCCAAGAAGAAGGGCGATAAATGTTCAAATAACGGCACACACTTTCCGGCAGTCACACAACTGTGTGAAGAACAATAAAAATAGATTGTGAGCGAGAAGTTTAAACCGCACACAAGCCGATCGGGCCTCTCAGGTCATCCGTCAGAGGTCTACTCTCTGTACCCAGTTAGATCCGGGTCTGGAGAGGGTCCCTGCAGGGGGGGTTCACATTGCTAGACACCATATTCACGGGTGTGGCCATCTTTGTTAAGCTGACACTCAGTATTACGCGCCCCTCTCACTTGAGGCTACGCCCACGTAGCCACATCAGGACCAAAAGAAGGAAAATATAAAAATCTGCAACTCAAAAATATCAGATAAAATATATTTAAGTGAAGAATGAAAATAAACATTTTATGCAAAACAATTCAAGAACTGAACTATGTTTGACCCGGAAATACTTTTCATTCGCTATATTTTAAATAATCTAAACCAAAACTTCCCAGTTCAATGTTTTCAAATGATCAAAACCTTTGGCCTGGATTTGGCTCCATAAAAGTTAGTGTAGCTGGAGGGTGAAGATCTCGTTGTGTCGAGCTTCAGTAATATCTCTCCTCCTCTCATAGCTGTCCGGCAGCAACCTGCCAGTTACTTTGGCTTCTGTAGGACTGTGCGAAATGTGACTTGGCGTTACAATTCACAGGAGCGACACGCGCAGACACAAATATATCCGGAACATGAGAAGTTGCCAACAGCTGGCGTGACCCCGACGTGTGAATGAAGCAGCTTAACCTTCGCCTGTGCTGTGATTGTGTTTGCTCCTCTGAATGGTTTTCAGAGTCTATTGGGGAGAAGGTTGCTGACATAACAGGAGCTTTAAACTGAATAGAGGGGAACGTTTGAATTGGGGACAGATTACATAATGTCGTGGCTCTCTTGAGTTTCCCGTTTAGTCAGATTTCTCTTTTTGATTGGAACAGATGCTTCTTTGTCACAAAAGACGTTCATGAAGTTAGGTTATTTTCACAGTGAAAGTGATCAAATCTGCTGGGTAATTTATGATTGCTGAGCTGCAGTTGCCTGAGGGTGCATTAGCAAACACTCCAAATCTGAAATAGGTCTGCAACCTCTACTTCCATGTATTCATTCAAATTCATCGACTAATTGCTTGTTGAAAAGGTGAAAATTGGCGCGACGACTTCCTAAAGCCCTCGGCGATCAGCCGACAGTCTAAAACCTAAAGGACACACTTCCCGGTTCAGCCGCTCACCTTGACAATGGTACAATTGCGAGCCGTCGCTGCGATCTTGGCCGCAATGACGTTGGACGTCCAATGCGCCAGCCAGTAGTCGATGGCGACCATGAGGGTGTGTTTGAGGAGCTGGGACAGCAGGAGCACGGTGAGCAGGAGGACCCCGGCGGAGGACAGGTAGGTGCCGCAGGAGTGCCAGGGGATGGTGGCGCGGTGTCGCATGACCTGCGACAGGTTTTCGCCGTCCTCGCTCTCCACGGATTCCTCTGGGATTAAGACAGAGGTGAGTTCAAATGTTTTTTGAAAGTGAGTTTGATTTATTCTGATTTCTTTCTTTATTCTAGATGGAATACGTGAATGTGTATGTTGGCCTTACAACACTAACGTCTGCATTTAACTCCTCTGCTTTGACTCACTGCTCACGTGATCTCTGACCTTTCGGACGTTCCTCCTACTCGTCCGAACCCTCCTGCTAAATGTTTCATTATCTCTGTTTTCAGTGTCTGTTGAGCACATTTCTCAGATTTACTAGCACTTAGCATTTAATACCACAGGACTGGAGGAGAAGAGGAGGGAAGAGAAAGAGGGCCAAAGGAGAGGAGCAACCACAGAAAAACTAATCTAAAGACTACGACATCCACAACCATGTTCTTACGGAACAAGCAAAATGCTCATTCGCACGAATGGCATCTTCTTCAGGGGCGAAGGCACAGCCACGACACCGGATGGGTCTGAGGTGTTCCTTTGCAACCTACTGCCTCCTCCCAACCTGCCTTGTAACTTCATGCAGCAAGCTTTGGGGCAAGAAGCTTCACATGGGAGTCTACCAGCCGATGGAAAAAACGGGGGAGTACGAGAAGAAAAGAAACAGAGAGGAAGACCAGCAGGGTCAAACAGACGACAGCGACCAGCATCTACTGGGCAATCATGCTGCCATTAGGTAGGTTTAACAAAGCAGAGGTGAAAGAAATATGGGGGAAAAGAAAATGATACATGGTGAGATTCTAAAATGGGGGGGGAGGAAGGAAGGAAGGGTGGGGGAGCTGACATAGCTGCGGGTTGCTTGCAGGGTCACAATTGTCACAGACTTCTTCCTTTTTTTTTCTTTTTTCGGCCACACCTGCTCCATTGAACAAGAAAGCTGAAGGCATCTCACAAGTCACCTCAGGGGCTCCACCGGCACGCGGGAGACAACACAGAACACAGATAAAGAGGACAGCCACTGCACCTTAGCACCATCCACCACAGCTGCACATTCAAACAGCAGAGACACACACAGATAAAGGATCAGATTCAGAGTTTAGCCACATCAGGGGCCTGCGGGCGGGCAGCGGGGGGGGGGGGGGTCATATCTGGTTGCTGCTAAAAGTCCAAAGAGAAGCCAAGTCATGAGACGCCAGACTCAGCAGAAAGTCTTGAGCATTTGATACCCATGTCCTGTTTTCTTTTGCATGGACAGGATATAATGAATAAAGGACAGGGGACACACGGGGGATTCGGAACCATTCAAATGATTGCAGCGAGTGTTACATTAAACATAAGCTGTTCTGCCCAATTTTTTGTGTAACATAAGAGGTGCTGCTACAAATAACCGGGGAAGGGAAATGATACTTCGCCATTATCATTATTATTATTATCAGCACAGACCCACATGAATTATAATCAGACTGAAGGACTAACTGCAGTCAAACAGACGTAAAATCAAGCTTTTCTTTCACCTTCCTCGTCCTCTTCGGTCCTGGCGACATCTCTGGAGTACATGGCCCTCCGGAGGTTTTTCCTCTCCAGATCGGTCATACTCGCCGCCTCGGTCTCCTGGAGGACAAACAAAAGGAGAAGCTCGTCCCTCTCTCCACAAAACCAAAAGACATGCAGGCAATCAAAGGTGGTCATTTTAAGCAGCCGACAACGGTCAGATCAGCGTCAGCATTTGGTCAGTAATTGATTACCGTCTCAAACTCCTGGTCTTGTCTGTGCATCAGGGTCTTCCAATGCTCAAACAGCTCAGGCTCCGACTTCTGGATGTTTTTCAGAGTCCCTTCTGTCTGGATAGTGCCATCTTTCATGGCAATGATCTAATAACAAAAAACAGATACACAAACAGAAACAAGAGCAAATGCAATTTTTAGCGTTATAGCCGACATTAACAATCTATTTTTATTCTCTTTCTGAGATGAAGGGTCTGCATCCCAGATGTAACGTTTACGTCACCAATGAAATGACAACATTTAATATGGAGAATCCATAATCATTTTGTGCGACTATTGCAAAGAAAATATACAATTTGGTTAATTAAGATACACACACACACACACACACACACACACACACACACACACACACACACACACACACAGGTCTTACCCAGTCTGCGTGTGGTAAATACTGAAGTTTGTGTGTTACCAAAACCACTGTCCTTTTCTCCTCTCTCAGGAGCTTGAGAATACCATCTTGCATCAGATGGTCACTCAGGTGGATGTCTAAGGCAGAGAATGGATCATCCTAAAAGAACGGCACAAACAGATAAACAGCTGCGTCAGAAAAGGTATTTCTCTGTAAAACATCAATGACTGGGAATAAAACTCCTAATTATTCAGTTTATTATTAAAGATCTCTGATTATTTGTGTTGAAGGTGGTCTGACTGACTACTACCATTATTCTACTCTTTACATTTCATGGACGCTATTGTCATCAAAGTGACTATTAATAACCACGTTGCATCGGGCTGAGCTTAAGAGAACGTATTGCTATTTTTGTCACGTAGGAGGCATCAGAAATAGCATCACATCCGAGTCGTCGGACCGCGATGTTTCACTGTGAATACAGATCGAGATCTGAGAGCCTCTTTTGATCGAAGGTGAAGTGTGAGAGGACACCAGACTCACCAGAAATACCACGTTGGTCTGTTGGTACAGGGCTCTGGCCACGCTGATGCGCTGTTTCTGTCCCCCTGACAGGATGATACCCTGCACCAGAGGGCAGACAACTTTATTACAAGATTCACAACAAAGAGATTGGATTACATCCATTAATGCGTGTGGCAGCGGCCCCCAGAGTGACAAAGGAGATCGCAGCTTATTTCCCGTATCACTGGTGCATGACGAAATCCAACATGACAGTGGTCAGCCCAGCTCCCTGCACACTCACACCAAGTCCTGTTTCCACAGCGACGACAACAAATGATGCTGCAACACAGTGGGAGCTCCGGCGAGATCTGGACTCTTTGGTTTTCAATTTTTGGAGCTTTAGAGTGAAAAGACGGATGAAGGCACGCTAAGGAAATCATGAACTTTACTGACCCGCTCACCGATCTCTGTCTGGTCGCCCTGTGGGAGGATGTCGATGTCCGGCTGAAGGGAGCAGGCTTCAATGACAGCATCGTACCTGGCAGGCGGAGAGCGAATACAAATGAGCTCTAATACTAATGCTGATACCAGCCAGAAGGACATGGGCCTCCTCAATATTAACCTCGAGACAGGAAATCAATCAATAGAAAAATCGGCCTCTGTGGTGGGACTTCAAAGTGTCGAAATGAGCAGCCACTGCTTCAACGGACACAGAGAGACCGGGAATAATCCACGGCTGCTTCAGTCCTTCGTTCAGATTTAAGTGAATCGCTCGCTGTTCTTTCCAATGTCTCGGCATCTCCGTATCATCCATCTGAATCGGCGCACAAGGTCTTGAAATTGTAGTTGACGGGAAGCCGACCCTCGGTTGTTCAAGAAAGCTTGACAGTTCTGTTATTGCTGGAGCTTTGAGAACATTTCGAACTCAAAAATACAGAGTCACGGGCCAGAATACGTTGATTAATATGAATGAATGAGATGTTTCCTCATCAGCTGTATAAAAGGATATTGTAAGACAGCATTTAAGTCAAAACTTTGCACTGTAAAAGGACAAGTTAGCTGTAAAATGCCATGTTAAGACTGCGGGCCAGACTGGCAGCTCTGTACTTAGTATAGTGTTTTGATCTGAATAACATGAGCATAAAAACAGGCTAAAGGGTGACAATGTTGCTGGTGTCTAGAAGCAGTTGAGTTGAAATTGTTTGCCTGCTAAAAAATTGGACAACTAAGCTTTTTCACTAAAAAATAAAGTGTAATATTTAAAAAACTGACCCAAGCTATAAACATGGTTACATATATATTATATTTATATAGGTACCTCCCAAGCGGGATGAAATAGCAGGTAAACACTGGTTTAATTCATGAGATGTGATTTCTGTTCGTTTTCAGCCGTCAATGGCAGCAACTCTGTTTGACCTGAATGGAACAAAAACTACTAGTATTATTGGTAAAGAAAAACGATGTGTGTAGAGAAAGAAAAAGGCGGTCGGGTAAACGGCTCCACAATAACAAACCAAAGCGCTCCATTAGATTTGTGTTATGAAAACAGTCCATTGGAACCAAGCGACTGACCTTCCAGAGAGGCCATTTGTTGAGAGGAGGAAAATTGTGAGCGTGATTAATTGTGTTTGAGTGTGAGTCATTAAAAGAGAACGTGTGTGTGTGTTTTCGATTGTGCTCACGCATGTGAAAAACAGCATATGTCGTTGAACCAGGAGTGAGTGAAACTAGGAAAACTCTACTCAACCAAAAGACAAGTTCACCCAAGACAAATCCTGTTGTCTCAAGAGTCAAAACTGCTTATTTGTGAAGGCACACTTTGTTGAGCGCGTTGACTTAATCACGCATCACACACGTCCAATTCAACGCCGTGGCCTCGGGGAGCGGGAAGGTTATTGGATGTATTTTGTCTCGACGGCTGGCGCTGACATAACATTAATTACTGTGTTAACAACTCTGAATGTCAAAGTAGTTGACTGCAGCACATCCACAAGCATTTCTACTGTTTAAACAGGTTTGAAAAACGGCTGTAGGACAAATCGACAAACTGCTACACTACAAGTTTTCAGATCAAATAAAAATGTTTACTCCTCTTTTGCACTTAATCACACTCATTTGTGTGTAATTAACAGAAATCATATTTGTATTTAACAGGGAACTGGGTGTAATATTGTAACTGTGATGTATTGGGAATAGAAGGGACACTCCACACCAGCAGGGGGGTGCGAGGAAATTGTATATAGTAGATGTATGCATGAAGAAATAAACTTGTGTAGAACGGTAACTAAATGTGTTCGGTCGTCTTTCAACAAGGTCTTTCATACTGTTGCGATATAGTTAACTAGGAAAAGTCATTACAGTAACCCAGCTCCGCAGGCAACGTCCTGATTTACCAGTAAAGTTTATATACATTTTTATGATGGACAAATGCATGCTCGTTCAGTGAGAGCGTTGCCAATGGAGTCCTTCATCTCTTTATTGTTAATTCTGTCAAAAATCATCAAGTGCTAAAAGAAGGAGCTCTGACTCAGTCCCATCTGTTTGCATTACTTGAAATGGGAAACACGTTGTCATTAACATAACGGCACCAACCTTCACTACAGCCTTTTTAAAGCCACTTGTTTGGCGTGTGAGACCGTACCTGGGTTGGATCATGGGCATCTCGAAGGTGATGTTCTCCACCAGCGTCGCATTCAACAGCCAAGGCTTCTGGGAGGCGTAGCCCACGGCACCTCTCTTCCTGCCAGAGGTTTTCAAACACACGAACGAGTGCCGCTCAATCAACCATCTGTTCTTCATGCGACTTCTGAATGAGTTTTTCTGTTTCGAACAATGATTAATAAAAGTCCTCAGCCTCAGAATCTGGAAGTCGGTGCATGCAGCTGAGGGTTGGCAGGGTAGATACGTGAGCCGAATACATCGTTCTCTGTTATTGTCAGTGGATTTCTAGAAAGGCACGAGGACTGCTGTTCTGCTCTGCTGATTATGGTGGTTATGGTCTCCACGGTGACCCGTCTGCTGTTGTCTAAACTCACCTGATTTCTCCGTCACCTGCTGCATCTCTGTCATTGAGACTACAGAGAAAAGAAGTCACACAAAACACTAAATAAGCAACACTGTTCCCTCTAAAACAAACAGGTGATTGACGTCCCCTTTGTCAGGAAATGATTAACAGATAACAAACAAACCATATATTCGTTCCTCACTATGGCAATCATTGCTCAGCACGCCAAACACGAACCAGCCTTAAGCCGCCGTATATGAGCACATCTATCATTGGCGGTGATCTTATCCCCCCCCCCCCCCCCACACAAACCCCCCTCCCTAAAAATAAGGCCACCGGCCCCTTTGCAATTTCTCCTTGCTGGAAGTTGGTGATATGCAAATCGGCATAAACGCGTTAGGTCTCTGGAGGCGTTTCAGTTCTCAGAGGCTCGGGTTCCTCGGGCTGTGATTAGTACGTCAACACGAGGCCTGTTCAAGCTGTTCGCTTGTATAACCGTAAAAGGCCACATGGATCCCACTGTGTTTGTGTGTGTGTGCGTGCGTGCGTGTGTGTGTAATTCCAGAGTGAAAAAAAAAAGAACGTCATGTCAAGTATGAACAGTAACTCCCCGAAAGTCTATCATGGTAAACTAACAACCCCCATTAGCGTTATCCGAACCAGTGGTTAGCATGAAGCTCTTTGAGGCATTTACAGCGCTGAGCCTGCTGTTGTTTATGTGCAGCAGAGTTAAATGTCCCTCCTCCCGTCAAAAATAGTCCACTTGGAAAATGTTGGGTAATTCAGTGCGGCCCATAATTTGTAATCAACACGCGCTGACTCGTATCCTCAGATGTTCAGGCTGGTTTGAAATAGTCTTTTAAGGCACAACGAAAAGCACATGATGGCACTGATTGTTTTAACTTACCTTTCATCTCCCTCAGACTCCAGGTTCGGCAGGCTGCAAAGAAAGAAAATACATGAATGGAAGTGTTCATAACAATTCTGTCCCTGTTCCAACTGAAACGTATTAAATGTACAGTTAAAACTTTACTCGGGGGATACTTGTGTAGTCTGGTTATGTAATTAAAAATGTGCCGTGAAACTCTTGACTCTTATTTTTAGAATGTACTGTTTTAAGTGTGCACACATACAGTACACACACACATGCACATAATCATCAAGCTAGGGACTGGTAGCATCTAAAACAAAAGTCTGATGGGCTTCTTTGAGCTTTATACATGCTCAGTTGAAACTGTGGAGTATTTTTAGGTTCAGCCGACGCCTCTCCTGTCCTGAGAAGGTGACTCTCTGGAGAAGCGAGCGCTGGTTTGCACCAGTGAACTGCAGCCGCTTTGATGAGACAGCTGTAAGCAAGAGAATTTAAAAATAATCTCGTCAAATATCAAATTTCCTTTTTTTGTAGCGGGGTTCACATTCACTCGATTATCAAGGGTAAAAAATGTCAAACAACCAAATGAAAGTACCAGTACAAGGAAAATGACCTCATAGCCTAACGGCCCTGGAAAAACACTGCAGACTGATTGTCTTTCCTGAAGCACTTTCATCTCAGACTGAAGTCGGGAGGGCTGTTCCCCCCCTCATGTCATCAACACCCCAAAGTTACATTAGAGGAGACTTCATGGAGGGCGCCGCACAACACAGTTGCAATCAGCAGACAAAATCCTCAAAGTCAGACTGAGGAGCGTCACAAAACGTCTTTAATCAACTCAAACCCCCATTTAAAACCCATAATGATGCCTGGGAGTAATGGTGCATGTTCATTGTGGTGACCGCGCCTTATAATTATTATAATTCATTTTAATCTCTTAACGAAAGGCTCTTTCCTCACTCCCTGTTTTCTTTTCAGCTACAAACATTATACTTTGGGTTCAAGCACTTATTGTTTCACACTCTTATCTCGGGGCAGCGGGTGAGCCCCCCGGGTTTGGGGGGTCCTATAGAACTGGCTGCGCTTGGTGACTGTAAACCAAACTGTAAACAAGGAATCCGACCTGCGTGTCTTTGACTGGCCACTGAGGCTAAGCTATAAATAGTTAACCACTTTAAATGCAGAGAAGTCCCGGAGACGCGCTGCAGAGCTCCGTGCCGTATATGGAGTGGGCCATGGGCGCCGTGGCTGGTTGGGAACAGGTGGATTAGGGATGGTGGCAGGGTTTAGATGTTGGTCAAATGCATCAAATCTGTGCACAATTCCCACTGCTGTGGAAGATCACGTGATACGTGCCAAGAAACTACGGTTTGCCTAATTACTTCATTATACGCGTGGGTGTTGGCCTCAGGCCGGCTCCTCTCCGACCAATCAGTGTTAATTGTTAACGGGCCCCCTGTTGGGACGGCCTCATTACCCATGTCATCACTTTGTTTACCAACAACTGCATTTTTTGTTTGGCGGAAAGTTGTTGCCACAGTCCTGTTGTGTGAATACGTACGTTAGTCCTCAAAGGTATTTGGTAAGTAGCCACAACATTTATTTTTACTGTTATAGGAGGATTGGTTGTCCGTCCACATTATTTCCTCCCTCGCAGCTCTTGTCCCTGCAAACTTAAACATTGTCTTCGGTTCCTTTTATTAAAACCGTCTGTCTCAATCTCAGTGACGGATCTGCGCTTGTTAAACTAATATATATACACGAGGCGGTGGCCATGAATGTGGGGAGTTTACACACATCTATGTGATTATTGATGCAGGTTAGTGCTTTCAGGCACACGCTGCGCTCATTCGTCTTATCACCCTTTGCTCTGGGCCTTTCTTATCTCGGTGGTCTGAATCCGCTGGGTTTTTCTTCGGTTGCAAATACGCTTCCAAATATTAATTTTGCGTCCACAAATCATCACTCAGTTGAAAATACAGCACAACAACAACACCGACAAACGTGGCAGAAACAGTGTTTGAATGCCTCAGGAGGGCAAATTCTAGTGACATTAGTTTATTGCCGGGTCCGTTAGAAGGGACCCGACGGGGAGCACAATCCATCCTAATGTCAGTGGGGCATCTGGACGGAAGGATTTGTGCGAGCGTGACTGCCGGGGATACCGCGACAATCAAGTATAGGGAAACTGGACTATGTTGACAAACAGAAGCCGATATCCTGAGGAGTCGATGAGATGCTCAGATCGAGGTTAACGACTCCCAACATGCATCGGCTGGGATCAGATAAGAGGAGCCTGGTTGCACCTGAGCTTCTTGATCCATTGGGTTTACTTCCTATGAAACTCGCTATCCCCCATCTATGACAACATCGATTTACAATACTCGGTTAGAGCAACGTGGCAAAAGTCATCGAAACAAATTAGTTTAAAGGTGAATTTATATAATCAAATAGTTTGTTGTTACAGCCAGTCAGAAGCAGTTCCTGTGTCCCCAAACTTAACTGCACTATATGTTTAATAAAAGAGCAAAGCTACAAAAAACAGCAACACCTGGAAATGTGCAAAACTGAAAAGTGTCACATTAACTGAACTAAATAAAAAAGAGGCTGGATGGGGGAAAAACAGATTTTAAAAAATGTAGGTGACCTTTTAAGAATATTATATAAATATAAAAATGCTCTCAACTCAGACGCAGAGATTTCCTGCTTGATACAAGAGGTCGAATAGAAAGGAGTCCTTATGTTTAGAGAATCAAATAGAGATTTAGCACTTTAGTCCAAAGTGATTTTCGAAGTAAAGGGATTTTGTTTTTCAGGGAAACAGGAGGTGTGTAGTTAGCGTGCTCTTGTGTTGGTGTCCTGTGTTTTAAAGGGGTTTCTTGGCTGCAGCCACAGCAAGTCTGTTGGGATGTTTCCGCATCTGCTTCCGACTAATTTTGGGTCTGTGGTGCGTGAACAAATCCTCCTGTTTCTCTACACTCTATCCACCAAAAGCTGCAATATCAGCTCATTTCACTGGCCCACAAATCCATGTATGTTATATTGCCGTGACAAAGCGAGAGGTCTGATTGTGATGTTAATTGCTTTTTACATTACATTTAGCAGACGCTTTTATCCAAAACGACTTACATTACACTTTAAACCCATGGCTTTTTCACATTTTGCCCAGGGAGCAATTAGGGGTTAGGTGTCTTGCTCAGGGACACTTCAACTCGAGACATGGGGCAGCCGGGCTTTGCCTTGTCCAGGGCACAGGATTTATTGTTTGCAGAAAAGGAATAACACGGGCGGAATAAAAGCTCCCCAATTGTACCGGGATGTTGAAGAAATATAAGCAAGATTTTCCTCACAGGCTGAGAATAAGGAAAAGAAAGAAAACATTTCACATGATATCAGTGGCGGTATGTTTCAGAAGCAATTTTCTTTCAATGAAGCAGTTCCCTGAGGGGAAATGTATGTTACTACTTTATAATTAAATGTATTAATATATCAGGATGATATGCCTTTACCCATTAAAAGATACATTTCATAGAGTCTAATTGAACCGTTTAGGCTCAGAAATGGATGCACTTCACAATACTAGATGATTAGGATGAACAAACACCAGAGTCATGGTCCTGCACCCATCTACAAACCCTGCGTTTAAGGGATGGTCCACAGGGGACAGTTTTTCCCCATTAAACTCAGCTCAATCATTTAAGCCTAAAGGGGATTGAACGGTTTCCCCTGAAGCACCCGAGCTGATTGACACAGACAGAGACCAGTGAACCTGTAACTAACCTGTTCCAGGCGACGACTCCCGATACTCTCTGCATTTCCCCCAGTGCTGCCAGCAACAGGGACGACTTTCCACAACCCACCTGGCCCACAATCATAGTGAGCTTGCCTGCAAGGTTTTAATAGCCAGAGAGTAAGGTGGCAGATGCAGACTGCACACGGAAAGAGGTAAAGAGGGGATTTCAGGAGGCAGATTGTGCATCAGAACCGCCCGACACTTACCAAAAGGAATCTTGATGTCCACATTAGAGAGTGTTGGCGGTCCATCCGTCCAGGTGAAATAGCCGCTGGTAATCTGAGGAGAGCAAAGCGCAGACTCATGCAGACGTCAAGCTGAGCTTCACTCAGCCTTTAGAAACATTAAACATCTTCTTTTTCTTTGCTGCATTTTTCTGTGTATTGATCTTTTTCTTCCTGCGTCTCCACAGGATGGTGTCTGACCCAGGCTCCTTTTAAATTTTAAAAACAAAGTTTAAATGTTCCTAACTGCCCCTCTAACTGCCACATCTGAGCAGAGGACAAGTGGTGGAGGACGACACCTTGTCCCTTCGTCTTTCTCACCTTGAAACAGATGTCTTGGTCCATGTCCTGGTAGGGTCCGTCACCCTCGTGGTCCCCCGGAGAGTTGTAGTTTTTCCAGTCGTCCCTCGGGGGATGCTTCCGGTTTACCACCTTCAAGGGCTGACGGTGTTGAGCCAACGAGGAGGAGGAGGAGGAGGATGAAGGGAGAGGTTTAGAGGAAGGCTAGTGGAAGGCCGTGCAACACCAGACACAAAGGAAGACAATAAGATGGAGGAAGAAAACACCATTCACAGTGAGAGGCCTGCACACGGCAGCAGGGGAGCGCAAGAAACACATTTTGTTCCGCTTCATCGCTTAATTGAATCCGACCCATAATAGATGAGTTTCCATGTACTCACCACGGCCTGGTATCTATTCTGGTTGTGATTGCTGGAGCCAGAGGTTAATGTCACGCGGGGATCTTGTTCATCTCCAATCTCATCGCTCGAGAAAAACTCGCTGAGCTTCTGAACACTGCGGGGTTGATGGAGAGAAATCAAGTCAATCAATCAATGGAATAAATCTGTAGAATATGTTCAAGACACACTGATGAGTCCTACTTTATTGAACCAGCAGACAGAAGCAACATAGACTTTAGAATATGCTCACTTACATTCAACGATAACCAGCACGCTTTCACTCTCTCGCACTGTTTGTATTACAGTCACATATCTCCACATCTGCAGGGTCAAACCATTCATCTTCTGCTTCAGTACCTAAATGAGAGCAAATGCTTCCCTGATGAAGCCCATTTAAATCTAATTATTAAATCTGTCAGATCTGACTCATTTCCACCCCTCGACCCTTGTATGTATCATCATTTCCCATAAATGAAGACAGTCAGCGTAGAGCAGATAACACAGCCGAGACACAAGTGTGTGCGAAGCAGCATCAACAGCAAGGTGGGAATGACACAAGAAAACATTAAACTGACTTTGCATTTATCATATTGGCTTTTCTTTTTGTTGACATTTTCCAATATTGAGGATAAACGGTTTTCTTTCATTCCTGGTGTCTGACAAAGTGTGTCAGATCACACATCCTCAAAAATAGACATCCCGAAGGATCTGAGGCAGCTTCCACAATAAAAAAAAGTACAGCCCCTCTTGTTCAGACAAGGTGGTTACAGCAGCACGGCCTCACAATATGTGATGCTGGTTCCATCGCCCCCCCGCTCACTGCAGCGCTGCCCTGCGGTCACTGTCTATCCGATAAGCTGGAGCTGACTCGATTCAAAGGGACACGCTTCTAAGAGTTCAGCTTCATCGACCTCATGAGGTGTCCTGAGAGGACAGACAATTCATCGATATCTCCAGCTGAATCGTGCGATCACACGCGTGTAAGCGTGCATGCTTGCGTGTGCCGGTCTAATGATTGAACCAGAATCAAGCGTGTTGGTTTGTCAAAACCTTTAGTTCAGGGAGCTAAAGACAGGTTAGGGTTGGACATCGGTTCTGGGAACCTCAAAAATCGTTTGAATCTTTCAATCGATTTCTTAATGTTTTTGTTAATGTGCTTTCTTTTCCCTTTATGTTTTAATGGTTTTAAGGGAAGTCGGTTATGGCTCAACTCTTGCTGTGAATCACACTTTCTCAAAACACCCTTGATTGCCTGATTTATCTCCCGTGTCGTGTCCTTGACGACCTGCTGAAAATCAAATCTTTGTTTCCCATTTCAACGTCTCATTTTCCATGAAAAGGGAATAGATGAATTATGTTGCACACGTATGCTCTCGCAGCTCAGGCGAAATGTTTTTCCCTTCAATATTAATATTAATTTTCTTATGGTACAAAACAGACAATACGTTTTGCCTTTTCTGAACAACCACCATTTGTTGAGAGTTTGTCGGTAACTCCAAAGGAATTTTCACTTTAACAAAAAGCTCATCCAACGATGACTGCAACAAAATGCAGCTTGTTGCTTTTCAATTATCTGTTTATTGTGTTTCTGTTTGCCGTTAAAAACTCCTTACCTTAAGTATTTTCAAACATTACATAACAAAAATGGAATAGAATTTGTATTTTCTATTTTATCTATTCTCTATTGAACTGTGTTGTTCATACTTTTAAAGAGAAAATCTGCGCAAAGATGACAAATTTGATCTTGTCCTCCTACTGTAAAAATCCCAATACAGATTCTCACCTAACAAGAGCCTTCACGGTGGAGCGCACGACGCTGGAGAGCAGGAAGAGGGGGGTGACGAGGATGTGAAAGAGGGACAGAGAGGCAAAGGCCACAGCTGGGGAAAGATCGGCGTCCTCGGAGATCTGAACGTGAACCACAAACGTCTGCAGGATGAGGGAAAGGACACAATTTAGTTTAGTCTCAGCGGCGCGCTTTTACATCCTTGAACTGCTCGACTGGCTGACAGACGCTGAAGGTCCCGAGCGAAGGTGGAACCCAAGCAAACAAAAACAGAGCTTATTCTCCGGCTGTCAAAATCTCACAGTTTTACTGTGAAAACCTTTCGGAGCCCGAATCGCTGGTCTGCGTCTCTTGTGGTCAATCACCTCTCTACTTGGTATCTGTCGGCCTTTTCTACTTTGTCATGACACAAGTCTACAACTATGACCTCTGTGAATACAGATACCACATACTGTGAAATGTCCTTAGAAACGGTGTCTTCTTTGGCATAAATACATGTTGTGAAGATAACCAGAATGAATAATGAACTCACGGTCAAGACGGCTGCGATTGGAATGGCTGCGTTCATGAAAACTGAAAGCAGAAAAGAAGCAGAGAGGAAGATGTCAAGGCTTTGACATTAATAAAGTTCTTCTATTGCTACATTTTCACAAACCCACAGATATTCTGGTGAAATGTGCTCAATTATAACTTAGCACGTAGGAGGAAAAAGTCAAACATCCTTGACCTAATCAGCAATTTATTAGAATTCTTTTGAAAACAAAGTAAGCAGCCTCACAAATACGTGACCATAACATTTTTATGTTCCTCTCCTTCATAGGCGAGGAAATAGTGATCGCTCACTCTTCTTCAATATGCAGCTATTGATTTTAGATTGTAACACAGTGTATTGATCATCATGCAGCCTGCAGCAACCGTTCACCTGGACGTAAAGACATTGCATGACTTTATTGTACCGTAAATGAGAAATGAATGGAAGTACAAGGCATTTGAGCCATGCCTCAAACACCAATTCACTTCACACATACATATGTGTTGAATTACAGGCGTTGACTTCAACTAAGCTGGAACTACAATAGTAACGCAACAGGCAAGTAAAAAGCGATGCGCATCCCTAGAATTTTCCTTTTTCTGAGGAAATGTTTTGCACACGCCTCTCGCAAAGCTCAAATGTAAGTCCATGTAAGAGGGAACAAAGTGCTTTACTGGATATGCATGTGTAGAAAGCGAAGGCCTTCAGGTTGGTGAGCTCTTTGCCTCGCGTCCCCTCCACACTGTCACAGAAGATGCGTTCCCACGCATACAGCTTCAGCAGCTTGATGCCTCGCAGCAGCTCGTTGGTCTTCTTCAGCCGTTCACTGGAATATTCCTGTAAGGGGGCAAAGGGAGACATTTATTAAACAAACCATGATTTCAACCGTCTCGAGGTTCATCAAGAATTCAAAGTTTTGGATTAAACATAAAAAGACCACAAAAGTTTACATTATGATTCAACATGTGAATAAATGGTTGGTAACCAGACACTTGGTTGAAACTAACCACTTTCTTCAGTTGCTTGATGATGTACGAGAATGGGAGGTTTATAAAGTTAACTTGACTTCAACCCGTTGGAACCGGAACCGGAGTTTATTTTGACTTTCATTCATCTTTGAGGAAAATACAAATTCACAAAAGACGTTTGGACTTTGAACACAGAGCGGAGCACAAATGTGAAAGTGCATATAGGTCACGGTAATGAGAAACAGGTGTGTGTAGACGAGAGCCCTTTCTGATTGTTGTCTCAACCTTATTTCTCAGCATCTGATTTTATTGTATCCTGTATTTTGTTGTCGAGAGAGCGCGACTGGCAAGCTCTGATTTATTGATATAAAAAGTCACGACACAATATATTCTAACATAACAGTATGATGCTACTTCAGCAGCTCTGTGAGGCCTCAATTATCATCGTTATATTCTAGCGATTTGTTTTCCAGGATGGGCAGTATAAAGATGTCTGATGTAATAAACTGATCATGATAATAAAAGCATTAATAGTAGTATTTAGTATTACTGAGACGTTTTAGTCTGCATGCCCAACCAAATGACACCGTCGTTTTTAACTGCTAGCTTTAATCATACGCCATGTGTGATCATAACGGTCACACTCAACGCGTCTCTGTGGGAGCGCCTGTAGAAATCCTCACCAGGGTGCTCTTCTGTGTCTGGGACAGTTTGGTGGCCACAAAGTATTGTACTGGAGCTAACACAGCGATGACTGTTGCCCCGATCAAGGCACTGATTCCCAGGAGGTAGTAGAGCAGGATCACTCCTACGACGATCTGAGAGAAACAGAGAGACAACATATCATTTAACCTTGCGGAGGAATACAAATTTCCAGAAAGGCAGTTAAACAACGTTGCCCACTGACTATTTAAATAAACTGCGCTATTCATAAATGCATGTTTACAAGGGAAGGAGCACGCAAAGCTGCACATCTCCATACAGGAGGTATTTCTGTCCTCGGCTCCTTTCTGGCCCACATCACGCTGAGCACACGCAGGGTTGCAGGAATCCCCAGGACACGCGGGGCCGGATGGAGACGGATGTGACATTTTCACAGACGCACACCCCTCCGTCATCCGTCACAGTGTAACGTGTGCCACCGGCGACGTGGTGCGCAGCGGGACAAACACTGCGGCCTGTGATTTGATTAGCGTTTTTTCAATTATTAAAGGTTTTTCTTTAGTGCCTTTTAAGTACTGTCTGTAGTCTGTAACCAGACCACCAACCCGCACACAGTTTCTGTGAGAGATGTAAAAAGCTTCATGATGGATGAGGTGGACAGCATTGTCGTTCCCTCCAATTCAACAAAATTTCGATACTACTTAACTTACAAAGAAAATGTGCTTTTGTAAATTTCTGATCAGCAAATCACATTTAATAAATGTGCAGTGAAATGAAATACTCCCAAATATACATTCCCAGTAAGCTGCCAAAGCTGCAATTATTATTGTTGTTTATGAGTTTTGGCAGCTACTGTATGTCCTGGCATGGAGGGTTAATACATTAACACGCAGCGGAAGCGTCAGCCGTCTTCTACTCCGCTTATCCTGAGAGGGTCGCGAAGGGGCCGCAGGCGATCCCAGCAGTCACTGGGCGAGAGACAAACACTCTTGACTGGTCGCAAGTCAATCACAGAGGCCGAGACACGGAGACAATGGACCACTCACTCTGACATCCACACACCTACGGGCAAATTGGAGCTACCCGTCAACCCCGCGGGTTTTTGGACTGTGGGAGGAAGCCGGAGGACCCACAGAATCACAGAATTCAAATGGGCCAACAAGTTTTTTTACATTTGTATGGCATGAAAGATGCCAGAGGGAAGAAAAAGAACCTGCTAAACGTGACAGGAAGGAATCCTGACCAGGACGGAGACCAAAGGGTTGCTGGTATTTTCATGATTGACTATAATGTTTGGATTAACGGTACCTTCTCTTAGGGACTTCATAGTATATGAATAACAACACAAATTACACAGTACTGTCATGACTAACACAACCCATTCGTAGCAGAGCATTAGTGTCGTGGTCACAAGCTTTAAATTGACTGCACACATTTACAGGGAATCTTTTCCCACAGGGGACATAACACCTGATGCTCCTCTCGGCCTTCACATCTCTATTTACAATCCTTTTATTCCCCCAGCATGAACATAAGGCCTCCTTATCCCTATGAACCATGAGCCTGATGAGAAAGGACAACGCTGTGGACAATGAGAAACGCAACTTCAAAGTCAACCCAAACACAACTGTGCAATAACATACAAGGAAGGAGCAATGCAATAATGCAGGCAGCTTGATGGCAACGACAAAACAAAATGACACATTGTGTAACTTGATTCATAGATTGTGGCGTAGCTACGGATCTAACAAGCGTAGCTGACGGCCCTCACAGAGATATCCCATGACTAAGCTACTTAAATAGAGTAGAAAAATGTGTGTCCTACCTGAACTGGCATGGCCCACAGGTTAGGGCACAGGAAAAAGAACCACATGAGCTGGTTTGTATCTATGGCAACCAGGTTACATATCTGAGCAACGGTTAACTCGCCCATGGAGATGTTGGAGGTGCACAGACGCATGATCTTGTTGTAGATCTTCGTCTGGTGAGAAGATCACAGGAGCCACATTCACGTCCGTGTGGACAAACAGTAGAAGCTTAACAATATGTTTTGGCTGTAGGTGGAACATTTCCTGTACCTGTATGGCACCGCGCAGGTTGATGCCCGTTTCAATGGCCACGTAGTAGGACGCTTGGAGAAAGGTCCTCTGCAGGAGCAGGGCGAAGAAGAGGAGCACAGCAAGCACATATGCGTTCTCGAGAAATTCCTTGGAGGAAATGAAATATATTCCCAGCAACTTCATCTGGAAACAAGGACAGGTAGGAAGAGGAAGAGGAGACAGACAGTATTTATCATTTTAGGACAGACTTGAGCCTCTGCAAGGTCAATCACACAAGATGAACCTACACAGGATTGGATTCCGGTCATGAATCGTCGACTGATATCGCTCCTGCCAAACCCTCCCAAGGTCGAGGGATACACCATTCGTTTAAAATGTATTTAGATTACACAGCAGGCTACAACGTTGCATATGAAGCCCAGCTACTTGAAGTGGATAGAATAACATATATCTGAGAATATATCTATGACCTTATCCCACAGCGTTGCGTCACGATTGCATGCATTGCTGTAAGGTTTTTTTCCCCTCACCGGCTGCTGAATAGTGCGGTTGTCCTTGCTGATGTGGTGGACGATGCCGGAGATGCAGAGGGGCCCGGCGAAGCCCAACAAGTCAGCCAGGAAGCGGAATGTGATGCTGAGGATGAGAGGTCGGCCGAATGCTTTCCTCAACGCCTGCCAGATCAACTTTGGTCCCTGGGCGGGGGGGAATAAAAAGAAAGGGGGTCAGAGGAGGAAACTTATCAGCATGGTGATTGAATATAATTGGGGGAAATGAACATCATACAGAGAATAGGTCATCATGTCAATATATGTCATGTCAGCTTATCGGCAGTGACTGAATGACAATTTTGTCTATTACTTTGAAGAATTTGGATTGATCATTATCCATCCGAACATTCATCTTGTTACATTCGCGTGATGACGCAGGCTGCTGTTGAAGATATGTGATACACAAGCATTTTTTCTGTGGAGCTGTAATTGCTGCACAAGAGGAAAAAAAGCATCAACGTTGGACAATGCAGCTTTTCTACCAGAGCCAGAGAGGTCTCTGAGTATAAAAGATGATCCCATTATCTCGAGGGTCACTCCACCACGGCAACAGAAACCTGGAAAATGAGGTCACGTTGGGGGGGGCCCCCGTCCTGCAAGGTGCTGCATCATGGGATGCGGTGATTAAGGGTGATTGTGGTTACAGCGAGGATCAGAATCAGTTAGTGGAAACAGACAGACGTTTCTCAAATGAAAAGTCGTTAAAAATTACTGGAAGAGCCACTGCTCTGAATAAATCTGACATTTATAATGTCCAAAATAGATCAAATTCACAACAAGACAACAGCAAGATTCAGCTAGTCATGATCAGAGGAAAACATCTGGTGGCCGTCACTGTGCAGTAAACACTCCCAGAACATTTCGGGGATGTTTGTGCACGTCTGTGAGAGCTTGACTGATTCATTGACAGAACTGTGAGAACAGACGTGACCGACAGCATGAACCTCAGCCTTCACACAGAACCTGTGTCCCTGTGCATGTGTCACACACACACACACGCCAACACACACACACACACACACACACTCAAACACACACGCCAACACACGCACACACACATCCTTTCTTTCTACCTTGGGTTCAAACAAGAAGGAAGGAGGACATTTCTTCTCACACGTGCAGAGTGATTCTAGCTTCCCATGGAGCGCAGAGCTTTCACCCCCGCAGGGGTCGAGATGTCGCCTCGTTCACAGTAGAATGATCAGCCGTCTCTGGGCCGTTTTCTGAAATGCCCCCCCTCCTCCCTGCCTCTCTGCCTCCCTTCCCCCACCTCTCCACTGGGACCTCTCAGTCTCTCCCATCCCTCGCTTCTGCCGGAAGGAAAGTGGGTGGCGTTCACATCGGACGCAAATGCGTCAGTGACGAGTCTCTGTGACCTTCTAAACACTGGAAAACAACGACCTGTGCAGGAGGCCTCCTCACCTCTGACACAAAGCCAGGAAGAGAGGAAAGAAGGAGAAATGACAGGCAACGTCAAAGAAGCAGACATTCAAAAAGGTTTAAATGTTATATTAATGGGAGGAAGTTCTGTTTAATTCTTTTTTTCCCCAACTATTTCATTTTGGAACAATATAAATACTCTTCATTTATAAATGCGTGTTGACATTTGAAAACGTTTTAATGCCTTTTTCAGTGGGTTGCATTGCATAATTTTTGCCGAAAGTGACATTGATTTTGTTCCATTTCACCAAAGCAGCAAACAGCAATCCTCCATCCACTTTCTATACCGGCTTAGAGTCATACGGATTCCAGCACGCAATGGACACGAGAATCAATCAGATGTTTTCCACTTCACTGAATCTGCACGGCTCCTGACTGCAAAAGGAGACCCGACATGAAAAAGTAAAGTTAATACACTTGGCACCAAATTGCCCTGAGCCAAGTCAGAACCTTATGAAGCAGAAATATTTCGCACGGGAGGTTTTTAATATTCGGTTGACGCTACGTACATGTAAAAATAAAAATAATTACGTTCCTCACCGTATGAAGCCAAACACTACCAAAAGCATACATAGAAAAGTCTAAACCTCTCTGACACAAGACGTTTCACAAAATTGAGGTAATAAGCAGACAGAAAGAATAAGCTTGAGAATGTGTGCGTGTCTGAAGGCAGTGGGACATCTCAGTGTTTACACTGTTTGACTAATCACCTCTGTGACATCCGAATACATGTTGATGGTCCCAGTTAAGCCAGGAATGAGTCATCGCAGGACAGACGTCTTTACTGAGACACGAAATCTTATTCCCAGATCACCTCGTGCACGTGTCAAGGCTGACAAACCAACCAGATTCAACATAACAAACACAAGCTTTACTAAGGCAGTTAAACTAACAAAAGTGAAGTGGTGGGACCATAAAGAGCCAAACAAACTGGACTCCAAGCTCTTACATATTAATACCCCTTGCACCATTGGGGGGGGATACAGTTGTGATTATTTATTCATCTCTATTCAAGAGATGCTTTTGATTTCCTCCACATCATTTACAAGACCTCAGATCTGAAATATAACACATCTCCCTCGCAGATTTGCAGAAGATGTCAAATTCCGGCCAATATTCAGGGAAAACACTGCATTAACTCGTGTAGCGTTTACGGTATCAGTTGGCGCATCGACCTTTTGGTCGTCGAAGGCCTTCCGCAGCTTTATGTAGTTGGTGAGAGCTCTCATGGCGATGGGCAGTTTGCCGATGACCTTGAGGTCGATGGGCCGCCTGTGAGCGGCGGTGATGAAGGTGTTCATCCACCAGTAGGTGGCTTTAGAAAACAGGTTGACGAAGGGCTGCAGGAAACGAACACCCAGGTCCTGGAGGTCCTCAGGGGGCTTCACCTCTGTGGGTTCGGCGTAACACATGTAGCGCTGTGAAGATCAAAGGAAGAACAGAAAGATACGCTATTGGTACAAAAACATGCATTGATTTGATAATAATGATGATTTCCTGCATAGAGATGCAACACAATAGATACGATAGATAAAACACATTTTAGAGGAAAACCGTAACCAGAGGAAATATAAACACACCTAGAATCAACAAAAGTTATCATTATAGTAAATGGCCAGATCCTTTCCGCTTTATGAAAGTGACCATAACTGCCTCTGACGTCCGACTTTGACGAGGTTCAAAGGTGTATCAGTGTCACAACAAACGGGATCTTTATGTTCATAAGCTTCATGTTACGCCCTCGTCATTTGTCTGGGTGTGTTGTATGGATTGCACGGTGAACGACCCGATCATGGTCTTGGTTTTGATTGTTCAAATTTTGGACATTTTCAATCGTCCGATTCTTTTTGAACACAACGTATACTGTACATGTCTCCTTTGGAAAACATAAACCCTGTGTGTGTGTTGACCTCTGCCCTAAGCAAACATCTTTTGTTGACTCTTACTCTTAGCAGCATTCAGAAGTACGTTATTAATAAGCATAATTCAATAGTTTATATTGTACAGACATGTTTATACTATCTAGATGCATTTTCATAATTATTAAGTTCAGTTATGCCATTTTCTCAAATCTCTATTCACTGTGTTTATTCGTCCTCCATGAACAAAACGACAAATACTTCCGATTGTTAAATCAACTTAAATGTATTTGTATAAAACAAGACATGATTTTTTTGTAAACACAATATTATTCTTATCTTAATTGTTGAAGGATTTGTGTTTTTGTAAAACAATAGTGTTTGGGAGTATTCCGTATTCCACTGCTTTCAATTTGCATCGGGAGGCAATTTCACTGCACCACTGATTTTCTGTTTCTACATTCAATTCGGTGAATTCAATAGACGTGAAAGCAGGTTAGTGCGGTCAGCAAGGTTCATTGATGAATACAGCAGCCTATAATGAATACACAATAGAGACCATTTATCCTTCGCAGATATAATAAATCCCACTAATTAGAGTGTTTTTAGCAATGCACATGTTAAAAAGGGGACATATCAGGCCGACCGTCGGTCATTTGGTTCACTACTTTGATTCAGACTGAAATGTCTGAAGTATTATTGGATGGATTACAGTGAAATGTTATACAGGCATTAATGCCTTCCTCGGGTTAAAGGCAAATTCATTTAGTGATCTACTGACCTTTCATCTGACTCCACCGTGAAGTTTAGTTTCTTTACAAACATGCAGAATCATTGCACCCAAAACTTTATTCCTGTCCAGTGGAGCTTTACTTATGACTGACCTCTTAAGCTATTTGGATTCCAGATTAAAAAGGAAAAAATGAATGAATTAGCCGGCTACATACAGCATCACCTCCAAGACATCACACACAAACTCACCCGTCCCATAATGACATTGATCTCCACGGCCAGCAGGAGCCCATACAGCAGCACCAGCAGGCCGGTGATGCAGTAGCGTAGCTGCCTCGGGCTGATGCCGTGCTCGGTGTACTTGGCGAACTTGATGGTCTTTGTGACGAAGGCCAGCACCCAGTAGATGAGCAGGGCTGAGGGGATTTAGATGGGATCAGAAAACGACAGCAAATCGCTCGGCGAGTCAAAAGGATGACTTGTTCGATTTGTAAAAATCAAATATAGGTGTACTTTACGAACCTTGCCTCTGTAATTTCAGGTAGATGAGAAAGTTAACAAAAAATGTAAGGATACGGTACCTAATAGTAGTTTGGGGAAGTTGGAGGTCTCAATGTTATGATAGTAGACGATAGAGGTGATACCAGCCATGAAGGCTAGACCTGCTGGCATGTACAGGTGAAGATGAGGGGATTTGCTGAATCTGCGGATGAAAACCAGATAGGAAGAAAAAGCCTAGAGTTAGTAAAAACTGATTCTTAGTGGTCTGCAGAAATGGCTGAAAAACACCCTGAGTATTTACTGGGCACCGTTGTGCATGGGCTCATTACATGGGACACAAACTAGATTCTTATGGCCCAGGAAGAGAAGGCAAGGCAATTGTATTTGAATAGCACATTTCAACAAGGCAATTCAAACTGCTTCACATAAAACCATTAAAAACATCCAAACGTTGAGAAGAGATTTACTAACAGTTAAGAGAAAAGGTTTAAAGAGAGACCGGACAAAGGTATGTTCCCTTTTCAACCACGTCCGCTTGTGTTTCTTCATGAGTCGACTATAATCAACTATTTCACTTGGTGTATAAAGTTTATAAACTGTTGCTGTGTTTGTAGGTAAATGAGTAAATTCTATAACATATTCTTTTAATAGCTAATACTTTATTCTGTGACAAAGGCGGCACGTTATATTAGTTACTAGCAGTAGTTTGAATGAATTAGTCAAACATACCCATCGGAGACGATGCCTTCTCCAATCTCGCATACGAGGATGAAGAGCAGGACGAAGGTGAGAAGCCAGCGCAAGTTGTGACCCGGGAAGTGAAGCCAGGTGCTGTGGTGGATGTGGACCTTTGAACTTTGGCTGCCCCAGCCTTCAACGCGAATGAAGCAATAAAGCATGTCAGATTTTAGAGACAGAAAATGAAAAGACGGCAGTCAGAAAATGTGAAGATGATAATAGTTGTCTTTAGCTTGTAAGTGCACTCATTGGAAGGCTTTACTCAGGGCTCTCTACTCCCAGTGCAACGTCGAACATCATGCACTCTGTGACAAAGTGCTCTCCTACAAAGCTCCTGCACAGCTGAATAAAAAATACACTGAAATAAAAGGTCTGCAGAGAATAATGACAGACTAACAAGCTTTCTCAGTTCGTTGTTCGGTGCTTTATAAGCCGGTTGGAGCGGCTTTCTTAACACCCTACAGTCATTTATTTCAGCTCGCAACGTGTCTGCAGCATCTTTCCTCTTAGTCCCATAACATAAGCCAGATGTTTGTCTCAACTTGGACCATAATATGGTAAATGGTAAATGATTCAGCCATCAAAATGCAATTTCTGTCATTAATACGGGTCACTGCTTTGATAAAACACATCTCGGCTGACCACATTGTGTTAATGAGGCCTATTTTGGCACTTTAGCTATTGCAGAGTTTATCTTGCTGAGATTTTTTGGCACAAGCTAGCGATCACAAATACACACACACACACACACACACACACACACACACACACACACACACCCACACACACACACTGCGTTCTAATGTTTTGCCTTACCGCGGGGACATCTATTCGAAATACATAACAAAATCTCTTAAATAACAAGGTTTTCATTATAATTAAGTGCAGGTAATTAGGAATTTGTGTTTTCCAGTGTTGTTGGTGAAATGATTAGACGACAAAAAAAAAAAAAAAATCCGCTTCTGAAAGGTAAAGATGGTTTTCTTAGCTTTATGGGATATTAATTGATTTTGGACTGCTGGTGAGACAAAACAAAATAGTTGAATATATCAGCTTCTCTCAGTTTCTGAGAAGTTTCTCTCTTTGTAATGGTTAAAAAGAAGAAAAAATATATATATATATATATTTACCAGCAGAATAATCAATTGATGAATTGCTCCACACACTACAGTACTTGCAATAACGGCACGGCAGAAGGCAGCGCACAATACAGTTTGTAAAGTCAGTGATAACAGCACAGCTCTAGGTGACGGGGTCCTTTACTTTTGGCAAAGAAAGACGACGGCTTTTAACATGAGAAATAAAACATTTTTGTGAACTGGGAACATCTCAACTTATAGGACAAAAAAACGAAATGTTTTGAGCAACTCTGAAGGCCTTGTGCGACATTGCTAACAAACAGGTGATAATGTGTCCAACGGACGGACAGACATTGCCATGAACGGAGGGATTTGTATTTGCTGCTAGCACGGATAAAAAAGGGACATTTAATACTTGTAAAATGTCTCTTTGGGTTAAAAGTAACCCGAAAGTATTTAGCGGAAAAACCGCAGCACAGAACAAAATCAGCTGACTGAGGCGCCGATATGTGGACCTGCATGAAAAAAAAAGGCGCTCGTGGTAGACACACACACACACACACTGACGTGAGAGAGCATGCCATGAAGTGGGAGCATGTGTGATGGTGTGCAGCGACACATAGCTGTTTCACATCAACGATGACTCTAATGGAATATTTAAGAGCAGAGGAGGTGCCACCTCATGCCGTCTGTTTGGCTTTACATACATTAGAGGAGACACGTTTGCTTACAGCTCAAGATCACGGCTCAATATGCCCTGATTTCCTTGAGACTCATATTTTTGACCTTGGCTACGGGACAGCAACACCTAGAGGTTGTGATAGAAGTTAACGAAGCATAAGATGGTGTTTTAATTGAAAATAAGCAATTGTTAGTTCCCTAATCACAAATACAAGTAAAGTAGGCAATGGAGAAAGTGAGAGGGACATACAGAGAGCATGATAAAACAAATCAATCTTTGTGTTACGTGTGTGTGTGTGTGTGTGTGTGTGTGTGTGTGTGTGTGTGTGTGTGTGTGTGTGTGTCTGTGCCGGCAGATGTGGTGGGAAGTAGCTGAGGATCTCACCTCCCCGCGACACTCACCGATGAAGAGGATGGGGAAGGTGATGAAGAGGAGGAAGACGTGTGGCACCACATTGATTGCGTCCAGGAAACAGCCGTTATTCAGGACCCCCTTGTCCACGTTGTAGGCCACCGAGTTATTCTCGTTCCCACAGAATGCCCAGGACATGGTGGAACCGGGACTCTAATGGGAACCGGACAGAAGTAGAGAGAGAAGGAAGAGGAGGCGAAGGAGGGGGTGGGGAGGCAGAGACAGCGGAGAGACAGAGATAAAAAAAAAAAATGAAAAAAAAAAAAAAGAAGACAGTGAGGAACACTGGAGACTCGTCAGCGGATAATTCCCAAAGTGACCTCCTTGCTGCTCCCTCTCGGATGCCGCTCCCGAATATCGGATCTAATGAAAGAGAGGAGACCGAAGGACACCAGAGGAGACCGGAGGAGACGTGAAGGAGGGAGATGAGGGAGACAGTCACAGCCCGGTGCAGCAGCAGCAGCAGCAGCAGCAGCTCGCTTTCCTCTCCAGCAGACTACGCTGCTTTCCAAACCATGCAGGTAAGAAACATCTGTATCCCGTGTGCCTGCTGTCTTTAGACATCCTCTAGAGCTGGAGGTGCACTTGGCGCCGAAAGGCTCCGCTGGAATCCATTCGGGAACACGGATCCACGCACGCACAGCAAGAGCAGCGGTGGCATTCTGCAGTGCACCTGCTATTCCTGCCCCGATAACACGCGAGTCTTTAAGTGCCCCTTGGCCCAAAAAGGCAGAGGGGGGGGGGGACAAAATCCCGCCCACCTGAAGGACTGGGATACAAAACTTCTAAATGTAGGATTTGGTATTTGGGGGGGGGGGGGGGGTAGTGAATGATGAAGAGCAAGGGGGAGGAGGGACAATGAGAGGGGTACAGCTGCTGCAATCGTCACGCTCAAGGTACGAGTCGAAGCATGAGCAAGCGCTCTCTCGTTCCAGTCCAAACGCCGCGATTTAAGCAATTACATAACTCTGCAGTGGGTGATTTACTGCTTTAGTCCACATAACATCTCCAGTAGCCTTAAACAAACAGAAGGAGAAACACGGTCGCAACTCAATACATACGTACGCTTCATGCATAAGAAATAGAGACATTAAATATGAATGAAGTCCCGTGACGGATACGTTGGGCGTCCGCAGGAGAAGATCTCGCCGCAGCCAATGGCAGCCGACTTGTTCAGAGGGATCAGTGAGAAGACACATGGTAGCAGATTTTGATAATCCACGTATCCACGGGGATGACTCGGGGCCATTTCTGGTCAAAGTGATTCATTTTTTTAAATAATCCGTACCATGGCAACAACAGATATGCCTCAATGCACTGAGCAGTTCACAGTGTTTGCACACAACAAAATAGTAGTGACGTACATTTAGTCAACCAATGAAAGACCATGTAGGTCTGAGGTTTATCAAAATATGGTCCTGTGCTTGCTATAAAATGTCTTTCCAAGCTGTTCCAAATTAGGTTCTTGAACGTGCAGACAGAAAAGGCTTTTTGCTGTAATTAAATCTCCAATTTCAGATGTCTATTTTTATACTAAAAAGAAAACACCAAAGTGTTCTCGTCAAAGAAGTCGTAATATGCAGCTCTGACATTGAAGGTCGATGCATTTAATAAAAAGAGTTCACAGCAACTGCAGCCACCTCCTGTATCGTCCTCCTGCCACCAGCTGTCAGTACACAGTTTAGCATTGTATGGGGATTTGGATAAATTAAGTTAAGAAAATGGCGTATTTTGATAACTGTAACCTATTAATCAAAATGGCACAGCACACACTAGCCAGATGTCGCATTGGCACGAGTTTCACTGAATAAATGAGAATATATATCAGTATAACTAAAGACCACAGTTTTATCATGCACTGTTTTTCTCTAGCTTCTTTTTACAGATGGAAAAACTGACTGCGCTGTGGTGGCCTTGATCACATAAGACCTCTTCATTGCTCGCCTGGGGAGAGTTTAAGCTGAAGTGTTGGTCGAAAGAACAAAAGTAAGTACCAGCAGTGGCCATATAGATGGATAAAGATAACCTCATAAAGAAAAGGAAAATAGGTCAGTAGCCTGGGGAGCTGACAGCAAAAAAGAAAGAAGAACAATATTAGGATACATTTCTCCATCTGGCTCTGTGTGAGTTGCAGCAACTTAACAGACCAGCCGCAAAAACCTGACACATCCAGCGCTTCACACCTCAGTGTCTTGCCTCTAGTAATGAATAGATGCCTCTGATGTAAAATGCCATTACCACAGACACATGGCTTCTTTAAATAAATTAGATGATTATATAATAATAATAACAACAACAATACAAAACCGGTATAATGTAAATGTGTATCCTTTGTAAAAACGTGGAGATTCCCATGTGATCTGTTTTTAGGTCCTATGTGGAATTGAGAAATACAGTGCGGGCAGCCTTCGATGCAATGCGTGCATGTGCATGAAATGCTAACAAAGCGCTGCAGTATACTATTCAATAAGAGAGTATCGATCAGTGGGACCAGATGACACCACCTCCAGCACTTACCGGCTTATATCGGGAGATCATTGTGTGTTTTAGCGGCGGTTCCCTCACGAAACACTCTTCAGTACCGTCACATCCGTCCGCTTGGATTTTAAATAAAGAAAATAGGGTTTTCTAAAAAAAAAGTCTCCCAAATGACAGTCTCGCATGTGCTCACAGGGCCGACGTCTCGCTGACCCACTTTCTGCGCCGCCGCTTAAAGAGGGGAGCCGCCAAGTAGCTGTCCGCGGTGCTGAACCCGGGTACCGAGGAGGAGGAAGAGGAGGAGCGGAGGAAGAGGGAGAAGGAGGCAGATCCTCCACCCAAGGCCCCCCCTTTGGTCTCTTGTCATGAACCCACCACAGCGGTCGATGCGACGCTGAAACTCAGCAGCAGACCGCTGTCACGTATGTCACCGTGGGAGTGGATGTGTGCACGCAGCGCTTATGCAACGTTGCAAAGCTGCACGGCGGTGCAACGCGCATATTACAATACACCGTGCATTTTTTTCGGCTTTTGTGTTGTGTTTGCTTTATTTAAGACTACCTAACATGCATATTTAGCGCAATTTCACTACTGTAAACTGATTTATCTTGAACAAGTCTTTATTTATGGCTATGCGGCATTCGGGTTTATTCAAATTAGAATGATAAAACGCCCTGGGACGCCCTCAGTCAGAGTCCGCTTGGTATTAAAGAAGGCGCACTATTGCCCCCTGTGGACATTTAATAAAGAAAACTGTCTGGCTCCCCACACTCGAAGGAAATCGATGCATAACTGGTCAAATAGTAAAAAAAAAAAAATAGGTGAAGGAGATGGAAAACTGTTCACCTCAAGTTCTGTGAAAACGAGTAGCCTGTTGTTTCACTTTTAAACCCTTGAAATGGGGAAAATCCTCCCGTAAGGTTTTAATAGTGTAAAACCTAAGAAACGTTTTTCAGTGCGTCAGTCGTGGAAATAAAAACATGAATTTGCTTCAAATTAATTTAGTTGCTAACATCATGTTGAAAAACACAAGTGAGGGGTCAATCCGGAGGCACAACACAAAATCAATTCTCTAATCATGAGCGTTCCTCCGACGATTAGAGTGCTGATATTGATTAAAGTCTGCCTGCTTTTGTTTGCCCTTTATTGTAATTCTGACAAATATAGTACACTTCTGAAAGAAATAATCAGTATGACCATGCAAAGTCGACCATACACGTGAAGAAGTAAAGCAGACAACGGAATATTGACTGGATCGTCCTTCAACAAATCAACACAATATCTTGATGCATGGCAGAAGTACGAGGCTTATAAAGACCTTTTAGTAATGCTAAGTAAAAACAATCTTCAGCAGGACTGTGAATCCTGAAGGAACCTTCAACTCTCAAAGGCTCCGGTCTCAGCGGGGTTTTCTTGGCGGTCGATGAGACTAGAAGAACGTTCTGCGAGGGAAAGAGAGAGAAGAGAACATGTTCTTTGCCAAGTAAAAATGTTAAACCTGCTATTCTTTGCTTGCCTCAATCACTGCACATTAAATACAACAGACCAACACATGCATGTGAGTTTTAGAAACCCTAAATGATCAAAGCTTGGACCAAAACCTTTTGGGGCTTTTTCAGGGTTCGATCGGGGTCACTAAAAAATGACCCCGGTCGAGAACATTTCTACTGTAGCGGAGGAGGAAGGAATACCCCCGCACAGTAACACCCGGTGTCTCTTTAGTGCCCATGGATGTCAGGACATGCAACAAGATCGATCAGAACAACTGCTGAAGGCCGCGTGACTTTTACGAGTTGACCATGACCTGACGACGCAGGAAGGAACCAAAGAAGACACACGTGCATCCGTGTGTTTATAAGCAGCTCGCTAGGGCGGCATTTGGCAGATACATGGTGGGACGGGTCACTGATTTCATAAGTTGTTGTCTATTCACCCGAGTAAAGAAGAAACATCACCCCGAGGCATTTTTCAAATACAAAACCTGCACACTGTATATGATGTATAGACCCACTGGCCCGCCAGCTTTTCTTTCTTTGAAGGGAAACAACTGCTCAGCTAGGGAGAGACTGTCACATGTGCTCAGGATGAAAAAGAAATCGGGGGCAACACTCAAAAGCAAATGTCACACTAAACCTCTGCGGTGAAGAGCAGCACGAGAGGCTAATTGAATTACCAGGACGAGGGTGAGGGTGGAGGAGAGGGACGGCTAGGGCTGAAGTAGGTACCCGTGTCTGTACAGCGCTGCACTGCCTTCAAACACCTTTCTGTTCCCAGTGGGACTGACTGATGCCGACTTAGGGCTGCTCACACGTGCACACAGACAGACAAGCCGCGTGGTCAAATGCTGTGGACTACTGGGCCACTTTCATTAGACTATGGCCTAAAGTAGAACACAAAATGTGGCAGATGTCTATTCTTAATGACATAATGCAAAAATGGATTATGCACAGACTAGAACATGAATAATCATGAGGAAGGCTTACACTTCGTCTTCATATTCCTTTGGAGGGGAAACGGCAATCACAACATCAATCCAGTCCTGAAAGTAAAAACAACACTTACCGTACATTCATTTTTTACTTGCCTGAATTAATAGAAAATATGGAGCCTGATTAAAATACTGAAATGAGTTTGAAAACAGAAGCATAAATGTTGGAAGGGGTTCAGGTCAAATAATAGGACACTCTATTGTTGTTGGGTTAGGGTTTACTATGGCTTCCTCTAATCTGACTCCTACCCCTCCGCTATTCCAGGCCCGAGCCAGAGAGTTTTGCCCCTCGGTCAATGTTGCATCAATCAGGATCTTCCCATTGACAGCCATTAGTTCATCCCCGGGTACAACTCCACCTACGAAGACACAAATGAGAGATGGCTCTGTCAAACATGGCTATTCGCAGCGGTGAGACACACAGAGGGTGAGTGCCACAACCAGCTGCAGAGGTATATATAGAGGTCTGTGTGAAGAGACGCTCACAAGACACTAAACACGTGAACCCTCAACACGTCCCCCACGGGGATGCAGTCTCACAGTGGGAGTCAATTTGACCTGAAGCTTGTGTCTTTATTGTTTGCACAAGGGTAAGTAAGCAAGCTGGGACAAAACATGTTTTATTTAAGTCCAAAGGCCAATTGTGCGCTTTTTACGGATTTAAAAGACAAGCATTAGTTTAGAATGAAAACGTAAAATGAACTGACCGTGCTTATCTGCCGCCCCACCTTCATAGACAGACGATATCACCAACTTCCCCAAAGGAGAGTCTGCGCCTCCCTCCAGGGCGAGGTCCAGCTGTCCAGTCTCGAGAACAATGAACAAAAGCATCAAAATCTACCAGTCATGTTTTTCGGATATCACACATCACACACGTGATTCGAGAAGGTTTGTTTCATCCATGAAAGTGAAGGAGGCAGGAGAAGCGGCGCGGTACCTTCTTGATTCTCAGCACTCTCACATCTCGCCCGTCTATCTGGTCCGAGGAGAACTAGCAACATAGAAAGGATTGAAGAGGGTAAAAGCACAAAACAACACTGCAGATGCTGGAAAGGAAGTGAACTAATAAATAGAAGTGCTAAAATGAAGAATGGCTTTCCATTCTGCATCAGTGTATTCTCAGTTTACTACCCTTTGGGAGTTATTAACTACGGATGGTATAACTTATGAGAAGAAAACAATTTGTCACAAAATGATCATTGTTCTAATAAAAAAATATATAAAATATCCCTTACTCACACAAAATACACTTGATCATACTGACCATAATTTCATGTTGAATCATTGTTGTAATGCTAGTTATAAATTGTCTTTGGTATAATAATTTACAATGACTGCAAAGGAAATCAAACATTTTAGAAGCTAATCTATAATTAAGTATGATGGCTTATTGATACTATAGACCCAACCGGTTTACATTTGTAGTAAGCTAGAGCTAAGTACCACGTTCCTTTTAAACTGCAAACAATATACCACACCAACAATATACATTACCATGGAGTAGGGATCAAAATCTTCCTCGTATTTCTGAAATCCCTGAAAGAGAATTAACATGTAGCTCATTAAAACTGATTGATACATTAATAATGGATTAGCAAACTTGACCAAATGAAAATGAAAGGAACTTAGAAATATTAGTAAGATTTCCTTTGACAACCAGTTTTATAGAACAGATGTAAAACCCGTCTATTAAATGAAAAACATGAAGACACAGGGTGACTTTCAAAGACTCCCACTTTCATTCAATAATGGCGAGCACAGTTAGCAGGAACACGCGCACACTCACACAAAATCAGTCCTAATCACTCCTCCCAAAGACGGCAGCAATTTCATTTGAGGGAAGGAAACAGAACAACGGACATCACATTAATCCAGCTGTGATAACTCAGAGCCATTCCTCCCCTTCCATAATAAAGACGCGTTCATTTACATCTTTATTTTTGTTTAGTTTTGATGCAAACAACCCATTTGTAACATTTGATCTATGTGTTGTGACTGGAGAAGGAACTTGAAGAGACCCCAAACAATTGAATGGATGTGTTATTTAGAATGATCTAATCTCACGAGAGTGATGAGCAAGAAAAACTCTGCACACGGGACCAACTGAAGTAAAAAGGCAGATTACTACAGTCGATGACGCTGAAGCCGTCTGTTGCCAGATCAAAACCGATAAGAGCAGTAAGAATGACACATGCGTTGCCACAGTGTTTGTTCACAGTACTACCGTGTACTCCACATACACAAAAGAAGTACAAGCTACTCAACTCGACCTTAAGGCACGGACGATGAGGTCCACAAGGACACCTGATGTGTGTGAGCATACAATACAGTAAGAATAGGAGAAAGAAAACGCTCAAGAGAGGTCAAAATCAATACAGGTGGTGAGAAGTAGAGATTACTTGTCGTTTGCCGTTTGATTTAAAAGACGCGTTGAAAGGCACCATCCGTTTCAGCATTTCCGGAGGCTGAAAACACATCAAACACGTATCAGCTTTAGCGCACAAAACAAAAACACAACAAACGGCACCACCGGTGCTGGACAGTGGTGTGGGTGGTGCAGCAGCGACAGCTGTGGTGTATTCCAGTCTACCGGCTGTAACAACACTGAGTTATTGACTCAAAATCAACTTTAAAATGTGGTAGTATTTATTCTAATGAAGGATATTGTTTGCTGAATATCGTGTGTTGAAAACAAAGCGGCAACGCTAACTTTCTTTTGTCAGCACTTCCAATAAAAAATTTGAAATGTATCTTTTTGTATGTTAATTAAACACACTGAAGTACAGTCGTGTGCCGCGGCAGCGTGGACTACTCGATTAACACACGTGGTAAATCATCTCAGTGGGGATATTGATGATGATTTACGGCAACCCTTCAGCTCCCACAGAGTCAAGGTGACTCCCAGCAAGCGAGTTCACCTTCCGGCTGCAGAGGTGCTGCTGAACTGGTGGAACGAATGTGTGGTTGTGTTTCTCAGGCGTAACCTTTAATGCCAAGAGAGTTACTGGAAAGTGTTTCTCTGATATAAATGTAGCTAGAAAAAAAAAAATAATATGCCAAGTTTCACTAGAGATTTTTGACAGGGAGGACAGATGCTTTCGCCGGTGATCTAATAAACACAGATTGGTTGAGCTGGAGTGTCTGGAAGACTCCCGGGTCAAAAAGAGATTAATGTCTGCAACCGGTGCCATGTTTGGTCACATTATAGGACCTTATTACGTTGGATCTGGGAAGATTTATGCAAACGACTGCACGGTGTTGTGTGTCATACCAGGCCATCAGAACGGAGTGCAGGTCTGAGCGGATCAGGTCGGTGGGTTTGGGACTGTGGCAGCATGACGGGTTTAGACATTACAGGGGTCATCTGACGCCTCTGGTTGGGAGGACTAGGAGCTAGTTGCTATGGGGGAAAGACCGTGTTTCCACGCAGCAGCTGAGTGTACGTTTGCATTCAAACAGTGTGTTCATTAAACAAAAGAAGCTTCAAATTTATAAAAAGGTCATAGCATTGAGTAATGTGGGAAAAAACACGATTTTTACTGAAAAACACTCACCAAGGGGGTGCTTGAATTGGAAATACGACTGGCGTGGGAGGTTTTTCTCATTACCTGGACCACAGTAAAATAAAATTACTTTCCGAGCAGAGACACTGCAGGAATATCAGCGCAGACGCAGCCAGACGCACCAGTTTCCAGGTTCAAAAAGCATTCAAATCGTGACCCAACGGAAAGGAAATGCAGAAGTCCAAACGAACAGAAGGAAACACACAGAAAATCAGCTCCTCTCATGAGCAACACGTGCTACGTTCACCATCTCTACACTGCAAGCAAACACCACTCACTAGCCGAATCCCTCAAGGCCTTTTTCCTCAGTCGGTAAAGCAAATTGAAAATTAACGGCCACTCAATTCAGTCAAGATGAAACGGTTCCATCATGCATAAAACATCCCAAGGCATAAAAACGGAACATGCACATAAACCTATCCATTAAAGACGAGTCAAGTCCTTGAGTCTTTAAAATGCACCAAGCTCTTTGTGCAGCAAAACACTGCACACGTTATTCCTCCCCGCGCGAGAATCTCTGACCTTTGGACTAGAGGGGTAGGACATTTCACTGGCGTTGGACGAGTACATCCCGCCTCTTGGCAGGTATACGCCCGCCTCCCACTCGCTCCTGCGCTCCGGAGGACTGGGAGGGTGTTGGAGGTCGTGGAGGCGATGCTGGCGGTAGCCGCTGTGGCTTCCCGCTCCCTCTGCCGAGTGTTGCGGTGGTGGGGGCGGAGGGGGAGGTGGAGGAGGTGGCGGAGGAGGAGGAGGAGGGGGTGGCGTCGGTGGGGGCCTCGGGGCGGGCTGGGGCGAGGACGGAGGCCACGACGACTGAGGCGGCGGTGGGTGGTGGGAGGAAGGTGGGCAGGGGGCCCGGTGGGGCGGAGGCCTTCGGCCCCTGTTGTTCGCGTTGGACTGGCCGGAGGGAGGTTTTCTAGCGTTGGCAGGAGAAGGAGGCCGCCGCTGTGGCGGGGGATGGGCGTAGCTAGGTGTTGTGGGGTTCAGCTTGGTTGAGGGCGGGGGGAGAGGCAAGGGAGGGGGAGGCTGGCTTGTGCTGGGCTGGGTAGGGGCCAGTCTCTTCAGAGGGCCCCTCAGGCTCTGATCCACGTCATCCAGGTTAAAGTCGTCCAGGTCAGTGGTGGCCAGGTGGAGGCCGCCGGGGAAACGCTTCACCCTCGGCACCGAGGCGGGGGAGCGCGGCGGCGATAGCTTAAGTCACAACGACATGAAAAATGACCTGAACCAACATCTATGAATATGTCTCATTCTCTTCTTTTAATCAACATGGACATTTGCGGTTTCAAAAGGCAAATGGTCACCTGAGGAAAACCAATTTATGCCCAAAACATTGTCAACTCCATGTGGGGAAAAAAGGAGTGAATTTGGGTTTTGTTTCTTGGTATTTCCAAATTCAGTCCCCCTTCCCTTTTTCACATATCTCCTGTACTTTCCTACTGATTTTACTTGCTGGAAAAGTAGCTATTCTTTTGTATTATGTTGTATAAACTCTCCAACTGCACACTCATTCTCTAATCTAATGAATCATATAAATCATATAACTTAATATTCAAACTGAATTAAGTTACAAATGGCACTCATAGCAGTGTAAACCCCATCCTTCCTCCAACCTAATCAGTCCCTCCATCACCAATTAGACGTGGCAGGAAGAAGGTGCATCCTCAGCAAATAGTTGGCATATAACTTTGTGTGTAATTTCATATGAAACAAGAATACATTGTCGAGAGCCATGAGTGCAAAGAGGTCTGCGCAGAGGAGGTCTCACTCTGTACCTCTGGGGATTCATTCTCCACGCAGGATATCTGCTCCAAACGGGTCTGACAAAGACGCTCAACCCAGTGCTGCACTTTCTCTGACTCCTCAAGGTCTTCTCTCTCCGTCTCTGACACCTGGTACAAAAAGGTCAGCACCGGACAATCGGAGTTTAACCTTTTAAAATAACCTTTGCATCGTCAAACGAATAACATGGCGGCATTTAGTTGAAACCACAACATGACGCCCTGAGAGTTCACAGTGCCATTGAACCCTATCCATATGAAATATGGGGTATAAGCACTTGTTTTTGTACCTCCTGCACCAGACGATTGATCTTAAGTTGCTTCTCTCGTTCATACATTTCTTCCTTCTCCATGGCAAGTTTCAGCTCAAACTCCATCTCCTTCTTGTTTTTTCTCTGCTCCTGCAGTGTGTCCATGTTGGACACTTTCTTCTTTTTCTTCTTCTTTTCTCCTTTCTGCTTTGACTTCAATTAGTCAAAATGAAAAACCACGGGACAGACAAATCTGCGACTCCAAAACCACGCAGCACGACATGCAGAAATAGCTTGTGACATCACCCAGTGTTTTGCAGGACAAACAGAATTATTTAACTATGTTTTTATCTCCTCAGAAAACTCTTTCACCACACGGAAGCCATGCAGCCTGACCGTACCTTGCGGAGAGACGGCAGCTTTCCCTCATAGCGATAAAACCAGCCAAATGCTAAAGATGGAGATGAACACAGGTCACTCTGATGCGTTAAAATGAATTAAATCCAAGGTTAAAACAGAAAGAGAAAAACAGATTAAGCCTGCTCCATTTAGGCACCAAATAAGTACATGTAAAAAAATGAATTTGAGTGATGCAAAAGAAGGACAGCTTTCAACAGCTCGCAAAATATATGCAACCAATTTAACGTCTGGTCAAATTCTGGTTGTCAAAGGAAATCTAGACACTCGTCTCTGTGTACGCCGGTTCGAATGAAAATCCTGGCAGCTGCGGCTCCAGACTCACTTGCTCGTCCTGATCGTCCTCCTTGTCTTCCTCTGTTAAAGAGCCGGCTTCATCAGCTTAGAGGAGAGGTCAAAAAAGCAACAAAGCACACAGAAGAGGCAGAGGGAAAGACAGAGAGAGCGTGCAGAGGTGAAACCCAGTCAAAACTAACGTCTACAAATCTACAGCTTAGAGGAAAAGTACATATGTAGGTCTAGGAGTAAATAGAGGATTCATGCATTTCAGGATGAAGACTTGTTCAGCCATCCTTACGAGAGCTCTTGGCCTTGGTGGTCTTTGACTCGGGCGGGGCGGGCGATGAGCTCTTTCGGGCGCGGGGGCTACTGGGACTTTTGGGCCGGTCTTTGGCTCCCCAGTCCTCCTCCCACTCTCGGCTGTGCTTCGTCTCCGCAGCCTCAATCCTTCAAAAGGATGACCAAACACGTGAGCGTTGCAAGATATTTACAAGAAAAAATATCGGTTGGTCACTTTAAGGACATTAAAAACAGTCGTATACTTCTCCATCTCCTTTTTATAGCGTTCCTCTTCCTCGGCGGCCTTCTGAGAGATCTCCATCTTCCTCCTGTTGAATAACATGATTGATTTACAGAACAAAACTCTGTCCACATAACATGCTACAGCACGGGGCTATGAATAGAGACTGCATGACTTTAATCCAGTTCACGGTGAGCAATCGAGCACGTCAGCCTCGCAGTGTGCGACACGACGCCACATTATTCATCCGGAGACGTCTTTGGCATCACTGAGAAACCGAGCGTGTCCCCCGAGTTTACAAAATGTGCCAATTACTCAGAAACATGAATGTGATGTGACAAGAGAGCAAGTAATGGTCCTCAGATGGATGGAAAATGAATGCGTGTTCTGTTTACATTCTGTGCACCTGATTAATGTTAATGTTAACTAATGTGGCGGCACGTAGGTGTTTGTTTGGGCTGCGCACTCACTGCTTCTCCTTCTCCTGCTGCTCTTTAAGGATTTTGTTGGTTTCCAGCGCCACCCTCTTCTGCTGCATCAGCTCCTGCCTGTCCAGCTCCCTGCGGGCCTCGATTGCAAGACGCTCCTCGTCCGTCATGAACAGCTCTCGGCCCTGAAGGGGCGACAACAAGATATTTAGATTATTTATGTTAATGCATAGATTTTTGTTTGGCTGCCACCTCTGTGTCAGGATTATAAAGCATTAACACTCCTTTGGGATTTACCATTTTCGACTAATAACACATTATTTATCTTACAAAAACGTCTGCCGTCTCTGGGAATCCCTTAACTGGGATGTATTAGATTTAATAAAATAACAAAGACATAGGTGTCAATTTATTTAAGATGATCCATTTGGAGAGGGTTGAGTGTCTCAGAAGAAGTGTTTCCTGTATGTCTTTGAGTGAATCCAATAATATTTTAAAAGGTTATAAGAGGGTTATAAATATATGAACAGAATATTGAATGCTCTTTGAATGATCAGGTGTTATTTGCATTATATATACGAATAATGATAAGAAAGTATACTTACAGCTCCTGTCAAAACAGTAATAGTCAAACTCCTGCTGCTCTTCAGGACTCTCACAGCCTGGAATACAATAACAGACAACTTCAAATAATCCTACATTTTGAAAATTTATTTATTTTTATATTTTATTAAGACAGTATTGTAGACAGTCTAGGAAATATAAAGTAGGGTTGTTAGGATGGGATATTTTCAAATGTTCCTAATGAACAGCCACATATAAACTTCATGAAGGACTTTGTTTTTCTACTGCAAAAGCTATTAGGCCGGCAAGTCTACTTGAGTTGTTGTTCCAAGGATACATTAGCGATTAGTTTGCCAAAATGGTTTTGCAGTGGAAAATGACCCACAGCAGAAGGAACAAAAAGACAGATGCGATGCACTGTGGGTGCTTTCAGATAAAAACGTATGTACAAAAAATTGTAATTTAGGCTCCAGCTGCCAACATTGCAAGAAGATTATACAACATCTACCTCTTTGTGGTCCGCATTGGTGAAATCGACCCCGTTCACCTCCACAATCTGATCTCCGACCTACATTTTGGGGTAAGACGTAGCGGAAGTTTGCAACAGGTTGGAGATATGATTATCACAGTTTAATAGAGATATTCTATTTGAGCAACCACCTGGAGTCCAACTTCTGCAGAGAGCGAGCCCGGCTTGACATTACTGATGTAGATACCAGGCTTCTGCGTTGGACCACTGGAGATGCTGATGCCCATACCCTTGGTGCCCACAAGGCTGAGAAAAACCTTCTTCTCCTTGATTTCTTTGCCTCCAATGGACGCCAAGCCTGCAATGCTGCTTTTTTTCTCCTGTGGCAGTTAAAGAAAGTCGATAAGCGGCCTGTTGATGAGATACAACGTTTGAAACTGGGAAGAAAACATGAAACTACAATTGAAAATGCATCCTACCCCCGACTCAGAAACAAACTGGTCGACGAAATGCCACTTCAGGGGTTCATCTGACGAGCTGGAGAGATTAAAAAGGGTAAATAAGAACAAGGCAACGTCATTCTGGCACATCAACTCTAAGCAGAGTTTCATCGAATAAATTATCTTGCCTTTTCACTGGGATCATCCCCACATCTGCACGGACAGAGGGAAAGAAATAGAGGAGAAAGCCATCGATATTAAACAATATCCATCAATAATGCTCATGTTGTTTTAAAAATGAGCGTGTTTGACGTACGTCTGACTTTGAGGGACACGATCTTCTTGGTCTTGATTAGACTGATAACCTCATCGTGGATACAGGAGGAGATAGAATATCCGTTGATGCGCACAATCTCATCTCCAACCTGTAAATCAAGACAGGATTGAATTCTGTGCATGAAACCTTCCCTTCCAACACACACACACACACACACACACACACACACACACACACACACACACACACACACACACACACACACACACACACACAGTTACTACCAACAAGGTTACATCCCTTTCTCTTGAGTACACCAGCCACTATACGGCTTATTGATCTCATTGGTGTAATCTATTTACATAACTCTGCTTGGCACACACATAAGTGAGAACGTCTACAAAGTTCTGTGCAACAAATACACACATAATAAATGTCTCTCTTGGTTTTATCTAGAAATGAAATTACTCTCACCTTGGATATTGTGAAAAACAATGACTCACAGTGGTTGTTGACTCTCAAAACTATTACGGCATCAATCTAAACCAGACATTAACGTTGTCTTTCATGACAGGAGTTATTTCTCTTATTGAACATCCGTCTGGGGGAAACTGGATAATCGGTGGCAGACATACAACCTCTGCAAGACCTTTAAAAACAGGGTACTCGGCCCCACCTAGCGGTGGATGTTATTACACAGACACAGAAAATGAATCTGACTGATCAATTGCACATTATCATTATTATTAAAAATACACTAATAAAATACTAATTTATAAGAGTGTGTATACAGTACCAGTCATTTTCTCATTCAATTAAAAGAGAAAGTGTGTCCAGATTTTCTACTGTAGAGTACTGTGTGTGTGTAAGTGTGTATATATATACACACACACACACACATACATATATACATATATATACATACTAAGTAAAATAATTCTGCATAACAGAGTGGGCCAAACCTCCTCCACAGCGATGTGAGAGACTCATGGCCGGTTATCACAAACGCTTGATTGCAGGTGTTGCCGCCAAAGGGGGGCACAACCAGTTATTAGAGGCAGTTACTTCGTCACATGGAGCCAAGTAGGTTTATTTTTTTCCCTTAATAGATGAAATCATCATTTAAAAACTGCATTTTTTTTTGCATTCACTTGAGTTATCTTTTATTTAAACCCCTAACCCCTTTCATGATCTGAAACATTTAAGTGTGCAAAATATGCAAAGAACATAAGGAACCAGGAAGGGGGGCCGTTTCTTGGCACTATATATGTACACACACATATACTGTATATGAATATATACTTGCAAGTGCATACCTGAAGTCCAACATTCCCGGCTTGACCGTCTTTGACCATCTGTGATATATAGAGACCACTGCCAAACTCCAGCCCTCCACGGACGCTCAGACCCAGTCCATCACGATGAGTCCGGTCCAGACGCACCTCTTTCAGCTTCCTACACAGTGACGACAGAGAGGAAGATGTGAAGCGGGACGTACGAGCCACGCAGCATCATTTCAGTGGGGAACAAGGAGAATACCGAGAGAGATTTTATGGTGAAAAATAGTCTCGGTGGCATGTTTTCATTAAAAAAGGGACATAAACTTGCATTAAAGACCGGGAATAACGGGACGCGAGTCTGTGCTGTACTCACCGTGACCTCTTTGGGGTGAGCAGGTCGTACTCCACCTGGTGTTTTAGTGGGATAAGAGGTCGGATGGCATCAAACAAGGGCAAGCGCTTTGGTTCGTTGATGACCAGCTTCAGGTCCCCCACCAACACGGGCAGATCCATTGACCTGAAAGAGGAAGGGAATAAAAATACATTTTATACTTTAACTTCTGCATGCTTTGTTTTATACACAATGACTTATATCCCCTAACTGAGGTTGACATTTGACAATATTTAAAGGGATATCTGAAAACTTCCAAACTTACCGTAGACAGAATTAGTTGTTCGTTTTATTCATTTGTCTGATAACATCTTAACATAGGCTGATTTTTTTTTACATTTTTTCAAAGCTTTCCAGGCCCAATCAAGTGACATCACTTGTAGTTTTTTATCACACGTACCCCAGCCCCATTAGCAGTAGCACATCCCGTTTAATATTCAATTTGAAGGAATAAAGAACAAGACTGATTACATATAATTGCTGATTGGAAAAATATCCAATTATCCCTCTCACGATTCAAAGGAAGCTCAAAAAGCAACAAGAAAGCAATTATAGGAACAAAGTAAAAGCTACAGTGTAAAATCTGTCCCCGTGGCCTCCTCTTTAAATTATTAACAAGTGTCATTTCAGTCCTGCTCGCAGGATGAACATTAAAAGACCTTTTGTGGATAACTGGCCAGGCTTGTCGGAGCACAGTGGAAAATGATCAGATGCGGTCGGGGCCCCAGAGCTCTGGCTCTCAAACACCCCCCCCCAACCGAGACCCTCTGACCATCCGTCATCACGAAGCCTGATTAACAGTTTAAACTGGGTGCATCAGAAAATGAAAAATTGAAAACTAAACGTACAAAGTTGGTAAGGAATTAGTCGACGTTAGAGAATTTGGGTAAAGTTTTCCAGTAGCTTTCAATGAACAAGAAGAAACAACAGCATATGAATAAAATGTAGCCTTTTATATAATTTTTCTTTTAATATATGTTACGTTTTAAGGATATGTCCTATTCTTGTACATGTGTTCGCTGCTACTGGCGGACCTAGGGCTACCAAACTAAATGTTGTATAACAACAATGACAATAAAAGAAAACCTCTAATCTGTATTCAGTAACCATCAACATTGTGTAAATATAAGAATATGGAGTTGGGAATTTGCAGATATGTGAGTGACGGGACATGCAACCAACTCCGCGCTGAGAAGTGACAGAGCGTACTTACTGGTGGTACATACGAAGCACGTCAAACAGGTAATCCTTCTCAGCTTCATTCTCAATCAGCAACTCCACCTGCAAAAAAGTGAAAACGTCTGGTGCCATCCTTCTTCTCACAGCTGAACGTCAGCACACTGACACACGCCGCACCTCCCTCCTGTGGCCCTGTCAACGCTGCATGGGGGGGGTGAGCGGTCAGTCTGTGCGTGTGCGTCCCCCGTATGCAGGACTCCCACAAACCTGATGGCAGCTCAGCTGCAGCAGAATGGTTTTGAGGAAACGCTTCGGCCAGTCGCTGATGCAACACATGGTGGGCGTCCTGAGCGGCGTCGAACCCGTAAAACCCGAACCCGACCGGAGTGACCGTTTTGTCTGAGCGCTCGTTCAAACTAGGCTTTAGGGGTGATGAGGCTCCTTGGGGACTAAAGCGTATTCAACAACTCTTCACCGGACTATCAGACCACGGTGGGGGGAGGCGAGGGAGGGAGGGAGGGGGGGGGGGGTAATGGCAGCAGAGCTGAGGAAAGGGTGCAGTAGGGAAGGTCAGCAGTGTCATCTTTCATCTCAGACACAAACGACGGGCAACATTCACTGCACACGTCATCGTGAGCAGGATGTACTCACGGGTGAAATATGACAAAAAAAAGACATTCAGACATCTGCATGAATTTAATGTAGCGATTGAAGCATTTCCAGACTCAACCTGACAGCGAGCCTCCTAAATGGGCCTCTTTGTATTTCCTCAATAATGTTGGTTAATTCAGTAGCTGACAGAAGGCAAACGGACCAGAGCTGTAGTCGTGGCAACGGAGCGGTAATGAAAGGTCTCAGGTAATCATAAATGCAGAGCAGCGCTCCTTGGACCCCGCTGTGAGTTGGCTGTGAGGGTGTGTGCGACGTGGTCTTTATGGCTGTCATAAATGTCTCTGGCTGAAGGCAGTCAACCACTCCCGCGGCCTGAATTGGACTTTGGCACCATATACCAAAGAGATCAGTCAGATGGCCATGTTAGAAGTGGACTGTCTAGTTTAAGGTTTCAGATGTTTTCACAAAAAAAGAGCTTCTATAACATGTGTGAGTATTAGCAATGAATCCCCAGAGAACAAGATGGCTTTAAAAATCAGAAAATACTTCACAAACGTAAAGTGGATCCACGCACACTCTCCACCAGAGAGAAATACAGTGAATATGACAACGTCACGAAAAGAAACAAAGCTCGACTGTGCAACGTCGGTCACCCAGCTTTTAATTAAACCCGTGAATTGCCCCTTCTCTTCCGCTCAGCTTCTCGTGTCTGACACAATCCAAATGATCGAATGCTGGGATGCCCTTTGTGAATATGTGACACTGCGTCAGCCTGTGTGCGGCGCAGATGGCTTTGTGATGATCTCACGCGGTTGAAAATGCACTGAACATATCACGTTCCTTCCTTCTGTTTTATATTCACGTTTACCTTTTTAAGGATGCTCCGTCACAATACAAAGCCACAAACCACGGATTCAAACGACATCTGAGCTATAATGGTGATGGAAAAAAATCTAAACAGGTGTTGATACTTTAAGACCAGTACCCTATATTAATAATTCAATCCTAAACAATCCATAAAAAGAAATGATTTCAGTTGAAATTTAAAAAAGGGAAAATCTATTAGTCTATTAGCACATTTATTTTTGTCTTATTTCTAAATGAGCTTTAAATTTGGGATCACTAGCCAATACATTTTATTTTAACCCCAATGCTACTGGCACACAAGGTATGTAAATGATTTTTTATTTATTCTAAGAAGAGGATTCTATTGAAGATACACGTTGAAGGATTGTAACTGCGGTGGATTTCCGTGTGTGCGTATCATCCCACCCAGAGAGACACCTGAGCCAGTGAGGTGACAGCCAGGTCAAGGAAAAGCCTCTTCAGGGGGCGCGTGTTGGTGAAAAGAAATGTAATCAACATCGATAGAGCAATATGGTTAAAATGTACCTTGTGCCGAAATTCCCGAGCAACTTTACGCTCCATCGCTGCGAGGAAGTAGCAAAGGGACCGACGTGAGATCCCGAGTCGTTGAAGTTTTGCAGTACCAGGGTCAGCGCGTCAAGCCCGTCGTTGTTAAACTAGAGCTTCCGGTGGTGATTTTCATGGTAAGACAACACTAACGAAGATAGGATAGTTAGGGAAATTAATACGATCAAGGAGTACATTAACAAAAATATAGCTGAATTGAATTTCGAGTCACCGGGAAGGTGTTTTATTTGTAAACGTCTAGTTGTTCACACACACACACACACACACGTCCGATCCCTGCCTTTATTATGAAGGTATTGACATTTCCGTTCTTTATCTCAACAAATTCACCAAAAAACAAATACTTTCTAATGGTTCCCTGACCACGATTCATCATTATTAAGTCTTGGGTTAATAATAAAATAGATCTAGCCTCGCTTACCTTAATTAAATGCCCCATAACTGACATTAAAATTGTGTTGGTGTATTAACTGTTGCCTGATTAGTATTAGTTGTTGCCACAACTCACCGACTGCCGCTGGTGGGAATGGTTACATATTAAATCCAACGAAGAAGAAAAAAAGAGGCGTCAACTTCCGGATTTCAAAAGTTTGAGAGCAACGAACAACGGCGCTGCGCTGAAACGACGCAGGGTAACTAACGTTGTGTACAACCCGATGAATCAATGGTAATATGTGAGGCATACTGCGCCGGTATATATGTATTATAGCTATGCCGTCGTACTGTTATATACCCGCCTTATTGTTGTCTTACCTGGTAATAGGGTAAAATAACTAGTTAGCGTTAACTTAACATGTGTGAACGTAACGTTCGAGCATAGGTTCTTTTTCAACATCAACGTCCAAATGGGTCGAGTTCAATCAAGCTAACGTTAGATTTCGTTTCGTCTGACCGTGTTGAAGCGTTAAAATGTTTATATTCTTAAGAATATCGCGTTAGTAGTCAGACTTTACTCTCAAATGTCCCGCTCCACTCGGCGCCCAACCAAAGCCAACTGAGATCCAAATTGATTTTCATCAAATGCATTCTTCTGATATCCGAACGCATACTGACTATTATTGAAAGATGGAAAAAAGTGGCTTGTTTTTGCAGGATTAGTTGCAGAAACTACCGTTATAAGTAGCTAATTGTTACACGTTTACACTATAGTTGACGCTCGTTTTTTTTGCCGTTTATGTTGTCAGTGTTGCGTGCTGAGATGTCATCGCCTGCGACACCTCACAGGTAAGCTCACACAGGCGACAGGACAGACATTTCTGTCTCACCAGAGAAGGATTTAATGCTTTTAAAGCTAATCTCCCTGAATCCTGTGTCAATCTGTTCACCCACTGTTACAATCCTAAATTTTATCACACGTGTATTTAATCTTAAGTTCTTAAGTGGTTTTAAATTCCACGGTAATCATTCAAATAGTGAATGTCTCACCATTTGTCAAATTAGCTGCAGAAACTGAACATGGCAGGTGTTTTCATCTCTTTTTCTTTTTCCCGCAGAGCCAACATGCGGACCCCTGGTCGAGAACCTGACTCCCCACTTCCCCCCATCCATGAGCGGCTAGCGTACCTGCGGCCCTCCAGGGAGCTGCTTGAGTTCTACAGAGAGAAGATTGCCCAGTTTGACGGAGAACATGAGGACTTACTGCAGATGCTGGACAAGTACAAAGGCATCACAGAAGACCAGGTAAGACACAGCCAGAAGTGTTTTTTTAGGGAGTACCTGAGTGTGTTTTCCTGTTGTAACTCTCTCACCAACCTGCATATCCTCACAGCATAAATTGCAGTGGGAAGTACGACAGCGTGAGGGAGAGATTGCAGAGCTGCAAAACGCTCTGAGTGACATGCAGGTCTACCTTTTCCAGGAGAGGGAACAGTCTCTACGGCTTTACGCAGAAAATGACAGACTAAAGATCAGGTTGGTGCACTGTTGATGATGAGCGTTGACATGTGAAAAGCGCAGGTGTAATTGATCATACAAATAGGGGTTTCTTTGCATCTACGTGTTCCAGATCCATGACCCTGGTATTGTGCATGTTTGATTAGGGATCCAGTTATTGGGACACTTAAGCAGAGCTTATGACTAGAACATTTAAAAGGGAAGTTTGGCTTGGAAATTACAATTTTACAAGCGTACCTTTTTGAAATACGGATCTTACTGGTAAAATGTTTCCCAGTAACTCCCGTACATGGATTCCACCATAAATATTATTGCATGCCTTGTAGTTATACATTAGCCTTTCATAAGTTGACTAACAAAAGAAATGCTTGCTGTTTAGAAAAGGCCTATTAGATGTCAATCTAATAACCATAGTAATAACCATTGGACACACTGCTGCAAGTTATTTCATATTATTTAAAGCCTGTACACACCAATTAGATATCCTTACATTTTTGTTCACATGACTGTAGATGTACAAACTGAGGTGAAATCATTCTAGGAGAACCGCAGTGTGGGTGCGCATTGCCTTTAATGTCCGTCTTTGGTATTTCACTTGTGTATATAAATCACTTACTGTTTTCACAGAGAGTTGGAGGACAGAAAAAAAATCCAGCACCTTCTAGCCTTGGTGGGTCCTGATACAGGGGAGATCACATATTTCCACCAAGAGCCTCCTCACAAGGTACAGCACACGTTTCCCTCATTGTTGACCTTCCTCACAGCAGAAGTCTTGACTTGTCAAACACATTAATCCCCTTAATAAATGCTGACTAACACCTGAGATGGGGTGTATCTGATCAGATCCACCTGTATTTCCAGTAAAAAAAGTATATTTTTTTCTTCATTGTCAGACATAAATATCTTCCATATACAAGCAAGCTGACAAAAAAATTGGTCATTGCTTGTTACTAGCAACAATAACCTATTCTGTGAGACGGATATTATGTTGTCTGGTTTGCTGCTTCATGACTACGGCTACTTTTATGTCTGATGCAGCTACTTTTATGTCCAACAGTGACTCCACCAACCTTTGCATGCACACTTGAAGGACTCGTTCAGATATACGTCAACTACAACACAATTAAATCAAGTTGCTCACTGTGAATTGATTCTGTGCCATCAGAGAAAACATGTTTTAAAGACTGCTATACTTCGTTTCAGGTCACTATCAAACAGAAGATCACAGAGTCCAGATTTGAGGAAAATCTCAACCTACGGCCAACACAGTTGAGACCTGCTGCAAACAGGAAAGGTTTGCAAAAGCCTTTTCTAAATTTGTTCAGTGATTTTTAGAAAAATCTTAATATAATTATTCTTGTTGTATTCCTTTATTCAACAAAAAGGCCTTTTTGTAATAATGTCAGTATCTGTAAACGCAGGAACAATTTTCCTTGTGAAATTTGAGAACTTGACATGCAATAAAAATAATAATAACTGAACTTCTACAGACAAAAAGTGCCACCCTGATTTAATTTCTGTTTAAGGAGAGAGTGGCAGGAGAACTAAGTCAGCCGACGGGTTAATTCGAGAGAGCCTGGAACAATACAAGAATGATAACCAGACGTTGTTACTACAGGTAGGAAACGTTTCCCTCCTGTACTCTCCTGTTTCTACGGCGTTTGTGACGAGTGCGCCAAGCTGATATTTTCCATCGCTCATGTTTACAGGTGGAGGCTCTGCAGGCTCAGATGGAGGAACAAACGCGTTTGGCCAAAGAGCAAGTGGAGTCCCTGCTGGAGGATCGACGGATTCAAGCTGAGGAAGCCGAGGCCCAACGGCAGAGGGATCAGGAGCGAATCCCGGCTCTTACCGACAAGTGGGACCAAACTACCGAGTGTATTTTAGGAATGACGCTCCTTCAACTCCCCTTTTTCCTCCCAGTGTGTAACTCTCACCTCCTCTGACCTCAGGCTCCAGCGAACCCAGAACCTCTTGTATGAGAGCACCAGAGATTTCTTACAGCTAAAGTTTGACACACGGGCTCATGAGAAGGGCTGGATGGTGGAAAAGGACCGGCTGCTGAGGGAGCTGGACTCCTGCCACAACCGCCTGAGGAGGTCTGGATCTACCGGCGCGGAGGCAGGCCGAACGTGGCAGCCCAGCAGCAGCACGGCCCTGCTCCTCCCGAGGGTTCAGCCGGAGTTCCAGCAGGCGCGCAAGGAGGAGCTTAAAGTAATATTTCTTACTCTGAAGGAACTAAAAAGTAACAATTTTTCTTTTTTAAAATTTAACTTCAATCAATCATCATCAGGCATTGCAGGAGGATCTGAAGCAAGCCCACCGGCTGGCAGAGATGTACCGGGAGCAGTGCGTTACATTGGAGACAGAACTGTCCCAAATCAGAGAGGAGGGGGATGTAGGCAGGGAAATATTCAAGGTACCGTGGTCTAAGTTGGGAAAGTCTTCACAGACCTCTCCGATTGGTCATATTTGATTGCAGCGTTACTTGTCGTCGATGTTTTCGTCTTACCAAAATCTGAACGTGTGCAGGAGCGTTCAGACAAAATGGCCAAGCGTCTTCAGCTGATGACGCAGCGCTATGAGGCGCTGGAGAAGAGGAGGGCCATGGAGGTGGAGGGCTTCAAGACAGATCTCAAGCACCTCAGACAGAAATTCAAAGACGTGGAAAAACAACTCCTCAAGGTAAAAGGACTTTATAGTCAACCAGTGTCTTTATTGTCTCTTCCATAATATCTGTTTGTTCTGATCATTAGTAAAAAAAATGCCATGTGTTTTGGGCTGTGTTTTTTATGTTTTTCATTTCAATAATGAACACAAAACACAACACAGAAAATAATGTGATGTAAATGTTTCATATGTTATTATTTAAACAAAACAAGATGAGAAATAATTTAACTACCGTCTCCTCCAGCCGGGCATACTGCTGATGTAATAGTTAGAAATGCATCAGGTCTTTGTGAATCTACTGTTTCAGGTTACTCTTGATATCAGACCCAACCAGGACTTGGCCATTCTGCATGAGGTACGCCAGACCAACGGCCGCACCAAGAAGGTTCAGGGTGAGCTGATGACGCTGAAGGCCAAGATCTATGGGCTTGAAAACCAGCTGAGGTTCAGCTGAGCATTGGACTGTGGCGTCGACTGTCTGCCTGTCAAGGATGGTCGATGTGAGGTTTATGGCTGTGTTTGTGCCACTGTGAACATTACTGAAATGTGATGATTATGTGAATGTTATTTCTATTTTGTACTTTGTACTAATAAAGCTGTTCTGCTTTAACAATTTTGAGTGAATGAGCAAGGATATTTATGTAATGAATTCTGGGAATAGCAGAGGCTTCTTCACAGCAGACATCTGGAATTGTGATAGCAGGAAAACCACAGGTTTTATGAACGACCAACGATAGATCTATTCTCCAGTGTCCCACATAAGCCATGACAGTTTGACGTGGACTGAATCAAAAACGTTAAACTGAAGCATCTACATGCTAAACTCAGCCGTCCTTTTATTTTATGAGTTTGTCTAATTTGTTTTTATATATATATATATATATATATATATATATATATATAGTATTTGTTGACTTTAACACAGGCCAAATTAAGATGGTTAAAGACCTATTTAATATTCCTACAAACTACAGTTAGAAATAAGCCAAATGGGTTAATTTCTACAGAAATGTATGCAGCTTATTAGATAGTGGTATCTATGCTTGCATATGTTTATGATTAACAGAATAGGACACAGATATTGTATTCAACAGAAACCAAAAAGTAACAGCCTGCCCTTTTTAAAAATGTAAGAAAATGTTAAACGTTTTTCTTTGGGGAAAAAAAACATCAAATATGTTGTGATAAGTTATGAAATGAAAGGGCATAATTTCATTAATATCTACGTTAAACACTACTTTTGAAGTTCACTATGAAAGGCCAATGCTGCAAAAGGAGGAATAGAAGAAAATAGAAATGGTAAGGAGCTGAGTGATGCATAACGCAGCCACAAGGTGCTAGACCAGGGCCATAAATCCTGCCAGTACAGAATCATTCATGAGCCAATTTCCTAATAATTTCCGATTCAATTTGAAAGGAAATGGTCAATGGATACCAGCTAATTTCTCTTCAGAATAATAGCACACGTTGGAGTGCAACTGAGAAAATAATGGGACATTCTGATACAGTATTTAAAAATTAAGGGTTTTGAAGGGGTTTTATTCTGAAATTCTGGTTATAATCTGAGGTCAATCCCGAATGCAGCAAATCCATTCATATGACCTTATAGTTTAGGAAATTGAATGTTGTCTATTGTGTCATTTTGTAGTCATACTGGTGTGTGCATTCTTTGTTTATATTATTCAGTAACTATTCACAAAATTGACAAAAACATATAAGAATAAAATAAAACAGGCATATAAGAATAAAATAAAATATAAAAATAAATTATTTTGATACATCGACAATTCATTGATGATTCATTTCATTCTACTATATTCACTTTACACAGACAGACATTGAACAGAGAGCGGTGGCCTCCTGTTCATACCTTTGAATAGTAAAAACAGTTGAGTTTCAGTTTGATTAGCGAGGGATTCGCTTTCATTTCTTCAAAAAAACTCCACCGTAAACAGCCGCGGTGTTTCCGGTGAGCGGCCGGCTCTGCGCATGCGCAGCCCCCCTCTACCAGAGGTTACGCTGTCGAGCGATGGCAGCTACACGTGAGGGGTTGAATAGTGCGCGTTACTGTTAGAGGCACCATGACCCACTTCTTCTGTCGTACGTAGACAGTTACCGACAGCTCGGCTGCAGTGTCGCTTTTTCGCTCTTTTATTGTCTTTCGTTCAGCCGCCTGCTTGAAAAAAAACCACGCGCAGCTCTAAGAAATGCAGAGAATAAGGTCTCTGAAAGCTGGCTGGCAACTGCTGAAGTCGAGCTGCGGAGGAGCAGCAAAACAAGTAAACACCTCGGCGTCGACCTCACGAGATTACAGCCACGTAAGTGGATGCTGTTTTCCAACTTTATTTCATTCAAGTCAAGCACGGAAGACGTTAAGAAAATGAGCAGCTGTTTTGACAGCTGTTTCCACACAGACGCTTTCATAACCTTCAGTTATTACCATCTCATTCAATGCAGGTCCCTCCCCGGGGCCCCGGCTCCTTCGGGCTCCTCTTCGACATCGATGGGGTGCTGGTGCGGGGCAGGACGCTGATCCCTGAAGCCAAGCAGTGCTTTAGGAACCTGGTGGACCGTGATGGGAAGTACAAGGTGCCCGTGGTATTTGTCACAAACGCAGGCAACTGCATGAGGCAGAACAAGGCCGAGCATCTGTCCCATTTGCTGGAGGTGGAGGTAAATGTGAAACTTTAAAACGTGTCTTCGGTTGGCTTTGTTGGCATGAATCTTTTTTTTTATTATTTCCTCAGGTGTCTCCGGATCAGGTGGTGCTGTCCCATAGTCCTTTGCGAATGTTCACCCAGTTCCACAAAATGCGTGTTCTGGTGTCCGGACAGGGCCCTATCGTGGAGGTCGCACACAAGTATCCTGTCTAAAGAGTCCCGTGTTCTGCAATCCGTCCGGATTTTGACCTCAAAATGCGCATGTTCTGTTTGTTCAGTGTAATTTGTAACTTTGCTATCAGTATTTCATCAGAACCCTTTGTTTCCTTCGCTGTTCAGCCGTCTCATTTAAGCCCTTCCACGGATTCCTTGCTTCTATTATGTCTTCTGTTGTTATAACCCAGCAAACGAGTTGCAGAATGAAAAGTCCCATCGAAAGTGTTTCTTTACTGTTTACTTTAACACGTCAAACCTCAGCCTGGGCTTTCAGGACGTCGTTACCATAGATATGCTCCGAGAGGCGTACGCTCTTCTAGACGTCGTGGATCACGCCAGAAGGCCCAAAGACGGTGTAAGAAGTGTCAACGTTTAGGCCAGTTTATCATCAGTTCAGCTGAGGGAGGAGTCTTATCGGTTGGTTTAATGTCTTACAGATTCCCTCCACCAAAGGCTTACCACCAATAGACGGTATTTTTCCTAATGTATAATAATCGAATAACCATCTCGAAACAACGCAAGTATGGCTGTCTGTGATGGTCTTTGCTTCGTTGCCCCGTTCCTACAGCGGTCATTTTATTTGGTGAGCCAATCAGATGGGAGACCAACCTCCAGCTTATTGTTGACGTGCTCCATACAAACGGGAGACCGGGCGACGCCTGGAGCACCATGCGGTACCCTCACATCCCGGTGCTGGCCTGTAACATGGACCTGCTGTGGATGGCCGAGGCGAAGAACCCCAGGTACAGTGTGTGTGTGTGTGTGTGTGTGTGTGTGTGTGTGTGTGTGTGTGTGCGCCCACCCTGAAACATTATTGGTACTAAAGGTCCCTGTCTCATAGGTTTGGACACGGCATGTTCCTGGTGTGCTTAGAGAGCCTGTACAAGAAGGCCACAGGCTACGACCTGAAGTACGAGGCTCTGATCGGTAAACCCAGTGTGGTGACGTATAACTACGCTGAGCTGCTGGTCAGTCAGCAGGCTGAGAGGCTCGGCTGGACCACGCCTGTGAAGAGACTCTATGCAATAGGGTTAGTGACACACACCTTACACCTCAGAATCGTAATGTTTGTCCTGTTCTCCAACACAAAAATGTGGATTTTTTTTATTTTTATAGAGATAACCCCATGTCTGACATATACGGCGCCAACCTCTACAACCACTACCTCCAGGCTTCCCAGCGCACCAAGGCCCAGATGAAGGCTGAGGGTGGCGCAGGAGGCGTAGACGGCCCAGAAATGACTACGGCAGAGCTGGGCGGAGGATCGGTCGTGTTGGGGGCGGGGGAGGACCTCCCAGAGGGGTGCAGCTCCATCCTGGTGTGCACGGGCGTGTACAGCAGAGACCAGCAGGAGGTGCCCTCGCAGCATGCAGTCGGCGAGCGGCGCGTCTTCCACGGGCACAGGGACTTCCGCTTTGACCCCGGCCTCACGCAGCCCTCCTTCGTGGTGGAGGATGTGAAGGAGGCGGTGGAGCTGGTGTTTCAGCAGGAAGGCTGGCCCCTGGAGTAGGACTTCTTAAAGATCTACGCTGCTGGTTTTCACAGGGTTCAGTGGCGTTGTTCCTCGATGCGTTTGCCATAGAATCAGCAGCGAAAATCCCAAAAGGTTACGCCTGTTTTTAGTCCATCGTACATGGTATTTGGTCACAGACTGCTGCACTATTTTTATTATTGTACACACAAAAGGCCCCTACCTAATACCCTTAAACTGTATGTCAACAACTCAAGTTTATCAAGACGGACATCGTGTCCTTTCCTGCCTTTGTACGGCGCTGCCTTCTCTCTTTTTTGAATGCACTGAAGTCTAAGCGTTGAGTTACATGCATTTTTAAGACAATCAGATTATTATAGTATTAGATTATATATTATTATAGTATCTATGTGGATGAGACACATAGTTCAAAGTTAAACTGGAGGACATTGGCATGAATGCAAGAAGAGCTCTATTGAAGAAACACCTGATGGTTTGCACAGCCGTCTACCCAACTGGGTTATTTCCCCTTCAGAAATAAAAGACACAAAAACTTGTCAAGTGAAAAATTCTGTATATTGTTGTAATTTCTTAGTACAGAGCTGTCGAGCAGAGGGTCTGTGTGTGATGCTGGGGTCGCTATCACATTCAGCAGCTCTTATCAGTACTACAAACTGTATAAATATTAGAAGTCAAAATATGTACAAAACTTTCCCACACACAATATGCAACAATATACAGGCAAGACTTAAACAACTGACACCACATTTAAAACAGTTCTTCAACAACACACTCAGCACCTGCACTTTGTGTCTGGAGACGCGGCGCCATGGACCGGGTGGGAGCTGTTACTCAGCATGAATTGCGGCGAGCTCTGGGGAGCCTCCTCTGCGATGGACATGCCGTTGCGGGACAGCAGCTCCCGGGCCATGAGGACGAAGGCTGCCTCCACGTTCTGGGCCTCCTTGGCGGAGGTTTCCAGAGCAGCCAGCACGCCGTTGTTCTCCGCCAGAGTGCACGCGTCCTCGAACAACACCTGCCTCTTAGCCTGAAGGTCTGACTTATTACCTGCGAGGATTTATTAATATTCACCAACATTACAAGACTGTTCTTATTTTTTCAAAAGCATTTAACTCATTTATTTAGCATTTTAGTGTCACTCTGCTTACCAATGAGGATCAGCACCACGCTGGAAGCTCCAAACTGCTCCACCTCCCTGATCCAGTGGGGAACAGATTCGAATGTGCTGTGGCGTGTGATGTCATAGACCACCATGGCCCCGTGGGCGCTGCGGTAGTAGCTTTGAGTTATGGTGCGGAAACGCTCCTGTCCTGCTGTGTCCCACACCTGCATCTGCAATGACGACACAAAACACAACTTCAGCCCAGTGTGACTTAGTGTGTGTCGAGTGCAAAATCATTCAGACGTGTTTTTGTGTGCAGAACTCTTAACAAAGTTTAACACACCCAGAAGGCTAACACACAGATGATGTCATGCTAAAGAAGAAGCCAACCACTCCCCTTATATCTATCATATCTACTTTTAGATAAGAGAAAGGAAAGTAACACCTCTAAACAGGCTTTTCTTAATACATCAAAAATGCAGCAATGATTAAATCAAATGATCCCTGAGATGAATGTGGAATGTAAGAGTAGAGTGCATGTCACATACCTTCACCTTCTTGCCATCAATGTCCAGGGTGCGAACAGTAAAATCCACACCTATGGTATTTTGCTGCTTCTCGATGAATATGCCAGACTTGAAGTTCTGGACCACGCAGGTCTTCCCCACATCTGAGTCTCCAACCAGGATGATTTTGAAAAGGAAGTCGAAAGAGTCCTCGATGTCGGGCCCCGCGGGCTGCATGGTGGGAGCAGGGATATGTGTACACAGAAAACACACACACACACAAGCAGAAACACTAGATCCTGGATCATCTGTGCCTCTATGCAATGGAACTGGTTCCTTCTAAGTTGTGTCAATAAAAAACTGACAGCGTTTAGAGAAACGGCAGTCTTGGAAAGTGATGCAGTCGGGTTCCCAGTTCAGGTGGCTCCAGATGAATATGCGTGATCCAAAGGTAAAGTTGTCCCATTATAAAATAATCTCCATGTTAAACAACAGTTTTTTTTCTAAGATTTTGCTCCGTCTGTCATTTTAAAGCTCATTCACAAACTCTACTCTCCTGGAATGTAATACCAGCATCCAAAAAGTAGCGTTTTTCTTCATCCCGTGCCTGTTTCCATTTCAACGCCGCACGACCGGACATAATCGTGAAGTCTTGTAGTCAATCTTCGTCTGCTTATTTGTGTACTGTGACTCTTTCTGCCCTCTACAAAGATAGACACGCCCCTTACCTGTCTCGATAGGTGTGATCTCAAACTGCCGGCCCACTTGCACCACTGCATCTTGGGATATGGATTTTTGAATTTGTATTCCGGCTCTGTACTAGTGCACAATACCTGGAAGAGGCAGGAATTAAAACTCAATGATCTGTAACGCTATTTACTGACAAAGTGACTGGCTCCAAAGTGGACCTGCAGGGTTAGACAAATGTAGAAACGCCGCTCCACTTTGTAACTTACTATATTAGTTTGACCTCTAGCTACACAGTTGGGAGTTGGCCACAGCGCTGCAGGTTGAGTTTAAACAGTTCTGCACCTCATTATGAATTCAGGTTTTGCTCACGTGTGCAAACACTCCTGAGCAAACAGCTTAAAGTGCTCCTGCAATTTAACTTCTCCTGACAGAATGTTAACACACATTTGTCTTAACAGCTGTCCTTTGGACCCAATAATGTTATTTGTACGTTTTTAAAGTCCTACGCCGCTAACCCCTTGACGACCACTGCCAACCAACACATTCCACAGCACTCAAGAGACCATTAGCACAAGGGAAACAACGACAGACACACACACAGAGCATAGTTTTGTTAGGGATTTAAGCCAGAAGTGCACCCCTAGTCAGGAAATTATAGTACGTGTAATAATGTTTAGTGTTAGAATTATAGTTTGTGTGATGTTAGATATTAGTTATTACATTAACATGTTAGATGAAGTGAATGCAATTTCAATCAAACACAATTCATAGTCATTTAAATCATATAAACACTGTACACATTAACATTCTGTCACAATGTGATGTTAAAACCTGGGGACGGATGCCAATTGCCGTTCTTTATGGATTTCTTCCAATTTTATCCCCAAAGAGGGTTTTTGGGGAGTTTTTTCTCCTGTCAGGTAGTAAATGAACAACTTAATGTAAGGCAGCCGACTGAGGCAAATGTCTTGAGAATTGAACCACATGAACTGTCTTAAAATCTTATGATGAAGTGTGATGGACGGTGATCATTAATGATGGGTTGTTGTAATGAAAGTGTACTAGTTATAAGATGAAGACTTAAACGATGCATGCTTTGTTAAATTCACTCATTGAGGCATAAAGCCAACTGTATCTACATTGAGTGCATTGGAATGTGAGGGACAGATAGTACAGTGAGGTTTCAGGTTACAGCTGCAGCTTCACACCTCGACGTGAAGGGGACAGTCCAGGAGGTGACCCTTTGGAGAAGAAGCCAATGACATTCAAATGCACCAAGGAAGACACACCTCAAGAGTTTTCAAAGGACCAAAGCGGGGAAAGGACTGGAGAATCTGACCTGCAGCCGCCTTGAAAAGTCACTTTAGACTTGCTCAGAGGATTCTCTATTTCGCAAAATATTCCACTGTTCGCTTAGTATTTCACTTTGTAATTGCATTCCTTATAACATTGTTTAGTTATTAAATACTTTTAGATTTTTGAATTTAAACGAATTGACTCATTCGTGTCCTCGTTTCCGGCCGGGACGAGAACAAAGGAGTGAGGCCTCCCTCGAGAACAGTTTACACTTTCATAATGCCGTGATAATAAAGGTGTAATAGAAATAATTTTACCTCAGGCTGCATACATTGATATCACAGTGCGATGCTAACACAGAATGAGCACACTGCCCTGAACCAGTCTCTCTCTCTTTCCAACCCCCCCGACTCGTTCTGTCGTCATCTCGGCCCACAGATGAACAAGGCACAGCTGGACACAGAACAATGTGTGCATGTGAGGGCCACTTGACCGAGCCGCGTCTATCTTTGGCTGTGACCACCAGCCACCATCTTCCTGTTGTGTGGCTGTGACTGATTAAATGCCATGACATGTGGTTTTGTGATGGAACAAATGAGAAGAGCACAACAGGGGAACATTTTTGATAATGTCTCTTTTTTATGCAAATAGCAAATTGATCAAATGTACAAGATAAAACTGAATAAACTTTAGGCCTGTCTAACCACAACAACATTTATGCTATCCCCAAAATGCAGACCTCCTTATATACAAATTAATTTGAGCTAATGCAACATTGCTCCAGTGTACAAAAATAAAGATATTACAGCTAAACTACCACATTCATATTAAGGAACAGAGACATTTCTGTGATTCAGCAGTCTCGTCTCAGGAGCTTTGTTGGAGTGGATGACTGGTGATGAAATCATATTTGATCCGTAACTAAGCCGGCGCGTGAGTCGCAGACCTCGGCCTGCCGTGTCATCTTCTCTGTGCTGCGCTGGCACAGTTCATCAGCCTGAAAGCGGTGCTGGGGCTTTGTTGGCATTTTTGTTGTTTCTGGAGTTTCTTGGCAGAAGTCTTATTTGGTGTTATTTCCTGAGGAGGGACGTGAATGGGCTTCCAGGGGATTGGGTTGTAGAAGCTGGGGGATGCGCGTGATGTGTCGTAGGGACCTGGAAGAAATCAAAGCAATAGAATACTGATACATAACAAATATTAGCTGGCCAAACGAAATGAAGGAATACAATGACATCTGATTTGCCCTAAGGCGAACCTTGAATACTTATACTGCTCACACTTGATCAATTATATGGTGTGAGTTAGACCAAGATGGAGTACGCCCCGTTAATATTTGCCAGATGACTTAGATGACCTTACCTGTTGGGTAGCAAGGTGATTTGGGACTTGCCCTGCTCTTTTCGTTGGTTTTAGCCAGCCAGTCCTTAAACTTCTCCTCTGCCCTCTTGTGGCGCTCTCGCTCCTGCGCCTCCTTCAGGGCAGCCGCCTCCTGTCAAGGTAATTGGATCTATCAGAATTGCTCTGCTTCATTAAAAGCTGAATACCGGATGAAAAAATAATCAACATTACTTTCTCCTTCTTTTCTAATTCTATTTTTTCTTGATTCTTCTTCTGCAGCCAGACTTTGTACTTTTGTTGAGCTTTCTGTTCAGTCTGCCTCTGTTTCTCCAGCTGCCTCTGTATCTCTTCCTCCTCCTTGCTCAGTTTTATGAGGTAATCCTGCTTCTCCTGGAATTGCATGAAAAACCAAATAACAGAGAGGTCAGCATTTGATAGTGTAGCATTACTGTACTTTACAGTTTTACTGACTTAAGTAGCCAGAGCCTACCTGTTTCATTTTCATCTGTAGCCATTCTTGGATCTTCTCTTCCATGACTATCCTTTTCTGTTCCCGCTCCCGTTCTTCTTGTTCTTTTTTTTTCTTCCTTAACTGCTCCTAATGTTTTTAATAAATGGGTACAAAATGTTGTACTGAGTCAGACAAAATGCAATAAGAAGAAAAAATATTTTCAATGCATTGTATTTGATAAAAGGGAGAAAAAAAACTATGCCTGGCTGAATGTACACAATACGAGAAATGTAAATAACAAAAGTAACAACTGCTGCAGAAATACAGAGATATAAATGTGATCTGAGTTTTGCCTCATCTGCTTGTTTTTCCAGTTTGAAACGGTCTTCTTTGGCCTTGTTCACCAGCCACATCTCCCACGCACTGAGAAAGGGTCCACGCGAGGCCCCCGAAGCATCCGGCAGCCGCACCGAAGGGCTTCTTGGTAGCTCACATCTGTAACACAACGATAAAACATTATACACGTTCTCCTGCTTGGTTTTAAACTTAAAAGATGCCACCCTCCACTGGTATTTTTTTAAATGATTTTTCTTGTCTCTGCTGAGAAACAGGCCGGTGACGCCCAACAGATGCTATTTATACTTTATGCTCGTGTGTACTTTCTGATGTGCCTCGTTTCCTCGGTTTTCTGTGTAATAAATAAAGAGGAAAGACGCCTGCTCGCCTGGCCGGGGAACCGCTGGGTCCGGAGGGCTCGCTCCGTCCGGGGGAGGTCAGCTGAGCCGGGCTGCGCTCCAGGTCTTCGTCGCTGTCAAAACTGTCGTGGTAGATGGGAGAAAGCAGAGAGAACGTGTCTTCGTCGTCGGTCAGGACGCCGTCGTCGCCGTCCAAGCTCTTGGGCGGGTTGAAGTCTTTCCCCGCGGCCGTTTTGACGGGCGTCGAGCTGAAGCCTTCGGACACGGAGGCAGGACAGTTCGGCATCCTCCCTCCAGACATGCTGCTGAAAACGCAACACATGAGAATGTTTTAGCTTTAGTTTGTTGTGTAATATCATCCGAGCATATGCAACGTCTCAGTAAGACAAACTACACCAACGTGGCTTACTAACGCTCATCTCAACAGCTCGTTCAAACGGTTAGCAAAGTGGGGCTAACGTTAGCACCCAAAGGAACTTAACGTTAGCTTGGATATTATCTAACGTGCTACGAAGGTTTAGAACTAACTATTATTCAAGGTTGCTCCGCAGTCTATGCGTGCGGTGTCTCTCGCTAATGGAATAACTACGAACATTTGGTAAATAACCTTTTTCGCAGATAATTGAAGAAAAGTTTCGCTGTTGTCTTTTTCACCAACGCTGGAACTTGCAGCTTTTTTCCCATGATACACCGCGTCCCGAAGCTGGCCTGTAACCATAGTGACGCCCGACAAAAAGAGTCTGTACCTCGTCTGCTGCAAAAACTTTATAGCATTTTATCTAAATAAATGGCTCAATATACGAAAGGGAATAATATAAGGGGCTTGTTATATAACTCATTACCCTCTTTGATTTAAATTGTATTATCGCTACTTTCATTTATAATAAATGGATATTTGAATGGAACCTGATTGGAGGTGCAGCTTATAAGCTTATGGTTGTTTTGTGAATTCTGACTGATAATACATTTTCAATGCTAGAAATGAAACTGACCATTAGGAATTCTGTCATTCGATTTTCCATCCAATATAAACATTTTAACACCGTAAAAGAATAACCAGGCCTGCAGGAAACAATCTGGTTACAATTCATGAGCAAGGCCACTGACTACTTTCCATATTAGCTTGTAAAAAGCGGTATAAACTGCAGCTCATGTTTCTTAAAAAAAACAAGGAAAGAAATTTAAGCTTCGTAGTTTGGTGATAAAAAATTGAAAATCAGATATTTTTCTCCCACGGTTTTAACTGTTGTATTCCAGTGTGATTCTTTTCAGTCCTTATCTGGGTTGTGCTGCTTTATTGTTATTCAGTGACTAAGTTCACCCTATTTAACAACAGGAATTCATTCTTTATCTAGCAGCCCCAATCCAGTTTAAGTTGACCTGTCTGTGCACGCTGTCTCACTGCCACTCAACATTATCAGTTTAATTACCAGCTGGTGTTCTAATTTGAGCTTGCACGCCGGAGAGCTGCTTTCACAAAGACGTGTGGCATTTTGTGAGTGTTTGTAATTACTTACAGCTCTAAATCGATATGCTGTCTTGTTTATTGTCTCTTATTGCTAAATCCCACCGTTGAACAGTATCCCTGAATTGTTGATTTTCATCCAACCTGTGACTTTGTCAACAAGTATTTAGTTTCAGATGATTTTGATTAAAACATCAAATCAAGTGCAGCTAGATTGTGGTAACTGTATCAGTTGTGGAGTAACAAACATAGTGTAGAAATACTCAGTTAGCATTACAAAAACCTGCCTCCAAAACTTCAGGAACAGCCTATAGACGTATCAAAAGTAAATGTATACACAATGGTCTATTTCAGCTATTATATATGTACACAAAATATAAAGTTATATATATATATCAATTCAACACAAGTTGTAACAAAAAATTAAGTGGTGTAAAAATTGACCGAAATAGTTTTCATTGTAATGTAAAGGAGCCGAGATATGTAGGAGGAACCTGAATATTTATACTCAAGAATAGTACATTTGTACTTGCTCATCACCACTGCTCTTAATAAGTCGTTACTGAAAAGACAACAACAGCATGTCTGTATCTTGCTGGTAATCATAGAAATATTTCTGGGGGGCTCTCTACATCGTTCCCATCACTCCTCCCGAAAGCAATTTCCCATCGTGTGTCAGTTCTACGTGTGGCGTCCGCAGTTCTGAGTAAGATTACGGGACACGAGCGGACAATCAGCAGCCGGCCCGCGCAGAATGCAGGTAGGGCGTGTCCCATCCAACGTGTCTCCAGAGTCACACCAGGGTGAGGCATTCCAGCTCTGGCCTCTGCTGGTCCATTGTTCGATGGGCAGGGTTCCTCATTCCGTTCTCCACATGGTCCTCTACTGACTCTCCAGCCAGCTCACGGGCCAGGTGGTATGGTGACAGGAGACTCTCAGAGACTGCCAGAGCGCAGAGGCCGACGGCGCAGACTCTCCCGGCCCCTTCCTCCAGACTCTGGACCGCTACGGAGGTCCCGCAAGAAGCTCCAAGTTATCATCTGTGTACTGCTCGTGGAGCTGTGTGAGAGATTCACTTTTTTTGGCATTGTGTGCAACACGATTCTCTTCTGCACGGTGAAGCTGGGCTACGATAACTACCTGGCCGCGACGGTCAACCTGTGCTTCATAGGAGCCAGCACCCTGACCCCCGTCCTGGCCGGGTGGTTCGCAGAGACCTGCCTGGGAAGGAGCAAGGTGCTCTACTTGTGTGCTTTCCTTCATTTCTTTGGTGAGATGCCGTTAATGGAATACATGTTGTATGATGTGAGGAAACTCAACTCACTGTTTAGGTTTAGATTGAATGAGGCGTTCTTCTTCTGTTGCTGTCCTTCATCTTTTTGGACACAGTTAATACGTGTTGATGTGATGAAATTTGTGATAAGACAAGAGACATAATTAACTGTGGTAAAGATCGAATCAGCTTGTTTAAAAGACAAGATTTATCTGGGACGTGGACAAGAGTTGTGCAAATATCTGGGCCATCTTGACCTTTAATGTGAGCTCATTTCACAAGCGTTAGTAATTCTGTTAAAGGGCTTAGTCATGGATCTGCCTCTGTGAAGTCACACTCCTGCTGGAAATCTAGCTGCAACCACCCATAACGTCCACCTGCCACTACCGCGTAGGCACAGCCATGCTGCCCGTGGTGGCATTCCCGTTTGAAGATTTCTACATTGACACTCATCACATGACGCACCAGCTGGAACCTCGGGAGCAGCAGATCTTGTTCTACGTCGGCCTCCTGGCTGCTGCACTGGGCATCGGCGGCATCCGGGCCATCCTCTGTCCCATGGGGGCCTACAGCCTGCAGGGCTACAATCAGCACCAGCTCCTGTCCTTCTTCAACTGGTGAGCGGCGCTGCATTCACTTAGTTCACTGTAAGACTAAAAACGGTCCATTGGTATTGTTCATCATCACCTGAGGTTCTTTACGGCATCTGCATGGAGACAAGAGACAAGTACATACTGCAGGTGCTTGGTTAATAATGGAAAGCAAAAACTCTGAGTAGATTGGCCTCATTTTTCCATCTGCCCATTTGTCATTTAGTAACATCTGCATAAACAATGTTCCCTGAGGGAAGTGATATTGGTTTTTATTTATGTTTAGGTTCTACTGGTTGGTCAACCTGAATTCCACTGTTGTATTTTTGGGGATTGCTTACATCCAGCAGTCTGTGGGAAAGAATCTGGGCTTCCTCATCCCCTTCACCTCTGTGCTGCTGGCTCTAATCGCCATACACATGATGAGAAACAAACTCACATACAAACCGAAGAAAGGTAACGCATATTTTTTTTAAAAGAGAGACGTAGAAACAGGTATACAGTGCCACACACACTTAGTTCTGTTCCTTTGTGCGTCTGTCGAACTGCAGGTGGATCACTGTTGACCACATTGGGAATTTTCTTGAACTCTCTGAAGATGTGCTGCCTCCACTATCGTCACCTGAGTGGGGATGTGGGCTCTTGGCTGGACCGGGCCAAGGAGAACAACGGCGGGCGCTACAGCGAGACACATGTTGAAAACGTCAAAGTGCTGGCCAAGCTCTTCCCTCTTTATGGCCTTCAGCTGCTTTACAGAGCCTGCATCACACAGGTGGGTCACTGGGAGTATTGGGGGTCTCTAATACGAAGCATTAAAATGTATCATGATGGTTTTTCCACACGAAGGGAGGCTGAGGTGATGTTTTTTCCGCAGATTCCCTCAGGTTACTACATACAGACAATGAACTCAAAACTTCACCTCAACAACCTCCTGCTGCCCATCGGCGCCATGAACGTGATCAGTATCCTCCCTCTGCTGCTCTTGGCGCCACTGATCGAATGCGTAACCACTTGTTACCTCTCCAAAGAGAAAACTCCTCCGGCCCCTGCAAAAGTCATCAGTGAGTATCCGTGTGTGCATGCACGCCCGCGCACTAATGCACGCATCATTCTAACGTGTCTCTCGCTCTTTCCCCTCCGTAATTATTCTGCAGCCCCCTCTCACCACCCCTCCCTGTCCATCCTCCCCTTCCAGCTTTGGGCCACGCGTGTGCCACCCTGTCGGTCCTGGTGGCAGGTTTGTCTGAGCTGCAGAGGAAGGCGTACCCTCTGGTGGAGCAGACGCTGTCTGGAAGAGTTCTGCAGGTGTCCTCCATGCCATGTTTCCGGCTGGCTCCTCAGTACATCCTGCTGGGTCTCGCAGAGGCTCTCGTCACTCCTGCATGTATGTGACAGAATTATGGTCTCCAGAATTACGTGGTGCATCCTTGCAAAGAAACCTCACAAAAAATACACAGCAGGCAACTTTTCTGCTTTCTCTTCCTCTCGGGCAGGTTCCCTCATATCTTTCCAGCTGACCCCGTGCCACATCAGAGGGATCTCCCTGCACTTCCTCACTCTGTCCTATGGAGGAGGCTGCTTTCTGGGAGCCTTCATCGTTCAGCTGGTGTTCCTTCTTTCTGGAGGTAAAATTAGTAACCACACTGCATCGATTGTTTTCTTCCAATAAGAAACAATACTGACACTAAAATCAAATTTAAAAGTAACTCTCCTGATGGTGATATGAACACTTGTATACTTGTTTACAGGAAACTTTTACCCAAGCATATTGCACGATGGGAATCTGGAGAGGTTTTTCTTCCTTCTGTCCACACTGATGGCTGTAAATACCTTTGTATTTTGGAGCGTATCCAACAGGTAGGCCCGCCGATCCCCTAATGAGTTTCAATCAGAGAATACATTTTGTCATTCTCATCTCACCGATGCTGTGCAGGTACAAAGACCTGACTGTGCAGGGCAAAGCACTGACCATCAGCCCTCTGACTGAGAAGCTGCTGCATTACAAGGCCTGTCTGCGCTTCTACGACACTGTGGATTGCTCGTACACAAACCAATCGGTTGAATCTATTTTATGATAGCCTTCATTGTTACATCTACAGTCGGTGGCGCTGGCGCTGCATGTTATGTCAAAGTCTTGGACTTGGGGAATTGTGAACTGTACAAAATGGTGTAAAAGGAATGATAATGATGGAAGTATGTTGTTTTTACAATCATGTGTAACAATGGAATTTATGAATAGAATTGAAGTTGTCCCCAAAATAGTGAATTATGTTAAGATACTTTTGCCAATAGTGTTTAGAAGAATGCATTTAAATATTTGCTAATTAAAACAAATAAATGTATAAATGTCATTAGCATGGTCCTTTATTTGGCTTTGTTAAAATAGAGCAAAGACAGTTTAATTATTTCTTAATTCTTTATTTATTAAGCATAAGCACAGAGGAACATCAAAGATTAAAACAGCAAGCCCCTTAAATGGCTTATTTCCGCAGTGGTCATCCAACATTCAACTAGCAACACAAAAAAGACAAAATATTTTCTGACAAAACAAAGCAGCTGAGATATTAAACAGAAATCAGCCTGTGAGTTACAGCGAAACCATTTCTTCATGACCAATTTGATTCCATTATAGAGCATGAAGAACAGAATGAGAAGATATGGCATAAACATCAGTTATGTTGACACAAGTTCTTTTAGGATTTATATGTATAGTTGTCTTTTACCAGTAATTGAAAACAATGGGAAAAGGTCTTTGGATTATGTTTTTAAAAAAATTAAGAGAAATAAATGAAAAAATACAACAGAATATGCTATAAAGATTCTGATCTACTGCATGTTGTTGGTTTGATGCAAGCAGGTGTCTTAAGGCTTTGCGCATGTTTACAATCAACCCCCGCTTTTTCCAATGCAATGCTACGCAATGCTACGCATGTTTACAATCAACCCCCGCTTTTTCCATCCCTGTGACATAAATGGTAGAAGCTCATAACAGCAATGGCTTAGAATTAGCGTATCCTCAGTGTTGAACCTAAATCAAGAGAAAACCCAGGATAGAGAGGTTCAGTGAACGTGGTCTTAATTTGTATGACGCGGCCAGGTCGACAACGCCACCGTCCCACTCCACCTCCCAGTAGTGGCGCTCCTACTTTTGACTCTGTGTACAAAGACTTGTACACAGAGTCAAAATACAAGTTTAGCAAGGCGGTGAGAGATGCTAAACGACTGTACTCTGAGAAACTCCAACAACAGTTCTCAGCAAGTCACTCTGCTTCGGTTTGGAGAGGCCTCAAACACCTCACTAACTACAAGCCAAACCCCCCCACTCCATAAATGACCTCCGCCTGGCAGACGAGCTGAATGAGTTCTACTGCAGATTCGAAAGACAATGTCCTGATTCCATCCCCCACAGCTCCACCAACCTGCTGCAGTCCCCCTCCCCTCCCTCCCCCAGCCCATCAGGTGCTCACGCCTCTTCATCTATATCACCTTCCCCTCCCCCACCAGCAACGACCCTCTCTATTCTGGAGAGAGACGTTAACCGGCTCTTTAAAAGACAAAATCCCTGTAAGGCAGCCGGTCCGGACTCCGTCTCCCCTCACACCCTGAAGCATTGTGCTGACCAGCTGTCTCCGGTGTTTACTGACATCTTCAACACCTCCCTGGTGACATGCCACGTACCAGCCTGCTTCAAGGCCTCCACCATCATCCCTGTTCCCAAGAAGCCCAGGATCACAGGACTCAATGACTACAGGCCCGTCGCCCTGACCTCTGTAGTCATGAAGTCTTTTGAACGGCTAGTCCTGACCCACCTGAAGTCCCTCACTGACCCCCTCCTGGACCCCCTGCAGTTCGCCTACAGAGCCAACAGGTCTGTGGACGATGCTGTCAACATGGCCCTCCACTACATCCTCCAGCATCTGGACTCCCCAGGAACCTACGCCAGGATCCTGTTTGTGGACTTCAGCTCTGCCTTCAACACCAGCTTCTCCCAGCTGCACGTGCCCGACTCCACCTGCAAGTGGATCACAGACAAACAGCACGTGAAGCTGGGGAAACATGTCTCAGCCTCTCGGACCATCAGCACCGGTTCTCCCCAAGGCTGCGTTCTTTCCCCTCTGCTCTTCTCCCTGTACACCAACAGCTGCACCTCCAGTCACCAGTCCGTCAAGCTCCTGAAGTTTGCGGATGACACCACCCTTATTGGACTGATCTCTGGTGGTGACGAGTCCGCCTACAGGTGGGAGTCTGTGGTCCTGGTGCAGCCAGAACAACCTGGAGCTCAACGCTCTAAAGACAGTGGAGATGGTTGTGGATTTCCGGCGGAACAGAGCTCCAAAGACTCTACAAGTCTTTGGATCATTTTTCAGGGGACCTGCAGAGGCTCAGAAGAGGAAGCAAGACTATAGGTTTAGTAAGACGTGAATGTAAATCCACTATATTTGTCAGCCATTAACTGCAAGAGTTTCCTAACTTGAGTCAAAGAAACGTTACTAAATGTAATATTTAATCACACATTGTGCTACTTGCTTGGAAAAAAAGATCAGGCTGCTCTATAATCAATATCTGCATATTCGCAATTGATTAAATTAGTACTGCAATAAGGTCATACATTGTAATGAAGCCAGAGCCAAATGTTCCTGAGATGTATTTCATCAAAATATACAGTATGTGCATTTCATTGTCAAAAAATAGTTGGAGCTTCACGGAACTATGCCTATATCATGTAACTATGGACAGTTGTAATGGATCATATTGCTATTAATTTTCCATAGGCTATATATCCAGACACAACTAGTGATCATTACTTACTTATATTATAAGCCTATCGTTATAAACCGCTATAGTATTATACAAAGGTTTAAGGAAATGAAACAGCTACTCTATAAAACGAGAGAACTCTCGCGAGATTCCTGCGAGATCTCCGCGAAGTGCGAGATTTCGTTGGTATCCTAGGAGACGACGTCGGCGTGCAGCGTCCGCAGTGCGGAAGAGGCGTCGCGTTTTTGTCTCTGGTGATGTTTGTGTTCCCCACAGAGCGGCGGACACGATGGACCTACCGGATGGCATCAGGAAGCGCTTAGAGGACTTTTCTCGGAACGTGTTATTCGACCAGAGCGGGACTCGGACCGTCGCAAGAGAAAATGACACGTTTTTGCCCCACGGTAAACTACGAGTGGACCGTACTTGCGTTATCAGCGCCGAGGATGACGTAGTTAACCATCGATATGAACGTTTGTGTTGAGCTGCGGTTGAGGTAGCGTCGTTTTAACAGCCGATGCTGCTTCTGGTGTTGCTTTGTTTTACAGACAAGCGGCTTCTGTCGAGTCTCCACCTCCAGATGTCTCTGTACTTTAACATGTGGTTCTTCCCCTTGTGGTGGATCAGCGAAGCTGTAATGCTGCACCTCAAGGTGAGCCATGCACACGGAAAGTGAGAGACTGTGATGGTGAATGTTCTCAATAATGAACGAATTATTGCTAAGAGTAACAAAGTGACCTGCATTTGAATACATTTAAGTTAATTGTTCCTCGGTTTGTTTAACTGAATTCATGTAATTGTCATTTCTACCAGTATCCTGCCCTGCCCGACTACTACAAGTTCATCCTGGTCACCGTCCTCATCCTGATGACTCTGATAGAGGCCATTAGACTCTTCCTCGGTTATTCTGGGAACCTGCAAGAACAGGTAATGCATCCCTTACAGGAACATAGATACAGTCGAAATAGAGATTATAACTCCTTTAATACCTGTGTTTGTGTTTAGGTCCCAGAGCTGGCTGGATTTTGGCTGCTCAGCATCCTGCTGCAGTTTCCACTAATCCTGTTTCAGCTCTTCAATGAAGCCATTCTTATACAACCCCTGGAGAGAGGTGTTCACATAGTACTCGCCATATTTATACTCGCACAGGTAATGTCAACTTCCTTTTTAAAGACAGAATAGATGTAAGTCATCCATTTCCAAACTGCATGCAAGTAAATGTACGTTATTTATTGTTTGGTGATTGTCATTTACTTCTTTTGACTGTTTTTATTGAATGTTCAGGCCCTCTCTGGTTTTGTGACGCTCCGGGACATGGTCCGACACACAGGAAGACAATTTCATCTCCGACAGTTTGACTGAGTTCTTCTTCACTGCGACACACACATCCCCCCTTTGTACCTCCCACTCGGAGGCTGATGTCGAAAAAATGATGTGTAACCTTTTAGTATTACATGTAGAACATTTTACATTCACTGTGCACGAATGAGTATTAATGAAAAAAGGTTGTGGACATATATTTTTATATATTTTATTGTAAAACTTTTTTCTGTAGCATTGCAATAAACAATATCTAAGAAACACACACAACAAATCACATTCTTCTTGATCCATCAGAGGACCTTCACATACCTGATCAGAATAATCTTAATCTGTCCTTGCCAGGTTCCAAATATTGTCCTCTACAGCAGAGCAGTCTGTGAGGATCTTGTGGTCGCTGCAGTAGTTATTTGGCTTTCTCTTCCGGGGTAATACTGCCTGGTGTTCTCAACCTGGAGCCTCCCATCGGTGTCCCTCTGTGGATGCGCAGGCTCCATCTTCATGAGGCCTGAGGGCCTCGACACTGGGGACAAAACACTCTGCTGCCTTTTGCCCTCCGAGGTGTCTTTGCATAGTCTGAGGAAATTGAAAAAAGGAAGCACAGGAAATATTTCAAACACTGTAAACATTGGTTAAAAGGCATTATGCTTTTCTTCTAGCCGTTGCACAGAGATCAAGGTGTATTTCCCAGTATTTGTACCGCAATAGAAACTTAAGCATTTGACAGAGAGGGATCAAGACAGACAAAGAGAGAGTACACAAGAGGGTTTCTAGGGTAGGTACCTTCTCCCTCTCAGGTCTGTGCCCCCCAGGGGCACAAACACATTTCTGTGTGCTCTGGTTTCTCTCTGGAGGGCGACAGGAGCGAGATCCCTGTGGTTCTGCTCCCCGAGGTGGCCACATGTCAACAATGACAAACCCGCAGAAGAGACAGCGGTGAAACTGGACAGCCAACGCTTTGGGACACCGGTCGTAATCATCTTGCCGTACGTAGATGACGGAGGCCTGACGAAGAAGAACATAACATAACTTTAAAAATCTGAATGTGCCTCAACATGTGGTAAACGTCTCTTGTTGAGGACACAAAGTCTCCGTGTCTTGCCTGTGTGGCGCCGTAAGGGAAGGTGGCCGCACTGAAAGAGAAAGAAGAGTTTTACTGGAAAAGATGTACAATTTGTTGCATGCTTAAATTAACAATACATTTCGGACAAACCTCTGTAGTCTTCGTAGGAGGCGAAGGATCGCCGGGTGCAGCTGTGATTTGGCTTGTTACAATGCACAGAATTGGGCGACGGTGGAAGGAGAGCACTCACGTGCAGCAGCTGGGAGGAACACCTCCACTGTCCCGCGCACATCCGCGGCTCGCCTGAGAACGCAAGTCACGCACCATGTTCACTGCTCGACGGGACATTTCCTACTGCACCGATGATTCATGACTAAGTGCCGTCACGTGTGGAAGTCAACAGGAAATATTCACCATAAACTGCCTGGAAAAAACGATTTTTAAAGTCGTTGTGGATTAGGACACTGAGGGTGTGAGAAAGGCTGAGCCTCCTAAATGAATGTTACCCGACGTGTGGAGATGTGGACATGCTGCCGCCCTGTACACAGCTTTCATTTCTCCGTCTTCCTACTATGCAATAAAGCCCATTGGAAATAGCAGAGAGTCAAAAGTCAAAATGGCAGATCAACCTGGGTCTTTACCTTGACCGGCTCGCTGCCCTGCCACAAAGTCACCTGACTGACCTCCCCGGAGCGAGTGTTGGGAGGGGGGGATCAGCGCTTTTCCCATCGCGCCATTTGCCTTCACAAAGAAGGAAATACCAAAAGAGACGAGTCAAATCTTCTGCCCTCCCTCTGTGGCCCGGCGCTCTCTCCTGAACTCGTTCCCTCCCTCTGTTCGTACCTGCCCTTTCCTCCCGTGCCGTCCTACGGGCCTCTCTTGGGCGATCTCTTTTACTGCGTCCTCTCGGGGCAGCTTGGACTCCTGCAGAGACTGTTCACTAATTAGTCTTGTCTCCAGTCATTAAACAGGAAAGCCGTGTCGTGCTCTCATTTGTTTTGTGCCGCTCTGCCGGACCTTCGGCTGCGCAGCGTTTTGGACTCTCTCTGGGCGTAGCTTGTTCCTCTCTTTGCGACTCCTCAAGCATTTCTTTTTCTTTCTTCCTGGAGTTTGCTGCGGAGGAGAGAGGAGGAGAAGGTAAACCGATATGAGAGAAGACGTCATTTAAAAACAGTGTTTTACAAAGTGATCAGGATTTGGATTGTTGGCCTTCTGGTTACAAGAAAGCCGTTTTGGAGAGTAGATCTGATGTCAGTGTACCTCTGCAGGAACAGCATGGGGCTGGTTCAGTAAATGAGCCGGGAGTCCGTCAGAATTGGAACTATTCGAACCACTGGTGCTGTGAATGCAAACGAAAAATATTCATGTATACAAGCTGCATGAGAGCACATATTACACATTCGCGATATTAAGTCTGTTTTGTATGTGTATTTATGACGATAGCAATGTGTCGCCATATCACCTGGTTTCCAGGTCAGAGACGGAGAAGTCGGTGCCCAAATCTTTGCCCAGCCTCTCTCTGACCTTCTTCGTCAACAAGGCCGCCAGCTCTGTCAGACAGAGGCCGGTCTGAATTCAAAAGCAGAGAAAGCATTAAAACGCACACACACACCAAACAAAAACAGCTTTTACTCATTTTATATTTTTGTGCGTACAAATGAAAGGTTTTGTGTACAACTCGTAGATGTGTTTTCTATCTCTGACCTTTGTTGGATCTGGGTCACAGTAGTCCAGCAGGGTGTCACAGAAGTAGAAACCAAGGGACTTCAGATCCCGAGTCGTAAAGTGTGTCCCTCTTCTGTCACCTGTCATTCAAACGCATAATCTTAATACACACACACACACACACACACACACACACACACACAAAACCCATTTGGAAGGTCTAAACTCACCCAGCGTGGAGCCTCCAAAGGTGGCCTCCATTGTGTAGCTGTTCTTGATGCCGAGTCTCCACATGGCAATGCGTCCCGTTCCCTCTTTGCTCTTCTGCACCCGGAACTTACAACTCTTAAAGGAGAACTAATGCCGAGGGATTTAGATGTTGGAGTTGTTATGTAAATAGGAGGACAGAGGATCTTACTCTGCGTATAAAGAGCATTTCCTAATCAGGGTATTTACCTTGTTACTGGCATTCTTGCTCATCATTAGTGGAAAGACTCTCTCCTGAAGCTTCAGCGAAGCATCGCCTCGATTGTTACAGCCGTACATGAAGACATTGTTTTTACGGTTGTGGCCGTGAAAGTCGCAGTAAAGAACTACATCCATCTCAGCCATCAGCCTGGAACAAAGATTACAGGGCAAGAATAGACATTGGTAAAAGTTCTTTTGAATACATACTTGGAGAAACCACGTTGTAAAAGAAACAAGATTACGGTCATTTACAACATATTTGCTATAATAACGAAGATTTGTAGTGTTTCATAATTTGTTTGTTTACGCACGTGTACTTTCATACCTTTCCACCATGTTTCGGGTGTGCCACACACAGGGAAAGGAATCCCTGAGTGACGTCTTGTAGTTCCTGTTGAGATCCCTTCCTGCCAGAGAACAGCGGTAATTACCCACTATGACACCATCAGGGTTCAGCATAGGAACCACCTGCAGGTCCATGGATCCAAATGAGAAAACCGCAACGTTCATAATGACGAGACTGATGTGAGACTCTGAGCTCGAGGTCCCTGACCTTGAAGACAAAAGTGTCCCTCAGCAGCTGAGCGTCCTCCGAGTCACCGAGCAGGAAGTCCAGGAACCCCTCCATCATCCAGGATCCGTTGGTTTCTCCGGGGTGCACTCGGGCCGTCACCACGACGGCCTTTTTGCTGCTCGCCGCCCTCCTGCCGCCCCCCCGGGACGTAATCGTCACCACGTATACAGCGTTCCCAGCGAGGCTGTGGCACAGCACCCGCAGGGTACAGTATGACGCAACTGCTGAGTTGGATGAGATGTTCCTGAGGTAGCGCTGCAGGTGGGAATAGGTGTAGGGGTAGCAGTGGGCCAGGTAGCATGTGTCCGAGTCATAGGGGAACTGGAGAGTCCACGTCAGTGAGTATGCGGCGATTGCGTCGCTGTTGCGGTCCTCTGCGTTCTAAGCAGAGACAGAAATAGTGGGGGGGTTTAAGTGAGGTCCTGCTTTGTCAATTATATTTTTAAAATATCTGGAGTTACGTTGTTCTCGTGTGCTTTCTGCACTCACTATACAGATCTCAAATCATACAATTTGCAATAAACATGCTGGAAAACTACAAAACAACCTGGTGAATTACAGTCAAGATGTCATTTTTTATGTTCCACCATGTCAGGAAGTTCACCCACCCGACTGCAGCTGCGGTAGTATCTAATATTTGAGCCGGCGCGCTGCCATCCGACACCTTTGTCGGCGGCCCTCTCGGAGTAGAGCAGTGGTCTCATGCCGTGAGAGTACAGGCTGCTGCTCTTCATCAAGTTGATGATACTGAAGCGGTATGTCACTCCAGCCTTCATGTTCCTGACCCTGAAATAAAACCACTGCGTGTGCTTTCTGGTGTACATGTCTGTGCGCAGGGTGAGCTCGTAGTCATAGTCACTCCTGAACAGGAAAGAAATATGGGGGGGCAGAGAGTATAACTAAACTACTTGAATGGATCAAATGTACACAAACGATTGAAAGGCGACTTCGGGTGCAGGACTCACACTTGCACAGCCTTCTGAAGGTTCCCACTCTCAAAGCGGGACTCAAACTCAAGAGGGAGGTCCGTCTGGTTTATGGAAGAGGTGGCGCTCTTAGTGGGCCGCCTGCTTCCTCCGACCCGGGAGCAGGTGAAGTAGGGACGCTTAGTGGCTGGAAAAGAAGTGAGAACAACATGAACAGAGTAAATGTGAACAGCCCAAACTCTTAAAGCTTTTAGTAAACATGGACTTGCTCTTTTAGAGTTAATATCTAGGATACCACTGCTGAGGAAATCAGGCCCACCAGAATAACTAATATGTTATATTAAAATGTTATTACAGCTTGTATATTGTTGTGCGGCACTTAAATTGTAACATCAAAATGAAATTTAAATCCTAAAGCATTACGGAGTCCAGATGGGTTCTTCCTCATAATGTTCCACATTAAATCGAAGGATGAACATTAAGCAATTCAACGTAATGGGTTGTTATTATTATCTTATTGTTCAGCAGAATCCGTTAACAAGACTGTGGTGATATACAGCACCAACTTGGAACTACAAAAAAGCCTCCGGTGTGATGCGTTACCCTGGTCAGCGCAGTAAACCACGGTGCCCCTCTCCTCTCCTTCTGGCACGGGGGTCCTATCGGGTCCTGTGTGATGGTAGAAAGGCTCTGGCTCCGGGGGGTCCCACTCTGCAACACGTACCCTCATTGTTCATTAAATGTCGACAGTTACTGCCAAATGGGGTGCTGGCTTTTTTCTTCATTTATTGAAAACTTCCTTCTGCCTTCTATTGGGCTTATCAATAACCTTCCTAATAACATAACCGTTTCAATACAATGTGTAATTACCGATGTGATGGATGATGTCGCTGATGACCTCACACTCTACGGGCCAACGGGGGCAGGATATGGATGGGAAGGTAACCAGGTCCGGCGGAGCCCTGAGACTCAAAACAGGTCGGCCACCGTCGAAGTCGACGAGAAGCTGCGTGGTCCTCAGAGTCTGACTTAGATTCACAGCCCCTGAGGGGAGACACCAACCACACCTTCAGTAACTGCGTGAGATAAATGCATGTTTGGTGCACACGTCTTTCGCAGGGAAAACCAGGCCTTTGGCACGAGAGTCAATAGTTGTACTCCCACCCCACGTCGCACATTAGACAGCGGAGTGGGATTAAAACAGCAACAAGTCGACCCATCGGGGTGAAGTTAAACATTAGCAATGCAGGGGAAATGGCTTACGCTGCCTCCTTCCTGCCAATTCCTCCTCATCTTCCCCTGCGATGGAGCCATTGCTGTCCGATCCGTCCCTCTGATGGGTGTTCCACCAATTCCTGATAGCGGACACAGCCATGGTTTGTGTTTTCTCTGCCTGAGAGGAAAGAATTAAGTCATCAACCTCATACTCCCAATTGCCAAACCGAGTCGGAGGTTTATGTGGTTTGCCCCTTTTCATCAACCACGGTTTGTAATCAGGATACTGCAAAGATGAATTATGTTATCGTGAAACAATACCGATTTGAAAGAAATTCCAATACTTGCTGCTTAAAGTAAAATGCCAGAGAAAGTCCTCCTGAAGGATGCAGCGCGCATTCATGAGGTCAACCAGTGCAGGGTCAACTTCTGCTCAGCACTGACGTCACACACCAAAACTTTTGTTTTGCTTCAAGCTTCATTGCAAAAACGCTCTCAATCTGTGCCGCGACTTACCTCGCTCGTGGTTCAACTGCGCCGCAAACACGCTTCAATACACAGCGGAGCGATTAAGCGAACATGGCGCCTCCATCGAGTGGAAGACGTTCCTGAAGTGCACGATGTTGCCAAGCAACCGATCGTCTCGACAACACCGCGGTCGCCATGGAGAGCAGGATACGCCCAGACCGAGCGGACCATCGCTCCCAGTGAATGAACGGGTGTTAAACACCAGGAAGCACACTGAAGTTCACCCAAGGTTGATCCTCCGGGGACGGAGAACGGAGGCCTCAACGTGTTTAGCACTACGACTGTATTGAATAGGGTGGCCATTTCCTTCACGTCAAAAAGGACGACATTAGTGATGGGGCGGGGGGGGGGGGGGGGGGGTGGGAAAAAAAAAAAAACTTTTCTAAAAGCATTTGTGTGAGCGGGGGGGGGGGGTAAGATATTACCAAACGTTCAGTAAAAAAAAGCTAGACCCTAGCTAGCACTGCAATAGTAATAGCACCATCTAACTGCTGACAAGTGGCTAAAACAGACAGAGAATATCGAGTGGGGGGACAATACAGTCAACGGTGGCACGGACGTTCCGTCGGGGGGCGGGGCTATTCATTTTTGATTAAAATGTTGTCTCGTGCTCCATTGGAATGAATTGGAATGATCTGTTAGAGCGGTGGTAAGGTGTCTCGTCTCGGTTGTCGAGGACCCGGGTCTGAATCCCGCATAGGACTCTTCTTTTCTATTGTAATGCAAGTCTTGCCGCAAAGACGTTATTTCAACGTATTTAATATTTCTCTCAAAACGTCATAAATATGGAACTACACTCTGTGCTGTTAACAAGTTGCTTTTAGGACATAGTAATGCGGGCAGTTTCAAACATTACTTGTGTAGTATCTTGTATACTGTCATCTTTGATACCGTCACTTTTTGATGATGTCACCAAGGTGGTGGTTGTCCCTGCAGTGGTCCTGCCTTACCCCTGGCTTAATAATCCCCAATATGAGAATCATTTCTGTCATAGGAATTGAATGTACTGTTCATCTTTAAGTTGTTCATACTGTACACACCTACTTCTCTGATGTTTGCCCTCAGGTTTCTCTCAGTTGAAGGTTGTTGTTTTTTTTTACATTTGGGGGGTTTTGGATTAGGATGTTGCATGTTTACAGATTGTAAAGCTGAACAAAATTACATGATTTGAATTGAATAAACACGTTGACCCAAGGAATCTGCAACTGAGGGGTGCTCTGCGCATTCTGACTGAGGATGAGGGAGATGCAGCTGATTTCAGGTACACTCTCCCAATTCCAGTGGCTTGGAGACTGATCTTGTTACAGAATCTGAAAATGACCGTCCAATGATTCAGAAGAATGGGCTACAAACAAAAAATTCTAAACCACCTTGTCCATGTTGTTTCTGCACTTTTAATTACATAGTTTATTTCCCTGAAATACATTTCATTGTTCTATTGTTTTAAATTAGGAAAAGTGTTATATGTATAGTGTTGTGTTCAATTTATAATACATACAGAATAATAAATGAATGTGAATGTGTTCTTTTAGCCTCTATGATCACTGTTTCATAGATATTAAATGCTATGCTATGCTCCTCTTAAGGTATGTAGCCTCATTGCTCACTATTATGTACATGAAATACTATGAGGTTAATCACTATTAATAGAGAGACACAGAAGAGGTTCAGGGACATCTTCAATTTAATTCATAGTAATGTTTGTGCATTTAACCTGGACGAGGACCACCACACTGATTATCAGCCTCTTGATGTTTGAGAAACAGGTTTGTGTGTATTTGAAATGTGGTCCTATACAATAAAATCTTAACTTATTAAATATATTATATTGACATAACCTAAATATTAATTGTTACTGTATCCAACCTCTATTATGAAGAGGAAACCATTATAAAGCTAATGCAGTGTTATGTAACCACAGCCCTGAATTAAATGTTCACCTCAGAAACGTTTTATGTGTTTCTTCCATCCAATATGAATACAAATTAGATGTACACCTGTCAGTGTAATCCAGTAAAGTTTAGCAGCACAGCAAACTACAGCTGCTCCTCTTCATCTGCTTTAGAAAGATGTTTGACTGTAAAAGAACTCTGATCTGATCCATTGAGATTTTTTGCCTAGGTATTTGACTTCTGATATACAATTCTTTTATTTAAAATGAAAACGAAAAAAAAGCTTGATTGAAAAATACTTAACACTCAAGAAATGTATTAAAATACATTAGCATAAATATATATATATATATATATATATATATATATACACACATATTATATATATATATATATATATATACACATATATGAGTTATATGTAAGCAATATAATTTGTATTGAGAAACACAATTTTCTTTTTGTAGATACTATTTCCCCTGCCTTAGAAAAAACACGCTCACACGGCACGGATGACGCAGGGATGCTCAAAAGATTACGTGCTAATCCAAATAGATGTGGGTACACATGTTTGTGTTTGACCCAATATTTTAGCGGGTCTTCACTCCGAGGAATGTTTGATTCAGCCAAATATCGGGTGGTCTCCACAATAAAAATAAACATCCATAATTACACAATACAAATGACAGACTTTGCCTGCCTATTACAAACCCTGTTAGAGGAAATCAAATTGAAGTGCTCCCACATCTCGGAGCGACCTCTCTTTGCCACAGGTTCCATTGTAAATTTGCTCTTTGCTACTAATACTCGCAACAACACTGACTTTGATTGTATCAAACCGACAAGCCCGAACCCTGTTTCGAGCCCATTTGAATAAAATCGAAGCGGTCACGTGACTGTGCGCCGGACCGAAGCTTCGGACGTCACTAATCACGTGATCAGCAGCGAACGAACCGAGCACCGATACATTTGCTTCGCCTTGCACCGGTTCATATTTGGACACAGGCTTCGAAGCAGGAGGGTCGGAGGTAACGACACCACCCAGCGCTGCGTCTCCTACAATGTGAACCTTTCGGTCGGTGCGGCGTTCAAAACACACCTTCAGTTCTTCGGCCCTTTGTGTTTTGCCGCTGCAGGGGTAACCACACAAAACTATAAGAGGCATTACTGCTACCGAACAACGCAGCCTAAGGTTTGATGAAAAAGCATGTTGGCACTTTCAACCGGATCTGGTTTGTTATTAGTTTACCATTAACCGCCAACAGGAGGCGCCACTAAGCTAAAGGACGTAACGCTTGTCATTGAGGACGGGGGTAAATAAAACATAATTTATAAAACAATCGCGGTAAAATATTTTCGGTTAACAGAAAAACCTATTTTCATTCCAGTCGTTTCTTTTTTAAACGCAAGATACATTTTTGACATAAAGAAGATCATAGCTGATAGTCTTTCTATACCTTTTTATTGGTAATTATACATTGGGTTTAAATAACTGCACCCAAGAACAGAACATCAGCATTATATTAACCTATATGTTACATATCACATTGAAAACGTCACCATATTCATATATCATAGCTTTAAAAGATTTTTTTTTTTTAAACCCTTGTCTTCTTCAAGGGGTCTTCATATTGTTAGTGTTGGTTCTAATGTTCGTCAAGCAGGACGCCCTCCTCCTCTACATGTATGGAAAAGAATCAGCTGTGAAGTCAAGGATTGGCTATAATAATAATGATAGATTAACAGCATCATCATCTTACATGTTCAATGCATGTTTCTGTTGGGTTTGTTGGGCAGTTTTCCACATCTGGAAGAGCAGTGCTTGCAGGTCTTCCACTCGGTGCAGACTAACCGCCCTGCCGGTGGGGATCTTTACATCTTCAAAGGCAGACTTCATTAAGGGACTGTCCATAACACTTTTCTTGCCCATGAAATGCCCTTAAAACAAACACGTCAACATAAACTGTTTTTTAACAGTGTAAAAAAATCTGAATAAATGAGCCGGGATAGTTCTTTTTGTCTTACCTGTCGCCCAGAGATTCCCCCTTGGAGTCATCTTGATCTTTGAAACTTTATTTCTCAGTTCAGTTAAATCAGGAGTCATTGAAGATGTCATTGCAATGTAGTAGACAAGAATGAAAGAAGACAGGAATCCTGCTCTGCAGATCTTTGTCAAATTGCCTTTCATTCCTCAAACTTATTCGGTGTGCAGCCGGTTAACTAAGATCTCTTTGCTCCCGTTACTTTGTGGCCAGGCACTTATAGTGGGAGAGGATGGACTTTATATTCTAACGTGATGAGGTCATCGGTCGTTGGTTTCTTATTGGATCCGGGATGGATGACTGGTGTCAATCAGACTTGCTATGATGACGATAAATTAGATGACCTCAGTTCAAACGCACAAATGATCACGACCAAATACCATTTCAACACAAGACAAAAGAGCAGATAGATAATTAAATGCACCAATTTATTTGTAGGTACTTTGACGTAAACATCACAGCCAGGCACATGTGCCACTGCATGCTGAACAGACGTAATGGCTTAAGAAATGCTGAGAGTCGTGGGGTTCATTGGCTACTTATGTACACGTTACTTTCCTACTTGAGACTTTGCTTTACACAATATCAAAAGTACAAATACCTTTCAACAAGCATTAAAAAAGGAACAAATAGTGAGATTCTTTTCAGTTTCCGCAGTTCAACAGCTGCAGCTGGGCAAATGAAGGATGTAAGATTACAGAGGAACAAAGTGCTTACACAGCACTTAAATAGAAAAGTTCACTTGCCGGTTAAGTCAATATGACCATATAGCCTTGACGTCATTCCCAAAATAATTTATAAAATTCAATTATGTGGGATAGTACATTTCACAAACTATTTCTTCTTTACATTGCACTGAGGTTACCTGCAACTCCTCAACTCTTTTTTTTTTTAACAATCACTGCCATTAAACATGGAGGTAGGAACTGTCACGTATTCAAAACAAATCAGGGAGGTGCTGCTTTTACAAATCAGGACGTGCAAACCGAAGTACCCTCCGCTCGCTGCGTCATTCCAAAATCATTAGAGAATCAACAAAATCTACTGATCACGCTAGTAATGTTATCATCATTAGGTCAACAGGTCCCGATTTAAAAAAACACCATCTCCAATATGCCGCCAAACTTCACTTTCACAAACCTGCTCTGGATCCTCCAGAACAATGTACCCTGATTTGACATCAACGTTCACTTGCCTGAAAAATACAATTGTGGCAATTTGAGGTATTTCCAATACTGCTGCACCACACACACACACACACACACCACCTTAACACTCGTTCAAAAAATACACGTAAAAAAGCACAGATTTGGGACAACACATGCACCCATGACTCAAACACGTTCACCTAAAGACTCAAAAGCATTTGCCAGCAAAGCAAAATGCGTAAATACGGAAAAGAAAGTCTTGTTTTTGTGTGAAATAAAATAAGATGATTGTGTAGCCTAACTTCAGTAGGCTTTGCTTAGCAAGACAACTCATCTGTATTTAAATCAGGAGTGTTTTACAATAAACGGTTTACCAAGAATGCAGAGATTTGACTTTAAATGAACACCGAACTATAGCATGTTTTCTAATAAGTGGCAACTACAAATCTAGCTTTGTACTGCAAATCATTCGCAACAGTCATAACATAGAAACTGCAACCTGGATACCATTCAGGAAATAATGTGCGGTATTAAATACAAAAAAAGCCTTTCAAATAAAAGTTGATGACAAAAAGGCCAAAATCCACCTCTTCCCTTTGACATCGATCAATACTAAAACTAAACACTGACGACCTTGCGGTGTCTCGCGACAAGGTGGATGGAACATTCGGGGAAAGAACAAATAATATCTAGAAGAAAAGCTTCAGGTGTAATACGTCTGCGTGGCAAGATTAATACATTACCAACATGCAAAGTCAAGTAAAAGCCATCGAAAACTTAATTTTAATTTGTCCTCTCATTCATGAAAATAGTGCCCTTTATTAATCGTCAAGGATGTGCTTGAATATACTGCACAGCCTCTGAATAACTGAAATAAAATTGAATTGGCCGAACATGCAGAACATCAACCCCTCTTTACGTTCACATGAACACTGAAGATACTAAAGCAGAAGGAGTCTCCCTACGGGAGAGATGCCGCCTGTATCGGAGAGTGTGCGCCTTGTTTCACATTACCGTCCGGGGTCTCGTCACAGGGACCCGGACTCGCTCGCTCCGCTGCTCGCGGGGGCTCAGGTTCGTTCGGCCCCGGCAACAAGTCACCGACCTCGTCCGTGTCCGCTGATCTAACTGGCTCATCAACCTGCACCTTCTGCCTCGACCGGGCCTCCTCTCCTCTTTTCCCCGCCCCCTCTGTTTCTTTGACTTTGTGCACGATGAAAAGATGTCTGTTGAGGGACGACGGAGACGTGAAACACAGGCCGCAGTGACGGCACTGCGGGGTGCTTTCGTCCGTTTTATGCTGCGGTATGTGCCGCTGGAACTGTGCACCGTCATCTGTGACGAAGCCACATTTTGAACAGCGGAACTGAGTCTTGAGACGTTTCGCTGGAGGAGCGGCAAGACCGCGAGCGCCCTCCCGCACCTGTGCCTCCACCTGTGTGTCCACGGCGGGTCGCTCTGATAAGAGCCCCTGCAAAGCACAGAAGCCGCACACTTAAAACAATGGGGATTAGTGAGATTCCTAACATTTGATTTGTGCTTGCAGTCATTATTGGTCTTTCTGTTAAACAAATCAAATGGAAATAAATACCTTGCCAAAAGCCTTTTTTGAATCCTGGACGGTTGTTTTCGGCATTTGGCTAAGATCCGGATTTTTGATTCCGTGCATTAAACTGATGTGGTTCTTCAACATGACGCTGGTGGTGAATGTGGTCTTGGTGTCTGTGCAATACCTGAAGTGTACACAAGATGGATGCAAATTTCAATCATTTGATAAGCTGTGACAGCTGGGATTTTCAAAGATCAAACTCTTACCAGCAAGTGTAAATTTTCTTTTTTCCATCATGGTCACTGCGAATGTGTCTTCTCAGACTGGTTGTAGAGTTGAAAGACTGCTCGCAATGTCGACATGGATACTTCTTAACTGACTGTTGAATAAAAAGATAAAAGAAAAGGTGTGTTAAAATAAGCTTCAGAGATAGTAATGAAATGTTCCTTCCGTGGTAATTATTATCTTCTAATGAGTTCATAATCTACGGACAGATAAACATTAAGAGATTTTCTCTAACCGTAACTAATAAACTGTATTTGTCACATTAAAATGACATCCATCTCAAATGTGCCACGCTTCGCTAAGGAGGGTAGTTTGAAAAACTATTACCTGGCTGGCTGGCTGAAGTACAAATTAGAATCTCGACGACCAAATTCAAGCAGTTAATAAACATGGTGTCATGAAGATGAGAATTACCAACCGTCAAGAGTCAAGACAGCATGATGCTTCAATCCATTAAATCTACACACTGACCTCAGGAAACCAGACACACTGTCCCCAGAACATTACCTCATTTCTGAAAGGAGTATTTTGTAGAAAATTCTAATGAGATTCTTTATTAGTAATCAGTATGTGGATACAAAAGGAAAATAACAAAACTGTAATGCAAGCTTTAAAAAAAACAACAACACAGAAGACACCACTGGAGCCATATTGAAATATCTAGCATCCAATACGGTATCTAGTCTCATAATGAAAACTTAATACAGCTCATTTCTAAATGGTCAACCTTTGACCGTTTGACAAAACAGATAACTAACTAAATATTAATATATATATATATGTGCATTTTCAACATATAGCAGCATGTTGTGCATTTTTCATTTCTCATTGTATTTACTGTACTGCTGATATTGCACACACATTTCCCCACATATTTGCACACATATTTATTTATTTATCTATACATGTTACTACGGTGGTTGTGTTCTAAACTTTAAGCCCCGCTGAAAAAAAAGGTCACCTAGACTCAATACTGTAACTGAACGCGAGGTTATGCTGCACAGCCAGTGTTACTAGAAAGCCTCAAAGTAAAAAGCTAGGAGGTTGAAAAACGGCCGACGGTAATGTGTTGGGGCGTGTGACAGAAGTTCCTGTGTGCGTCCGCATGGGCCGATAAGCAGGTTAATAAAAACGTCTAACTGATGTAATCATCAAATATGGATAACCCCTCAAGCATGCTAAAGGAAAGGGTTATGACCAAAAGGGTCGTTTTTAGTAAGTCAAGCTGCAGCAGGGTAAGCCACACCTTTCACAACGCTGTGATACCTTATTACAAGGGGGCGCAGTAGCCGTTCACGTAATCGAGTCAGTCATGACCTCTCACCTTCTTGTGGTTGGTCTTCACGTGAGCAACATAAGAGTCCCGTTCAGGGAACCACTGGAGACATTCGCCACATGTCCAGCCGGTGGGCTTCCCACGAGGGCTTCTGTCCCGCTCAGCCTCTTTTCTGGGGGCCTCTGTGTGTTTAACCGGGCCCTGCGTCTTCTGTTGCTGAACAGAATTAGCATCCTGGTTGCAGTCGGGATTGTCCGTCTGTTCACTTGTCCGTTCCGTCTCTGCTGTCGTGTTTCCTACGTGAACTCCCTGCAGGAGAGGAAATACATGGAAACCCCCCCGACATGAAACAAAGTGATCACCTTTTGCACGGCTGCAATATACAATTCCATCACAATAACCATGGCCCAAGTATCCAGTTGTTAACTTTTTTCTCATTATGAAAGTGTGAAAATGTACTTAGCGGTTTATATTGTTAATTCTTAATTGTATATTTTCATCTTATTTTTCTTCTCTCATATTGCACCAAGCCAAATTCCTCCATGTGTAACATATGTGGCAATAAATGGCTTCGGATTCTGATTCTAAAAAAATGTAACCAAGTTCTTAAATAATTGCACGATGAAATCCAACCCACAAATGAATGCAAGATAAATCCACATTTCCCTTACGTGAGAAAAATGAAAGAAATAGCAAACCTTGAAGTGATGCATTAACAACTGCTTTTGTGGAAAGACCGAGTTGCATTCGGGACACTTGAATACACACGTAACACGCTTGCTGGCGTTTTGATGGAAATGCTGCAGCAACGACTGCTTTTTCTTGAAAACCGTCTCACATGAACACTTAAAGATTGTCCTGCAAAAGAAAAAGAAAGCAGCTCAAATTAACCATAAACATAAATGTGCGACCTTTAAGCGTCAGATCGTGCGGTGCGGACTCACAGCGGGGACACTTTGCTTCCGCTGTGTTTATTTTTTAAATGCACTTCGCAGCCGTCAGAGGTCTTGAAGGCAACCGGACAGAGGGAACACTTGTAAAAAACGTCACAGTGTTTCTCCTCGATGTGAGTCCTTTGTCCTTGAAGGGTTTTGAACACCATATCGCAGTGAAGACATCTGGATGAGGAGGAAACATAATAACACTTTTTGTAACACTCTACCAAACGCTTTGAAGGCCTTCTGTTTTTGTTTTTTTTCCCTGCTTGCTTACTTACTTGTACCAAGCTTTGCGAGCATAGTGCAGACAGTTTTCCCTGACATGTTTCTGTATGTCTGCAGAACGACTCTGGGCGCCACACTCGGGACAGCAGTAAGGGGACTTGTGTGCGTGGATGCGCTGGTGAGCCCTAAAGCTGCACTTGTTGGGCAATAACATCGAGCACACCTTGCACATCTGAGAAACGAGAGCAGGGTCAAAAAGGACTAACGCATAACATGGAAAATATAAACGCTGGTCACCAAAGCCTTTAAAAGGATAACTAGTGATTTTATATAATCTCCTTGCCGTCAACAAATCCCATTTAAATATATAAATACTACCATTTTCCAACATATGTCTTCAGTAGGAACACGGAGGTGAGCGACGCAGGCTTTCACCGGGGATTTGTTGACAGACACAAAAACATCCTTCAACAATTCAATAAAACATCCACTCACAAGTCCTTCCACTTCTTCTGCCGGCCTCTGGTAGTGGCACGCCAGTGCTTTGTGGTCAGGAAACTGCTTGCTACACTCCAGGCAACGGAGCCGGCGCCGCATGGCGCTGTCTGGATACAGGGGCAGGACAGGCTGACCTTTACGCGACGGCGAGTCGTGAGAGTCCACATTCACGGCACTCTGGGGCACAAACATCAGCTCCCCTGCGATGGGTTTCATTTGGAGCTGCGTGCACTGCATCACCACGCCGCTGTTCTTGTGCTCCCTCGCATGCGCCAGCAAGGCACACTTGTTGAAGAACACCATTGTCTTTCCACAGTGTGTGCATCCGACTTCAATGTGAACACTCCTCCTGCTGTAGTGATACGCGAGGCTACTCTCCAGCACGAAGGAGTCCCCGCACTCAAGGCAGCAGTACCCGCGCGCCGGTAGGTTGATGTTGCTGTCTGGCGGGGGGTTCAGGTCGGGCACGTACGTAGGCACGGCATTGGCACGGTTCAAGAGTCTGTTTAAGGTTACCGCCTCGGTGTTGGGAACGGACGCGCGAGCAGCACACGGGCCGGCCGATTTGAGTAGGTGCACGAGCGGGACGGTGCTGTCGGCCGCGGAGGTCGGCGCGCGTTGGCTTTGTGGATGAGGCGTGGATCGCGCCGCCGCGGAAGCAGCGACGCTGTGAGGGACCAGGTTCAGGCTAGCTAAGTGCATTGCTTTGGGAAGGAAACTGGTGGTACTTGTGTGGCCTCTTGTGGCCGAGCCTCTCTTTAGTTTCTGCCCCTGCTGTGCAGCAGAATGCTTCACCAGACCACCAGTCTTATGGAATAAAGTGGCACAATGTGTTGCGCCTGACCTCCGGGAGTTGACCCCTGATTGTTTGACTAAAGCTCTTGGTGAAGACGTACTTGCCGGCGTACGTTTGGTTTGCGCGCCAACAATCCTATCAACGGACGCATTTTGAGACTGACGAGGAGACACGTTGCAGGAAGAATCTTCACTAATCAGACTCTGCGAGGGAGAAGCTTCATACGCGGAGTAATTTTCATCGGTTTCCGAATCAGGCAGAACGCTGGTGACTGTACGCTTGATCTGCCCAGTTGTGGTTTTGATGGTTTTAATTCTTACCCTCGGTATGGCAGGGGGCGACCCAGTTGCCACCGCCGGGGATGCTTTGCCACTACTGTCACTGCATATGCTTACGGGACTGTCGGAGGGTTTCAGTAACCGTTTCACAGCTTCAAGTGGACTCTGCGGGGATATAGGCACGCTGGCGGTCGCTTTCGTAGAGTTATTCCGTACAGCGGAGGACTCGCTGGGAGTTTTCTGCTCGCTGGGATCTTCTCTAGCATTTAGAGCAACCAGAGCCTTAAGGCAAGAAGATAATTTAGATGTCTGAGATTTGACATGTGGATAAGTAGGGGCATCCAATGTGGTTTCCGAGTTGCCGTTGGGCTCATTACAGCTCCGGTTAATGCCTGGTGGGGGAAGTGCACTGTGTAATCCAAGTGTTTTATCTGTCACGCGGTTGTCAGAAGACTCTTCGCTTGTACTTCTTTGCTCTCTACTCCTCTCAGTGTTCATGGGAATATAGTCCTTTTGGCAGTCATCGAATACGCTGAAGTCCATTTTGGGGGGATTTTCCAGGATGGAAGAGTGTACAAATTCTGAAGCTTCAGGGAAACCGGGTCGGTCTTGTTTTGGATGCATTTCATTTCTACTGCACAGAGTGTCTTCAGACTCAGGGCTGGAGATGGGACTAAAATCAGAAAGTGTCTGGGAAAATATTGCTGTTCCATCAGGTTTGGGATGAATAGACGCCTTTCCAAAAAGCTCTCTTGAATGATCCCCATTCAAACCAGAGACAAACGATTTAGAAAAGCAAGTGTTGGTTGCCTCAACAGAGCATGTGGAGGTCTCTTGTCCACTGAATCCATTTTGCGAAGCCGGTTCGAAATCTTCCAACGACTCCTGGCGACTTGTGTTTTTCACGATTACACTTACAGCAGGAATATCTGCTGCTGTGACAGCTTGGTTACTCAGTAAGCTTTCGTCGAGACACATCCCCGTGTGTTTCAGCGGACTGTCCGTCTCTTCGTGGCTTCCCTGGATGGGCTCCTTGGCATCCAACCCAGTGGCATCTGGGATGTCAAATGCTGCCAGCAGATCATCGAAGTCGGGGGTTTTCATGTCACCCATGGCTGCACGGTCGCATTAACCTACGGAGAACATACAGAGTTAGTTAAATGCCTTGTCTTTCAGTTTACACAGTAAGCATTACAGGCAAGGTGTGAGTAAATGTTGTGTGTGCTAACGTTAGCTTTAGCTGCCAAGTCAAACGTTACCAGCTTCGCGGCTAACGATAGCGTATCAAATAGATCATGCATTAACACATTAACACAAACATATAACGTTACATATGAACACATATGCACTTAATGCAAGTAACACAGCTTTACCAAGTATTCACGTTAAGTATTTAATAGGCCGAACTAGCTACATTCATGTTGTTTAGTTGTTGACGTAACGCTAGCTAGCAAGATAGTCAGCTAGCCCAGAACCTTCATCACGGAGCCAAGACAGCAAGTTAGCAATCTAGCAAAGCAACACGCTATTGCGTAAATAATTTTTGCCAAACTAGCAAACTCGCCACTGAGTGAAACACGCGTGGGCTTACCATTTGATCCGGTTGTGTTTACCAGCTCTAGTTAATCAGCTGTAAGGCTAGTAAACTGTAGACGCTTAGTGTTGGCTAGCTAGGTTTGTCGCTAGCAGGGTTTCATAGCTAGGCTACGAGCTAATAGCTACTAGCGTTAACTTCGTTTTCCTGTTCCGTTAGTTAGGTGACTCAAGCCCTCAGCGATGTCTTACAGACGGGAGGCGGCTCCATAACCGCCTGGTGACTTCCCAGGCCTGGAGCACGCATTAGTGTTAACATATTAAGGCCTCTGGTAAAATGTATTATGGACCCCCTAACTAATCCATACGGGGCAACGTGAGCTTCCCTGGTGAAGTCCAAATAAATAAAATGGGGAACATTGCACTGTGTGTTCTGCTTAGCTACAGCCATTACACTCAAATTCATGATAAATGATTGAGTTCACCAGCAAAACATGACTCCTTTGTTTGGCTCCCCATTCTTCAATCCGTTTTGACTGGTTGCTTCAATGGCGTTTTGTTGCTGTATCATCCAGACATAAATAGAATAAAGCATGCATCGATACCAATATTGGTTGTTCTTTGCAGCCTGCTGTGCTGTACACCTCATGGTGGTGTAATAGAGAAAGATGGTTTTATTGTTTTACTGTTTAATGGTAATAATCAACACCAAGGATTTCCTGGCAAGCTGCATGAATACTGATTTGAACTGCTAATTAGACCCATCAGTGTTCATTCATTTGAATACATCACTACTCATACTGTGATCTGGAATTATATTAAACATGAACCTGTCAGTTTCCCTGTGTTATTTTCTTCTTTCTTTAAGTATTTACCATTTATGAGCTACTGTCACTTGACATTTTTTAGTGTAATTTACCAGTTTAATTTGGGAAGGAGGCACATGTTTTCAGTTTTAGGCTAGCAGGATCTATGACTTGAGAATACGCTGCTTCATACCGGAGCGAAAGCCTCTCGAGAAGGAGTTTGTTGTGGATATCCTGTAAGACAAGGGTGAGGGTAACTTGTAGTAACACTGGTGTACGTCATGCTCTTTCTTCCCGCTAATCAGCCTTTGCCGTGGTGACACATATCCCTGCACTTTTGTATCAGATTCCTTGTATGTCTGACATATTATGGCAATACATTTTTCCCGATTCCTGATTCCTGAGAACACTAAATGTTGCGACATACACCCAGTTTAATTTGGATTAAATCGTTTCCAGAACGGATCGTTCCCTTTACGCAGAGCACATTCCTTTTCAGGACGTCCCAACTGGACCCCACAGTGGACCCGCCCCCTCCTCCTCCCCATGCAAACCCCATGGAGCATCTGTAAGACACATTATCAACAAATTGACGTTTTTTGGCCCGTTGAGATTTCATCCACTTTTTAGCCGGTTGAAAAGACGTTTGAGGTCTTAGAGGTTGAGACCTCGTTTCAACCCAATTTCCATCCCATTTCAACCTTGAAATGACGTCTAGTGCTCACTGGGATGAACAAACGGCGTTTTATGAACAATCAGAGATTTGGCGTGTGTGATGAAATTACATTTGAACAGCAGTGACCAGAACAAATAGCTGCCTTTATATCCAATAATTATTCATCACCCTGAAAGTAATATGCAAATTGAACAATATATCTAATGGTCCAGAAAACTAACTGATTCTGCAGCAAGAACTGGCAGTTAATCTAAATGACATCCTGTCCTGGAAATTAATGTAACATTGCATGGAAGTACTTTGTGTGTATCACAACTATTAACATACTAGATCCAAAGTTCACATGCTTATCATTGGGCTGCTATTATAACCTGTGCCCTCTGATGTCACAGTTTTTCCTTTTCTAATGTTATAACATATGTTATTCACAGTAGGCTATTTGATAATGCATAGGGCCACCTGCATTTATTTGCAAAAACAATTGGTGTATTATACTTCTATTTCTGTGTATATGTACAAGGTCAACCTAAATTGTGATTGAAGCTTTCCTAGAAAAAAAAATACTGAAGATATTTAAAGTTGTTTTTGTGCCGATTAAATACACACAGTAGATCTACGTAATAAGAAACATGTTGTATTCCTAAAAATCCTAATTCATAATACAACTTCACTGAATCACTGCTGTTTTATTTGGGAGCAATATATTCTTTATAAACAGAACCTGGGTTTGGATTGGATCGTTTCCTCCCACACATAATGTCATTCATGATTAATCCGCTCCTGTACTTATTACATGCCAGCTTTTAAAAAAATCTGATCCAATGGATTCATACCTGTACACAATGTTTCCTATTTATGAGCCTGTGACTTCTCAAAACGTGCTCAAAACACTCCTTATCAAAAGGTTGCTTCATACGACCCATTAAATCATTTATCGCATTGGCTGTGTCCTGTACTCCCATGAGGGAGATTGAAAGTTCACGCAACCCTGTCTGTTAATAAGTGATAAATGTGTGAACAGGCTCTTTTTCCGCAGTGTGGTTTTCAGCACAGCGTCTGCGGGCTGGGTTGGAAGGACGCACAATGAGTAAGCCGTTTCCTCTGCTCTTCCTTTAATACAGCGGGTTGTTTTGCAGTTGTAGACGGGATTTAGCTCACGCCGTACACACAAACACCGCTCAGGTTTTGTTTGGCGTTCCTGCTCGTTAAACTGCCGCGCAGAAGTAAACCATGGTTGTGTTTTTCAGCGGAAACCGACGGAGTCTCGCTCAACAACGTAACCCACGTGCGTGGAAATGGATCGGACAACACGGCTTTTGAACTAGGGGTGTGTATCACATATCTGTTTTTATTTTTATTTATTTGATCTTTTTTTGAGATAAAGACACATCATGTTTGGTGATTAATGCGTTTGTCAAATAATTAACCTTCGTTTTTCTAGGATGACTTCATTTCCGTTTCTGGCAATAACAAAAGGCAGGCTGAAAACGCTCGAAAGGGACTGAGCTCATACCTAAGGTGTGTTAGGTCAAGTGCTTTTGGTAAAGTAATACTCGTTTGATTTGTAGTCCAATTCTTACAGCAGGTGCACAGCAATAAGTCTCTGGAATGTTGATCGTGTTTGTACTGTATGAATCTATAGTCCTTAATGTACCTCCAACATAAAACCCGTTCAGCTGTTCTGTGTTAAACTTTGTTCAGATGTGATGGAGTACAATAACAATTTGAAATTGAATAGTTATGTGAAAGGCATTTTTTAATGGAATGTTTTGCCCTGTAATTCAGCCTTGTTTCCAAGCCGATTACTGCCGCAGAGGATTACATCAAGGGTCACTCACAAGCTTTCAAACTATTTGTGCTGGGCCTACTTGGAGCAGGTAATATGAATATTCTATAGCATCTGGAGAGACAGCGAGATCCTCCTTGTGGCACTGGCACGCAGTGGCACACAGTCGCACCGCGGAACACTGCCCGAATATAGGCAGTTTTTTAGTCCTAACACCCTTTTCTGTCCTGCAGGTTATGTGGGCTACTTTATTGCAGCCTGTGTTTTGGATTTCCAGAGGGCCATCGCTCTCGTGGTCCTAACCAGTTTGGCCATTGCTGCTAAATCGTATGAACTCCTGAAGGAGCACAGAGGAGAGAGCATCAGTCAGTGTTTCAGACCCGCAGTTACATTTTTAAAATCTAACTTCAAATGGTTCAAATGGTGAGTGAATGCCTTTTCTTTTTCAGTTAATGGTAACGAGCTGCACGTTTTGCGATCGGTCAATGAGGTGGCGGTGTGTTTTATCGTCCTTTCAGGGTTTTCATTTTAGCAGCTGTGGGCCTGCTTGTTCTTTGGCTCGTCTTAGACACGAGCCGGCGTCCTGAGCAGCTGATCTCGTTCGGAGGGGTGTGCATGTTTGTCGTGCTTGTGTTCCTCCTGTCAGCACACAGGACAGCGGTGAGTTCTGGAGAAGGTCACCGACTCCACTACAGGATGTACGACCGCTGCAGTGACAACGGTTGTTGAAACATGCTTGGTCATTATCACTCGTGTTATCTCCGTTTCTTTTTGCTGATTTATGATTTTGTTTGGCCTTGTGGCTGTATCACCTTCTGTAGAAGTGCTTCCTTGTGATAACGTAAGGGGTTGTGGAGACTCCCTGATACGTTCATAACCTCTTCTTTTTATAAACCTATGGTAATAGTCTCTGTGACGCTCATTTCTATAATGTGTGACAACATGCATACAGCACATTCAGATATACATATAATCAGAACAAATTAAGAAACACTTTGTAATGATCAGTGGTTATTGTTTGCTTGACGTAAAGCGTCATCATACATTTTTTGTTAATGAGTTCTGAGTTTTGTTACAAACTATTATGAATACTGCTATAAACAGATCATAACGTGTTATGGTGCGTTATAGATATTGGCGTCATAAAAAATAATTACTCAATCTTTTATAGGTGACATGGAGGCCTGTGTTTTGGGGCCTCGGAATGCAGTTCTGTATCGGCCTTTTCATTATTCGCACACAGCCTGGACTCATTGCATTCGAATGGCTTGGAAAACAAGTACAGGTATTGGATTAAAAAAAAAATCTAGGTGCATTTCAAAAACTGTTTAAGAATGTTCTTTAAAATTAAAATAATATGCGGTCTAGCGTTTGTCATCTTACATTTTGTATTGTATTTAATAGGCCTATTGACCTATGAAAGATCTATTCATAGTTATGAATGTTGCTGTAATATGTGCTTGACACAGGCCAACAGGAAGTAAACATGGCCCCATGCCGTTGACTAACTTAACCAATGTGTTGTTGAGTAATCGGCTACATGATAATGATTAAGCTTCACAATGATGAGTTAGATTATTATGAGTGTCGATTACAAAACCACCCATTTTATGTTCAAAATAATCCAGAATTCACTTTTACACGTAAACTATCAAGGAAAAGTATTAGTATCAAATTTCTAAACAGTCACTATGCTCTTGGTTTGCTTAATATTCTTGGCTTGCATAGCACACTATATTTCTTATATACAAGCGCGCAATATATTTTAACTACATGCCTGTCTGTCTACAGTCTGCTAATGTGTTTTTATTGTACGGTACAGACTTTCACTCCATATAGTATGAACGAGTATTGCATCTCAAATGTCCATGAATTGAGGAAAGAAAAAAATGTCTCCCCTCATCTTATGATTTCAGACATTCCTCGAGTACACCCAGGCGGGGTCAGGTTTTGTTTTTGGGAACCTGATCAACGACATATTTGCCTTTCAAGTAAGTGGTTGACATTTTAGTGAATATTGAACTTGTTAAACTTGAGCTTGATGATTTCTTTTCTCCTTCAGGCGTTGCCCATTGTTGTGTTCTTCAGCAGCGTGATGTCAATCCTTTACTATCTGGGCATAATGCAGTGGCTCATTCTGAAGGTGAGGAAAGTTTAAGCTTCCCCTCACAGCCTCGTAGGTCCCTGTGGACCTGGGGGGGCGTACTGCTTACGTCTGCAGGGTCGCACTGTGACAAAGATCCATGTGTTTTTGTCCGCGCAGATCTCATGGTGCATGCAGATAACGATGGGAACCTCTCCCACAGAGACCTTGAGTGTGGCAGGCAATATATTTGTTGGGCAGGTACTCTGAGCAAGACTCGATGCAACACTATCTTTGATACTTATCTCACTCTGAGATCATTCTCCTTTAACATTTTATGGGCCATAGGTCTTCTTTACACTTTACATTCATAGTTATAATGCAGTAAAATATCCTACAGTTAATCTGCTTTTTCTTTTCTCCTGCTCGTTTGTGCATCAGACCGAAGCGCCGCTGCTGATCCGCCCGTATTTAAAAAACATGACCAAATCTGAGATCCATGCTGTCATGACTGGTGGATTTGCCACAATTGCAGGCAGTGTCATGGGAGCATTCATCTCATTTGGGGTGAGATACAACATTTACAGGCATGAAAAAAGATTACTAAAATGAAAAATAAATGTATGACAAGGAAGCAGGTTTTCTTTTTAAATTAAAATCTAGAGACAGAATCTCTAGATATCTCAATTTTGTCCTATATTAACTGAAAATCATTTTAAGCCATACATTTTCTGAATTAAAACAACAACAATTTACAAGGCTCTAGTCAAGGTCAGAAAAGAATAGGCCCAGAATAGAACATTGGGCAACACTCTGGCAAATATTAATTTTGTTTGACATTTTGCCACCCAAAGTGCTTTTCTTCTTAAAGAGATGCTTGCCAAACACTTAAAAGGAGTGTTTAATAATGACATGCAGTCAAATGAACCCTTCGGGAGGTTGATGAAAAATAAAATTCTACCTATTAAATTAAAACAGTAAAGGATATATGGGTGGAGAGAAGCATTCTTCTTTAATGTGAACACATCCACTGATCAATAATAATAATTGATTGATAATATACATATATATATATACAGTATATATATATATTCATATATTGTATTAGATAATTATAATAATATATAATTAATGTATATTTACATATTTGTGTAATATTTTCTACTGTATCTTGGTATTTGTATTTTATTTTCCTTAAAGTCAGAATTTGTATATTATGATTATTATCACAAAGGAAAATTCTTTGCATTTGAATTCACAATAAACCATTCATATTCAGATTTGATAAGTGATTTTTATCTAATGTTATTGTACTTCCTTACAAAGCTCCACATGTTTTGTATTTAGATAGGGAGGACGAATACCAATACTAACACCAAGCACCACAAAACCTTTTGTATAGTTTGACCTTTTCTGCAACAATCATGCAGACCATCGATTCATGTGTGTGTTGATTGTTGCTGTGCTACAGGGGCCTGCATCAAATGACATTTCTTTGTATTTTGCAGATTGATGCATCGTCCTTGATATCAGCTTCTGTAATGGCTGCTCCTTGTGCTTTGGCCATCTCCAAACTTTCTTACCCAGAGACAGAGGAGAGTCCTTTCAAGGATGAAAAGAATATCAAAGTGGCGGCTGGGTGTGTATTTCCATCAGTTAATCTCTTGTCCTTTTGCAATTTCTGTGTGAATTCATTTTTTTTGTCAACTCCTTAGAGATGAACAGAACATCCTGGAGGCTGCTAGCAGTGGAGCCTCTGCTTCCATAGGTCTTGTTGCTAACATTGCAGCAAATTTGATCGCCTTTCTTGCCATTCTGGAGTTCATAAATGCCTCTTTCAGTTGGTTTGGCGGTATGGTGGGCTATCCTTCAATTACATTTCAGGTATATCTTAAAACAAAGTGGGTTATCTGAAACAGAATATATATATTTATATAAATATGAAGATAAATATTGAAATTAAAAGTAAGTCTAACAATAACTAAATATCCTTATGCTCCTAGATGATTTGCTCTTATGTATTCATGCCCGTGGCCTTTATGATGGGAATACCCTATGGGGAGAGTTTCACAGTGGCTGAACTAATCGGCACAAAGCTCTTCCTTAATGAATTTGTGGCTTATCAAAAACTATCCGGACTGAAGGTCAACAGAGTCAATGGTCTTGATGAAATTTTCGAAGGGAAAAGACAATGGATATCTGTGAGTAAACATTCTTAATTGTAGTGAATGTGGCGATGATACAGGTCTAAATTTATGTGCGGAAGAAATAACGTGGAGCGATTTTATGCAACGCAATAATGTTTTTTCTTTTCTTTTTTCAGGTCAGGTCAGAAATAATCACCACTTATGCTCTTTGTGGGTTTGCCAACTTGAGCTCGCTGGGTATCATGATTGGAGGCTTGTGTGAGTATTGCGTCATTCCATCGTTGTGTTTTTGTCCTGCCACAGGCTCCTCTCTTAGTAACGACTTCTCTTTTCTCAAAGCCTCTATATGCCCATCCAGAAGAGGCGATATCTCGTCGATGGTGTTGAGAGCTATGATCACTGCCACTTGTGTTTCTCTCATCAACGCTTGCATTGCAGGTGAGAACTTTTTCTTAGTTTTTTTAACAGCCGTGTTGTGATGTAACTGAGTAGTTTTTTTTCACTTGATTTGTTAGGGATCCTCTACGTTCCTCTTACTGACTGTGTGGAGCTGTTCAAGACATCTGTGGCTTTCAATGCCACAGATGAAAATATTGGGACTTGCTGTAAAGACCTCTTTCAAAAGTAAGCATGCACATTTTATAGTGGCGGAATTTAAATGTCACAGTGACACACATTTTTAATACATCTGCACTCAGGTAGGTTGAGTATATCCCTGAGACTATTTGGACTCACATCAAATATATATATACTTTTTTGCAGCACTGTAAACAATGGGACCGTCTACTTCGAAGGGCCTTGGAGCGCGGTAGCAAACGCCACTTTGTATTTCTCTAAATGTTGTCAATGCTGTGGTCTTTCTGATGTTGCGGTTTGTAATGAGTGATTTTCCATATTTTTATATTTTTTTGTAACAGTTGATGTAAAAATGTAAAGCCTATATGCATATCTTTTAAAGATAAGCGTACCTTCCATTTAATATATTGTACATTCATTCAATATTGGATTTAATTTAAAGCCATGGATTAAAAGGAAACCCCTTCAGAAATATAGATATCAATCAGTTTGATGAAGTCATACAAAAAATTAAAAACCTGAAATGAAAATGTGATATATGGTTGGACACAAATGTTTTACATATTTATTAAAAAAAAGAAATTGCTTATGTGATGTGACAGCACAAAGACTGAAGACACATTTATTTCTTTCTCTTAATCGCTCATTCATTTACTTACTTATAATGAGAGTAGGCATGTTATTGTTAAGAGTTTAATGCTGAACCCCGACTGCACATTTCTTTGCATCCGCCATGCGGAAATATTATCGGTACCAATTAAAAACACAGACACAACAGAGACAAAGTACTTAAAAATTACTCAAAAGTGCACACTAAATCGTTGACCTAAAAATAGTGCTGTGGTTCCACAGCATGAACTTAATTTGCTGCGTAAAGAAATGCTGCATATGCATTTCTAATGCAAGCCAAGCACGACGTCTCTCATAAATTAACTTATGTTAATGAATGATGTCCTCCTCTAAAGCTGTACATCACAGATGAACGAGCAGCATTTAATATGGAACTCCCTCTGTGTTTGTGGGTTTATTCTCCAAAACTATTTAAATCCAACAAAGAAAATGTCCAACCCTTCATTATAAGAAAGTGGCCTTTTCAGTAAGGAGGATTTTGATACAGCTGATAAGCTTTTGAGTAAAGTTAAAACCAAAGCTTTTGTCGGATGTCTTGTTACTATGATTCTAATGACAACGGAGAAATTCACAGTAATTCTTTCTGATAAGTCAGGCCAACAACAAGAGGAACACTAAATCATTACGAGCAGTGAAATCCTCTTTCTACCTCATTTCAAGGACCTCAACAGTTTCTGCAGGCTTGGGTTTAGCGCCTGATTTAGTGTCCTCTGTCTCCGCAATTTTTCTAGTCACCTTTGGGCTTGGATTAGCCTTTCTAGACACCTGAGGGCTGTTTCCTTTTCGCTGCAGCTGGGGGCTGTGGGAGCCCAACTTGCGGTTGAGGAGGGGGCTTCTGGAGCCCTTCATCTTGGTGGGTTGCTGCAGATTATCCATAGGTTTAAGTGAGCGCAGGCCTAGAAGGCCACAGTAGTAGTTGCACTGATGGTGTGTCTGGAACTGTTCGAACGCTTCAGGAGACCCCTGCTCCGTTAGTCCTTGGTATCTGAAATGCAAGGGGTCAACTTTTTATTTTGGCTATAGAAAACTAAGACTAACATTTTCATTTCCTGGTTGTGATACAAACCCTTTGGACTTGGTCACAACTCTGACATTTGTAATCTTAGTTTCAACTCCTGAAAAACAACAAATCACAGAGGGTTACTGATATTATCCCTCTCAGAAATAGATAAAGAAATGAGCTGACTAGGACCTTGTTTGAGGGTCTTACCCTCCAGCCGAGTGACCAGCAAATTGCCATGCGTCCACTGATGGATCCAGTGCTGGAAGGTGCAGCATTTCTGCTCCACCTCAGAAACGTTTCGTGTAACCAGCATGCCGTTAGGATCCATCGTGCAGTAGGTGAGGAAGACGCCCTCGGAATAAGCCTCTACCGTAGCGTATGGCACAGAGTTTGCAGGCCGGTACATCAGATATTGAGCAATTACTCTGTGGACAACAAAAAACAAATTGGGCTTGATGTTGATGACAGAAGTGGCGCATTTTATAAAGGAATCGGAGCCACTGTATATAAGCATGGTACTTACTCTAGAGAAAACCCAAAGTTCTCAATGACCCTTGCTTCTGCAGCAAAGATTTTACAGTACTCTCGTATCATGTTTTGGACTTTGCATTCCTGCCAACACAAACAATTTAATAAGGCAAATCACTGCACTGCAATCGTGATCACTAGGAAATGAGTGGCAGCAAAAATGATTGGATACCAGATCCACCACTCACTTGCTTAGTTATCTGTAGATTTCTCTCCGCGAGGTTGCTCTCCTGTGTGGTCCCGTAGGCGATGGGGCTTTTAACTTTGATGATGCAGGCGCTTCCAGACTCAAAAATGGGATCCAGGCCGTAAATGACCTTCACTCTGCTGGCTTTGTGGGCGAAACCCTCTCCGATGTGCACCGTCTCGGTCATGATGCGGCCAAAGTACTTTGCAGCCCAACTGCCGCAGTCGGCGAGACCTCTGTTGAACAGCAGCGGGGTCATCTCAATCTCTTCTCCCACTGAGGGAAAAAACAATACACATATTCACATGGAAATTGTAATTTCAGAGAAAATGCAGAAGAAAAAGAACTGGGAGATAAAAGCTACCATAACCTTCCAAATCGTCTTTTAGTAGTATTCCAGACAGAACTGTGAATAAGAAAACAGAAAGAGTCATCAGATATAATTTAAAGATACGGTGGGTTTCACACTTGGATTTCCCTGGTCATACTTACTGTCTGTGCTGAGCAGGAAGTCAGTGGTGTCAGTCCCGTATTCATTAATGATGGAACAGCCATACACTCCACAGTCGTTGCTGGATGCCAGAACAACAACCAGTGCGACTTGGCTTTCATCTCCTCCACTTGAGGACCAAAAAGAGCAAGACGTAGTCATAAAACTCGCCGTGTTAAGTTGTCCAGAAAGCCAAAGGTTTAACATTCATCCACAAGGTGTCACTGTGAGACAGAAGGTCACGAGATGCAGCATTCTGCTGACACAGCAGCCAATTGCTCAAATATAGACTTTTAATGCCCCCTGGAGACGGGTAGGAGATATTATATCAGGTTACAGCTTCTGTGTCTAGCCAGAGATTCACCTCTCTGTGTCATAGCTGTGGTGCTCACAGTCACATGAGCTGGACGTCGCCGCAGTGAGAATATGAGAATGACAGATGGCCACGGGTTGCACGCTGAGGCCCAAATAAATCCCATATATTGTGTTATAATATATATTATCACAACAGAGCAGTACAACAAATTGAACACCACACGACATCACTGTTTTATGTCAGAGGGGGTTAGTGTGGGCTTGACACTGTGGGACGAGAAGGCGGCTTTACCTTCTCTTCACCTCTAGTATTTCCTTCTCATCTCGGTACCACTTAATGGTGGAGTCACTGAGCACGTTGAAGAACTGGCACCACAGCTTAAGGTGTCCGGAGGCATCTGGGAACGGCTCCCCCCTGATCTTACGGAGGACCTGTGGAGCTGGTGGTGCATGAGAGAGGGGTGCCAGGGTAAATATACAGTATACTGTCCTGGAGAGTGGGGAGGTTCGAATGTTTGCCCTGCGTCACAAACAGCTGTGCAAGGAAACCAAACGTATCGACAAACTCAACTGTTTCTATGGTGATAGATATGGGAAAAGATATCGGTGAAGAGTTAGATACATCCCGCTGTAGACTGCTGCCTAAAAAATAATATACTTTATTGTGCCAATGAGAGGACATGCACAACCTTTTCATTTTTTTTTTCTTCAAATGCTCTACCTTTCAAAGGATTTGGTTTCTTTTCAGTTGGTTTCTCATCTTGTTTGGTGCTGACAGGCTCTGCTGCGGGAGTCTGCTCCACGACCCTCGGCACCTCCAAGGTGACCTTTCTGCGGTTCAGCAGAGGAGAGCGCCTCTCCATCGGTGGGGTATTTTGTCCCGAGGGAGCTTGCAGCAATGCTGCTCGGCGAGCCTGGCTGGGCGACATGTAGGGGTTCTCCTTCCTGACTTGCGTTTCCAGCGCGCCGACCACCGCTCCCTCTCCGTCTTCCTTAGTCTTGAGGATGAAGATTTTTCGACGAGCTCCTGAGGCCAGCTCTTCGGGCGTAGCCGAGCGTATGAGCGACAGACTGTCCCTGCGCTTCAGGCGAGGACTGCTCTCACAGGAGAGGGAGGATGTCGGCGTTGAGCCTCCACTCAGATCGTCCTCGGCTTTGTCAGTCTGCCGGTCACCCGCAGCAATGCCTTCTGTGTCTGCGGCAGTTTTAGACATAAATTTACGGAGACTGGCCGGACTCAGAGATGGATGTGCCGGAGGTTTAGAGCAGAGTCTCTCAACAGATGATCTGTTTCTCTGAAGGTCCTCGGCAGACACAGAATTCTCTTTTTTGGCCTCTTTAAGGTGGTTTGTCGTCAAAATGTCAGCGGCAATGTTATCTTCTATTGATCTACTGAATGGTGGCACTTTGTCACCAACTTTTGGATTGGGAGTTTCACATAGTACAGACGGGGTGTTTCCTGCTATACCTTTTTCTGTTTTTCTTTCTAGATCATGGTTTCCACTTTGAGGTTTTTCAGGCACAGATGTATTATAAGTGTCCACATTGGGCTTGGTTCCCCTTTGCGTGGCAGCCGAAGCTTCTGTTTCCATCCACTCACTTTGTGTGTTTCCAGAATCACTTTCATAACAAGTGACAGAGATTGGCGGCACCACAAAGAAAGGCACTGATGGCGTTTCTAAAGGCAGCTGTGTGTCTGAAACGTGGGTATTTACCTTCAAATCCTCCTCCTGGTTACCAGTGCACGAAACATTTATAACAGGAATTGGTGCACAGTCCATCTGAGGGAGCTGTTCACTACTTATCAAACGCGGCTGCTCTCGCTCAGACCTTTTTGTCGCGTCATCCAATTGCACAACTTCCTTGACATTCTCTCCAAGAGAGAGGCTGATGTCATTCGGCAGACTTTTCTGCGTGGGCAGCGAGCTGGTAGAATCGACGACACTGTAGCCTTGGATTGTCAGTGTCGACACACTATTGGCATCATGTTTTTCTAAATGGGCGGGCTCTGATTCTTGCTTGTTTGATCCCAAGATAGTCAGTGGCAGCGTGCACTCTTTTAGCTCCGACTCCATTATTTCGATTTTGGGAATTATAAATTGCTCATTTTGTTTATCAGCTGCCACAGGTGGTTTAATATCTGGGTTGTCATCAATAGTAGATGTTTGGATTTGTGGGATTTTTGCTGATGGCTGACCCTGCTGTCTCTCACTGCTCTGTTCATGCGCAACCTTATTGTAATCCTCCAAAACATACACGTCACCCTTCTGGTTTTGAGTTACCGAGAGGCTCTTTGATTCATCCAACTGCTCATCTTTCACTTGATTTTTCTCTTGCTGCTCCACTTCGAGCTCTAAACTCTGATTTCTTTCTCCTGCGCTCTGAGCTTCTAAAATGACTTGCTCTTGGGGTTTAAGATCATTACCAGAGTTTACTTCCACATCTAAAGCAGAAATCAACACATCTTTTAGTTCGCTTTCCTCTTCACAGCTTTGAAAACCGGTGTTTGAACTCTGCATTGCGTTGACATTGCGGACTTCGGTGCTTTGCTCTCCTAACGAGAACGCGCATCCTTGCAGCATTTTTAGGTCACTCTTCTCTGAACTTTCAGTGGTCGGAAATCTTACATTCATTTCCTGAATAAGTGAAGAACATTCGGCCCGTTCTTTTGATTCATCTCTCTCTACGTTGTGTGCTGCTACAGCAGGCGTCAACAAAAGAATGTGACCTGTGGTGTTAGATTTGCACGGCTCTATTCTCTTTTCCAGTGAACATGTGGTTACTTCAGTAATCTGAGATGTCTGCGTGACCGAATTCCTTTTCTCTTCCGCACATAGCTCATTATTGGAGCTGACCTCCCCCGTGTCAGGTTCACCTTCTTTGCCCGTCTTATCAACGCTCATCTTTTCTTCTTGCGAAGTTTCATTGGGTGCCTCTCCCAGGTTGAGGCTGCTTGACCAAGAGATAAGATTGTTAGAGCAAGTCCAGCTTTTTTCCAAACCATTGAGGGTGGGTGTGAAGGAGTATTTCTCTTTGTAGGAGTCCTGCGTCTGTGGAGGAACAGGCATTTCTTCCATGGGTGAAGACTTATCTCTTACATCTTCTTGATTAGACGGTGGGGAAACTACCAGGCAATCTGGCGCTTGCTGGTGTACAGGAACCTCTTTGATAACAGATTCTTTGACCTCAGCCTGATAAAAAAGGAAATATATATATATTTTAGTACCACAGTGTATCAGTGTTTCTTTTTCACAAAGAAACACATGAAACACACACCTTGGTTTTACCTCTCAGGCATGCAAAAATGTTGAGGAGTCATTTGAACGGTCTGATGTCTGTCATTGACCACACAATACTATTACTACTATACTATTATTACTATACTAAAAAACAGTCTCGTGTCATTTATTTTTGATTTTTTCAAAAAGTTCTGCAGTGACCTTGGACTCCATGAGACGTTTAGCCTGACACATATTTTGCTACCATCAACGGAAACATGAAAAGGGACAGAACCTTCCATTGATTCATTGCGTGTGTGAATGTGTCACATTCCCAAACAGTGAGGAAGGAATCTAAGGTGAGGCTATGAAAACAGTTCAATCAACGATTGGTGGATGTTAAACAATGAAAAGTATGATGCGGAACAACTACATTAACTGAAGATATATTCATGACTTGTTAGCTTATTTCCAAAACTTGATTTAAAATGACTTGTGTGCTCTGGCGCTTGTGCTGAGACACAGACTGCGGAACTCCGACACGCTTCACGCAGATGTGGTGTTTGCTCAAAGATGAATCACAACATGTCTGATGTTATCAACAAGCTGTTGATGAAACAAAACTGAACAAACATGACATTAATAAGTGTTATATTTGAGTGTGCATTGCGCCGAAGGAAATATCCACAGGTAAGGGTGGAGGGAAATGAAGTCACATGCCACCTCGTGATAATACTGAGAAAAAAAGAAGTTGCCGCTTTCGATGGAAGGGAACTGGTGTCACATTCTGAAAGGAAGCCGCTGGCGGCGCTACGTTTATGGTGTAAATAGTTGTCCTACACATGTGACAAAACGTTCAGATAAATATGACTTCCTCAAATGTTTATGCGCGTAAATAGTTCACAACAACCATAGCAATGGTAAAGTTGAAGTTCCACATTATGGTCAAACGATCACTTTGAAAATATATGATGTTTAAAGGCCGAGTTCAGTTCCCCTTTTCACCTGTCATTGAGCAACAGACAACTGAATGTTAATAATACATCCGCCCTGCTTTACTGTTACTGTTTTTTTATGTACAAATTCTGGAACAAGTCAATCAAAATTTCAGTTTTGATAAGCTTTACAGGATAAATAAACACATTTTCATGTGTGAACTAAATAAATCTATCTTGATGGGATATTTGAAAATACATGCTTGTTTGTTTTGACCATTACATTTGTATATGGCCACTGTATGGAACTGCTTTTCATAAACTATTTCTAAACTTAAAAATCAGCAGAGGAAAATTGAGCTCATTCATTCATTTCAGGGTTAAATCTGAGCATCTGAAACTTGAATCCCTCGGAAGAAAATATATCTTGTTTTTACATTTATCAATTTGAATAAGGTCCGAACACAAATCCATATTTAAATGATAATAGTGTCACAGTCACAAACTGAACCATATCAGTACAACCCAAAACACAGCAAAAAGTGATTCATTGCTCCTATCGGCTTTCTTCCTGTACGGACGCATGCTGTACAGGATATTAATCATAGCATGATCATCCAAATTCCCTATGAAAGGCCTAAAACAATGATCCAAGCTACACGGCGATTTGAAGAAGTACCTTCTCCTACTGCAATAGATGAGGTAGAGGTTTATTTAAAGATTTAGACAGGGGGGGGTGGGTGAGGAATGCGCCCAATGTGACGAGGCCTTCCTTTCATGCAGAGGCCTGCCGCTCTGCTCCCACTCATCCAGAGCACACAGCAGACTGCCGCCGCAAAGCCTGTTTGTAACCTGAGAACCACTTGTGACATTCAGGTTTCATCATGATCTCTGACGCACTACTGTTCAACTCGTTGCAGCCAACATCTGAGATATTACCTGTCCTATCCTACAGCGCGCCGAGTCGATCCACAACATCCCCCACCCCCACATGTATTCAGTGTAAGTTGCTCGGTTCTTTCGGTTCCCCATTTTATCCCGCACTTTGTTGTTTGGGTCGACTCTTTTGAGTGATGCCGATGCAGTTCAACCACAGAGTCTCATGGCCAGACTGACTCACTCCACCAGTCACTCATCACTGATATTGTACTGTATGTTTTAAAGCAGCTGTATTGTCTAGATGTCCCAGGTCTAACGAATATAACGTCTAGCAACAAACTTTTATCACCAGCAGCAGCTCAAAGCTAAAACTGTGTCATGCTGGATATAGTTCAGGCTTAGGCCCTGAAGTAGTTCATCTTGTATTATCTTGTCACACAAACGCAGACTATTTATACCTCTTAAGTGACAGCCAGCTGCCCTTGAAGACCACTGCACTGTGCATACCTCAATCGTGACTTCTTCACCTGGACTGCCGCTGTCTGGACCCAAAGACTCCTCCGTGGCCTCCTCGGCAGCATGAGCTGCGTCGCCGCTCCGCCCCGTGGACACGTCGACGCTCCCAAGTGGCAATTTATGAGCTGGCGGCTGGTCGGTGTGTGGAACTCGGTCTTCATGCTTGTGTTCATGTGGCTCGTGTGACTGTTGTTCTGTATCCACAGTCTCTGAAAGCTGTTTTGGTTTACCCACTTCCATGGACGCAACGTCTTCTGTGAGAAGCTCGCACACTTCATTTTGTTCTGGCTGCAGCCCAAACGACGGCAGCGTCGGAGCATGCGAGTGGTGAAACTCTCTCTTCTTGCTCTCGGTGTGGTCATGAGAGTCCTTCTTGCCTTTACCAAAGAAGAAGTCTTTGACTGTGTGCAGCACCGAGGAGATGGATGCCTGGATGTTTGGGTGGTCATGATCCTTATGAGCCTTGTTGTGATGTTTGACTTCTGATCTATGTTTTGTGTACGGGACTTGTGTGTGTGAAGTCTTCAAAACACTTTCCCTCTCTTTCTCGCTTTCTACAGCCATTTCTTCTTCTCTCCTCATCTTTCTCTCTTGCCCTTCTTCCAAGACTTTGTCTTGTTCTTCCACCATGTTTTGCATCCTCTCTTGCTCCTCCACTTTCTCTTCACTGACACTTGCAACAGGGATATCCATCTCTTTGGGTTTCTCCCCTCGAGATGAGCTCTGATTCTCCTCTGCAGCCTGCGACTGGAGAGTCTCTGCCAGAAATTGTGCCAAACCCATTCCTCCATCGTAAGAGTTCTCCCCCCCGACCCCCATCATGTTGGTTCTGCTGCTGCGTCTACTGCTGTTGTCCACCCCAGCATCTACTCCATTCGTGATCTTTATTTTCTTTTTGGCCGAGGTGTCCTCCGATGGCGATTTCTCATCCAGGTCTTTGGATGTCACAGTGACTGTTTCCTTGACTTCAGAGCAAACACCATTAGGTTCTGCTGCAGCTCCCAGTTGATCCTCGGCCTCGGGCTCCAGGACAGAAGGTCTATCTTCCTCTGCCGGGACGTGCCGCTTCCTTTGAGGACGTTCTGTGTTTTCCTTATCCCTCTTCTTGGTGTGATCCTCCAGATCTTTCTTCTTCTTCTCTGCTTTCTGCTTCAGCTTGGCGAAGAACCTCTGGTGAATCTGGAACTCGTTCATGGTGCCGACTTCCAAAACTCCAGAGCAGGAGACAATACCTTTACTATTGCTGGCTGAAACCTGATATATGGCGGCATCATCCAATGTGCACCTGAAAACAGAAACACTTATTAAGCTCATATTCTGCTCAGTGTTACAATTCTCAACAAAGAGCTTTTAATCATTTAATGCAATAGCTATTTGTGATACATACTTGTAAATATGGAGGGTGTGCGCTTTTCCATTACGGCAAATTTCATATTTTGGGAGTCCACAATAGCGATCCAGTTCCATATCATCTTTATACCATTTCAGTTCTGGAGCTGGGTAACCTAAAAGAAATTGATGCACAATTATTAACGGATTGCCTCTGGGTTATGAACATAACAGAGCACTCTATCAATGAATAGTTGTTACACAGAGTCCATGTCAATTTGGCTTGCACTAAATATGATTATGTTTGGGAAATGGTACAATAGAAAATACAGTATAGAAGCTTTGGCATGGATGTGTTTCTAGGTAGTCATGTTTGTGAACGGACACAACGTCTTGAAACAATTTCTTAATATGGTCTGCGGAGTTAAAGGATCAGTTCAGGAAGAATAATCAGTTACCTTCAAAAGTGAAATATTTCCTTTCTTTTCAGATCAGTCACATCCTGTCTATGTACGTACACAACAAATCTCAAAGGTTTCAGTTCCTCCGACATGCACAATGAAGAGACATGCAAATGGACAGACCCACCTGACACCACGCAGGTGAACTTCACGTTACAGTTCTCTGACACCGCCCTTGATTTCAAGGTGGTGTCAAAGGATGGCTGTATGTCCTCAGTCAGCTGAGCCATGACGCTGCACAACGTGCTCCTGGAAGCAAACACCGACACGTTAGAGAATTTATTTCTCTTGAGTCGTAAAAGGTTTTACATTGTTGAATAATTTCAGTGACCTCTTCGCCTGTGGGCGGTTCATTCCAGTGACTTGCTTGATTAAGAAACCAGGATGTTAATGGAGATTCCGTGTGGTGACGAGAATGTGAAAAACTTACAAAGGGGACTTGTGAGGTATCAAGCAAAACAAAGTTTTCAATCCAACACTAAAACCGCTGTTCATCACCGAAAAATTGAACGCAACACTGGACAAACTGGACATTTACATGACAGGTCAAACGCGGGTTTGTTTCATTCTTGAGCGCAACACGTTCTTGTGGTTAAGATGTTAGTTGGGAGGAATGTTTTAAAAACGTGGATTACCTCGTTGGCCTGTAGTGAGAATACCTTGAATAGCTATTCGGAGAGGAGGCAAATGAAGGAACGTCAATTATTAAGTTCTGCGTTTAACCCAATTAAATAGAATACTTTAATGACGGCTCTCCTCTTTCACAAAGAGAGCGTTGCTTTGTCTTTGTGGTTCGTAGACTGAAAACAGACACACACACGTAATTGATGGCATAGGACAACTGTTTGCTGAGCAATATAAAAAAAATCCTTGGTTTGACGTTTTTTAGATGTTTTTTACCACCATGCAATGTAGATACATAAACAGACCATAAAGAAACACCCGGTGCACATACACGGAGGGCAGGCGAGGCTCTCTACCTGTTTTCTGGCCTGACATTGGAGAGGTAAGGATTGCGGCTCTCTGTACGACCACTGGAAGAGCTGCCCTCCTCCTCACTGAAGCTGCTTGTCCTCCCGTTGCCAGAGAAAGAGCGAGTCATTGGCCGTCTGGAATTCATATTCCACTGGCAAAGTTCACAATATATTTCAAACTTTTGTTAAATGTATGACCCAGAGGGGGAAACTACTCCGTGTTGACGTCCACAGTTTGTCGAGGCTCAAATATGAGGGCGTTATTGATGTAAAAGCCGCTGCGGAAGAAAAAAAGAGAAATACCTTAGAATGGCACCTGTTGGAAGTTAATGCTTATATCGTCAAACACAATGTCAATCATTTCTTTATACAAAAGTCAAAAATACGGTTAAGTCTCAATGCTTGTCCTTTCTGAACAAGCGAAGTAATTTTGCATTAAAACAAGTTATAAATAGGTTCAGCTATCTTGTGTTAAACATGAACCAAAGACGTCTTATTAGCTTGTACGTGTTAGGAATACAATTCTGCTGTGTCTTAATCACCTTAAAACTAGATACTTGTTCCAACTTACCATCGAGATGTTGTCAATGTTGCTTTGGAGCCATAGTCTGTGAAGGAAATCTCTGTAACTGCCTATCATAGACACGCAAGTGTTGCCAGCAGGGGCCTATTTATAGCAGCCCCACAAATAGGTGTAGGAGCACATCAGATTTTCCAAGACTAAATTCAAGAAAAGAGTGTAAGAACCAAACTAAAATTAAAGTAAAAGCTAACTACTCAAATAAATCATTAATTAAATTAATTTCCTTGATGGTCATATCAATGTCACTGGTGTTGATCAGTCTTAAAGTTGTAAAAAGGGTGTCCGAACTTTGAGAGACTCTAGTGGAGTGGATGTGGACTTATGAAACATGTCTGTGTCCTTAGATGATGACAGCCAATAGTCTGTGTCCTGCTTTGCTTAAGAGTTACTTAGGGACAGGCCCCCTGCCTCTGTATTGCAACACATGGTCAAAACATGGAGACCTACTTACTGCTCAGGTTTCACACCAATTACACACAAACAGGTTGTGTCGATGAATAATAAAGGCCTTCTATGATTTGATGATTTAAGTGTATTTTTAAATATAGATGTTTATGTTATAGCATAGGTAGATCTAAATTTGCATTGTTTTAAACAGTTCTTAAATATTTTTATGCTGATCATTTATTACAGTTGTCATGAATTGCATTCATGATTATATACAATAGATTTCTATTTAACATGCCTTTTGTATTTTAATCACATTTGTCTTTCGGCCAATTTATTCATCAGAAGGAGATTCTTAAATCATCTTGTTTAATATAATAATACTAATAAAATGAAAGCTTCTACCAAAAAAAGAAATGCACTTGCTTTGTAACGAGGCTGACTGTTTTGTAAAAAGGCCACGTACATGTATTACAAAAGGGTTACTAAGAAATAACTATTCATTTATACACAGAAAATACAAAGTAAATATTAGTAACTGAACATTTTTGATTGGTCAATAAAAAAGGTATTTAAAAACTCACTATAAAGTCACAATACTCACTATATATTTTAGGACTATAACCCATGTCGCTCTATTAAAATGTGTAATTAGAAAAGAATAAAACAAGAATTATTCAGTCCAAAGGTCACATGAACTAAGATCTTAAGCAACTTGTGAGAATGAAAGAATAGAACAATAAAAAGGCTTCACCACATGGTGACAATATTTAGTTATAGTTAACAATGACCTATAGTTAATATTTTTTTCCTGTCTCAATTCCTTTCGCCCTGTGCTTCTACGTCACATTAAAAAGTGATTGTTACCGTAATGTCCAGAAACGAGGCCCAACCTGTATTCCCTTTACCTCATTCACATTGACTTATTCAGAGCAGCGTCCATCCGTTTGGACATCGTCTTAATTCAAGCCGTACTGTTTTAAAATAAAGTAAAATCTCTGTTTTTTTTACGGCGTGCAGAAGGTTAAAGACTATGAGATGCCCCTGTATTAGAGGCGTGTCGGCAATGTGTGTGTGTACTCCGCCTCATTCCGGGAAACCGAAAGTTTTTTTTCTATATGTGAAGTTGTGAAGTTTAAGAGGAAGAAAACATTCACTGTCTAGAATCCGACAGCTGCTCAACACGCACGAGGCTGACGGCAGGTATGCGTTGACACACGAGTGTTTGATACATCTTATGTACTAATCATTGTTATGTCTATATGATGGGCATTTTTGACAGAAAGTAGAGCATTGTATTGCCTGGACGGTACAATTAAAAAACTGAGTTCTTAGTGTCAGAGCTGGACTAATGGAAATTTTTGACTTCCCTTCTTACAGTCTGCTGCGCAATAATAATACTAATAATAATAACAAGATGCACTGATTGGATCCCGCAACCAACCCAGTCTAATGATGATCAGCGGTATGTAAAACCACAAGCAGTCACGTTTCATAAATTAATACGACACCGGATGACTGAGATTCTCGCTTAATTTGTTTCAGAAATTGTCATAGTGCGCCATCCTGTTTCTGTGTGTGTACCCGTGAACCACAGGGTGACTCTGAGTGTCCGCGCTGAGGGCACAGGTATCCTCAACTACCAGTGGTTCACTGATGATGACCAGGAGGTTCGTGGATTTCTTTTCGTGCATGTGTTTGCTTGGCAAAAAACTTTTCATTTGAAATGTATACATTCCTGTTGGCTGTCTTGAGCTCAGCTACAACACCAGATTAAATACAGGACTTACCACTTTAAAACAAATGACAAATCAATATGAGTTAAACGTTATATTGAGAAAAGATTGACCTACAAGAATGTTATCTTTTCTCGGTGAGTGATCCTGTACTCTGTTAAACATCCGTTTGTTTTCTTTTCAAGGTACTTGGAGGCACTGAAGCAGATTTGACCATCAAAGCTTTAAAAACTCAGCGCTATGTGTGTCGAGTGAATGACCACTTTTGTAACTGTGCGTTCAGCGAATGGGTGAAAGTGAAGGTTTTGGACATTGACAAGTCAGGTATGCATTACTTTTTTTGCTGCTTGTGGTTTTTGTTGTTGTTGTTTTATTTGCTTGCAATACGACCTCTGCCCATCAGTGGACGATCTATCAGCTTCATGCACATTGTTGGCATGTTTCCGTGGGTTTGAATCTCCATCTATCTATCTATCGTCAGGGTTACCAGAAAACTGGCTGGGTGAGCCTCACATCGCTGAAAACCCGAAGCCCCAAACCTTCCGTCAAGGAACGAAGTTCACGCTGTGCTGCGTTGCCTTCGGCATTCCCAGTCCGCACTATCAGTGGTACAGAAATGGACAGCCGCTGCCCAACAAGAGCGGTGGTACTCTGCAGGTAAGGAATGCGTGCTCACGTGGTGCTGAAAGTGATTGTTAGCACTGTGTACATTCAGTGGCTCTGAATCACGCACCCTTTTGCCTAATATTTAAGTTTTACTTTGTGAGTAATCTTACTTTTTGGGAGGGGGGGAGATAGCCAGAAAGACAAACAATGGGAGGAATGTAATGAACTGTGGTATCTGCAGATCAACCGTGCAACGGCTGAACATTGTGGATCCTACCTTTGCTCCATATCTAACGTGCTACAGGAGACTTGGACGGAAGCGGTTGATGTCGACATGGGTAGGTCATAACTCACACTACTGCTATCAACTCAGTTAAAGTCTTTCTTTTCCCAGTTTTATGTTTTTTTTTCTCAGAACTAATTTTCAATAAGAAATGCAGTGGAAAAAAAACAGTTTTTTCTATCACTCTTTTCCTTTCACTGATTTGGCTCTTAGAAGTTATTTCCATTATGCAGACGGTACTTTCCCATTTCTTCGCACTAAAAGGGAAGTTAGACTCCAAATAGTACTTGATCCGAGCCTTAAACACACAACAGGAAAGTGATGTAAAGTGAAACTACTTCAAGCAGTGGTTCTCCGGTTGGTAACTTGTGTTGTGGTATATACAACACGGATCATCCAAAGATGTATGTAAATTAATGACATTCTTATCTGTATCAGCTATGTCCTCTGGATGGAATCCCAGTGCATTAGATAGCATTAGAACCAATTATTGTTCATAAAACTGACTGTGTGAACCTCCTTTTTTTTTCTTTTCCTCCACTGCTAACAGATCAAAACCCAACGGCGGCACCCACAGGTACGGTTTTAGGGAAAGAATCTCAGCGTCAATCCTCTTAGAGCTGCTACAATAGAAAGCAATCACAAGAATTTCCTTGTGTAGCCATGATTTGGATTCTACTTTGATGTTTGTTCTAGCCACGGACAAAGTTGCCCTACTTATTGGCAACTTGAATTACTCCAATCACCCTCCCTTAATGGCCCCCATTATGGATGTGCACGAGTTGGCCAACCTCCTCCAGCAGCTCGGCTTCAGAGTGGTTTCCCTGCTGGATCTAACCAGGGAGGAGATGCTGGCGGCTATTGACAAGTTCATTCAGCTCCTTGACAGAGGAGTCTACGGTATGTACATCTTCATATTCTTAATTTTTTCTTCTAAATTAGCTACATTTGTGAGTTGATTCATGTATTAGAATGTCGTTGTCGTGGTAAAACCTGACATGGGTATTAAAAGATATTTCTGTTGCTGTACGCGTGTCATGGGTCATGAATCCCAGCGTGGTTCACCCTACCAGCAGCTTGACACGTACGTGGGCGGACGAGGGGTAAAAGAAGAAGTGTAGACGTTTTTAACCTTGCTCGATGCTTCCTATGTGGCCGGAACACGTTGAGAGCTACGAGCGTAGTATTTTATGGGGCTCATTCACAAATAGGCAAACAATCTAAATGCCTATCTTTCGGCATGGGATGCTATTGAAAAGCAGACAGATATGCTTATAACAGAAAGGATATTGATGATTAAATAGAAGCAGTAATTACAGACCTGACACACTGCATCAGCGTGACTCTGCTGCTATTCTCCACTTTCTCTCAGTAATACTGAAACGAATGTGGGACAACTCTTGTGTTTTGAAAGTTGTCATTCTGCATAGGAATCCAGGGTTTCCCATAGTTTACAGCTTTGGGTGGGGGGCGCGGACACCGACACAGTTTCCGACACACACACGTTCTCTCCACTGGTGGAAGTACGCTCACCCGTGCACCTGCGCACATTGGGGCCCAGTGAGCCCTTTCTCTAAGCTGCTCCAAACATTGCGTACATGTTCAATGCAAAATGTTTTAATTGTGAGTGGTAACTGTATGATTTTAAAACCCCCTTGACAGGCCTTTTTTACTATGCGGGTCACGGATACGAGCGTGTTGGGAGGAATTACTTGGTGGCCGTTGACGCGCCCCAACCATACCAACCAGAAAACTGCGTCTGTGTGCAGAGGGTCATGCTCAGCATGCAGGAAAAGCAGACTGCACTGAGCGTAATTCTCCTGGACACCTGTAGAAAATGGTAAGCACCAGTTATGTAAACGTATATTCTGTATCATACATATGTACATACATATTACATGCTGTACATATAGTAGATTTGATCATATTATGCAAGTTAGCAGGATTTATTTTGACTGCTGCAGTCTGTATTTTTCCATCCAAAGGTACAACCAGGATTGCATAACTTCAGGCATCATGCCATTGGGACCCAGTGGGAACACTGTTTACGGTTATGCCACGTATGTACTTTTAATTAGCCCTTTTAAAAAATATTTAATCACAAATACAGAAACCAATATACATTTCTTCAGTTAACAAACTGGGGAATAGAAAGTTAAGCTTATTAAAAAAGCAGGACTATTCCCTTCGCTATCTGTTTTTTTTCAAAATAATTTCCTTTGCTAACTAGATGTGAAGATGCTGAGGCGTACGAGGTCCAGGATGGAGGGAAAAGTACCGGAATCTTCACTAAATACTTGAACAAGCACATCTTACACACAGAGAAGGTCACGCACGTCTTAGAGAAGGTGTCCGAGGGTAAGTTGATTAAATAGGACTTTAGGGTTTTAGGGTTCTGAGAACATGACAATGAGTCCCAAAAAAATTAATCTTTACTTTGTTCAAAAATGATAAAAATGGGTAGTTTATCAACCGTGGAAGAAGAAAAAGAGCTTGCTTGTTTGTTTTTTTAAACTTTCATTCACTCAGTAGGTTGACAGTTCTGGTAGGTTTTGGGTAAACAGATCTGAAGAGAACAGGTCGTTCTTTGGTACACCGGGACGGACCACAGACAAGGTTTTATAATGGGTTTGGCAATTCATTTTATTGTTGTTTACTCCGAACTAGTACGCATGGCTTTGACAGAGTGACAAGTTGTCCCGAAATCGAGAGTGTGTTTGTCTGGTTGAATAATCTTTCGAGGTACCATGAGCATGTGACCTCATTCTCTGGAAATTCACACTATTGGCCAGAGAACAGCAGCAGGAAACCTGAGAGCTGCAGAGCGCACGGCAGCTGCTGTGCCGTTGGTTCCCTGCCGCTCTGTTCACACGCCGGCCTGCTGACAGAGAACTCTGTGGTTATATTTAGATGAACAAATGAACCCGGATTGTGACATTCTTAAAACCGGGTTAAATGCTTTTTACTTTTTTATTTAAAGCGCTGCAGCCACAATGTGTGCAGTGAGTGGAAGTTTCTTAAGCCTGTTTTTTTTTTATGTTTCTGCTGTCTGGGACGGATTTAGAGATGGAAAAAGAGCTGATGACGATGGGCCGCTGGTCGCTCGTCCGTTAGAGCGAAGACAGCTTGCCCCAAATATTCGTAATGCCATATCCTCTCAAAAGCCAAGCTTAAATCTATGTTCAATTATTTAAATATGGTTTCACTGCTGGCCCTCCATTCCCCCCCGTGAACCGAACGAATCATTCCTTTGTTGACACGTTTTTTCCCTTGTTAATAGGGGTTTTCCAAAACCCATTTAGCCAGTGTGACCTGTTAATACTGACTATCTAACTTTAAGAATTTCCCTGAGTTCCTCAAAGCCAGCCAAGTGTATCTGATGCAGTTTGCCTCTCTGCTACGTCATAGCATGAATTGGTTATTGTATTAACATCAAAGGGAACTGAGTTTGAAAGGGGAAAACACTGTAAATAATTAAATTAAATTATATATTATATTATACTATACAATATAGAGTTTTGTCTTCAGCTCTTATAGGCGTTATATTTACCGATATTTTCCTCTCTCCTCACCAGATCTAGGCAGAGACCCTCTAGTCAAAGGAAAGCAGCAGGTGGAGATCAAACACACCCTGAAGGAACCTCGATCCCTTGCAGACCCGGTTCGCACCACCGGCCACACAAGGGAGCTTCACAAGAGAGAGGCCTGCTGGAGACAAGCAAATGGTGAGTGAAGGAACATCTGTTCCTATATTTATAAAACTGTAGGTCAAAGAGCATTCCAGAAAAGGGCTACGTAAAATCCACATTAACATTTTTTTCTTTTAAGAAAACCACAGTTCCACTTCGTCACCTTGATTGTGTGATAAACCTCTTTATTCTCATCCACACCTCCTACACTACAGCATGTAACAAACCAACTGCAGACTTTGTGGTTGATTGTGATATTTTCATTGATTTGTAAGTCAAACAAGGAACTGGTGGACTCTACCAAGCTTATTTTCCTGTTTGATGGAGGGAATTTGGCTTTTGACACATCCTCAAATGAACCCAAACCCAATTATGATAAAAGAGTCAGAGAATCGCCTCAGTCTCTGTCAGACTACATGAAAGATAAAAAGCTCTGTGTCGCAAATGAACAGATGAAAGTTGTCCTTGGTCCAGGGTTTGGAAATCAGCTACCCTAGCTCAATGTTTGTATACCATAATAAAACAAAAGTGCAGTCCTATTAAAACAGTTGTGGAGCATTTTATATTGTCATAATATTAAACATCCCTATAAAACATATAAATATAAAACATCCCTTTTTCATGTACCCTTTCAGAGCTACCACCGAAGAAGCAGCTGATGTTTGTCTGCGGAGTAGAAGTGGAAGTGAGCTTCTCGGCTTTGTTCTCTAATGTTTTGGTGGCCTTTGCCACTGTAAAGACGAAAGGCCCCCAAACCGAGGACCTCACCCTCACCCTGAGTAGCATTCCTGTAAGTATTTCATTTTTACTTCAAAACTATGCTTTCATGTTCATTCTCAACCAGATAAGAACCACAAAATGTCCGTACAGTGAAACTCTTGAGCCACGGCACTTTTGAGAAACACACTAGAGGTAAAAAATAAATGTATAATATACAAAGATTTCAACGTTACAGCCCTTTTCCTTAAGTCACTAACTGCTAGTTACATCTACATCATAAGTTCCACGTTGCTCACCCGGTTTCCACGAGTCAGCAAAAATGTTTTGACGATGACCATTCGACGCACATTTCATGGCTGAGGAAATTCCGCCCATATATGGATTTCCAGTTTCACATGTCTGAGGAAGTTCTGCCCATATATGCACTTCCAGTTTGCTGCAGAAGCATACAAAGCAGGATGTGGTGATAGTAATCTGTTGTACTTCTCTTAGTCATTTATCCATGCGGAATCTTGTCCTATACTGATATCTAGTGGCTGATTTATGAATCCATCAGTGTCGTATTGCATTTCATGCGGTGAGTGCCGAATCAGTGTGAATACAGTACATGTTCACTAGGAGTGAAATTATACATGTTGTACAGTTTCTTAAAATTTGTGATAGTGCTGACAATGTTTTTTCTGCTTTAAATCCTTAGTCAATGGAAGACATATTCTCCAGCGCCGGCCGCTCAGAGGAGATGGACTCTCTACTATTTAATAGATCTGATAACCCGGACTGTACAATACAACTTTGTGCTCTTCAAAAGCTCACGGTACGCAGATTATGAAATGCGTCTTGATTCTGAAGTATCAAAACACAGCAAGTCAGTGAAGCAAATGTATGATATTGTCTTTTTGTTTGCATTTGTTAGAAAACGCTGGTCATCAAGGTGGAGCTACACTATACTAACATGGAGACGAGACAGCGGCAGACAGACAGACAACAGGTGGACATAGGAAGGCCTCTGGTGGCATCCTGTAAACTGTACACGAGAAGTCACGCCGCAACAGCCAAGAAACAAGAAGTTGCTTCTGCTCAAAGTCTGGGCGCCGTTGCAAGCAGCAAACCGAAGCTGCGTCAGACCCCTGCTGGTCCGTGTCGCCCTTTCACCAGGAAGGCAGAGTGTGCTGCTAAAGTTGCTGTAACAAGGAGCAACGAACCAGAAGAGAATGATGAAAATGAACTGCAATTCTTGACTCTCCTGGATTAGACCCCTTTTGGTCCAATTGTAAATACTATACTAAATAGTTTGAAAATGTGATGCTTTTTACTGACGGGATTAGAGTTGCTGAATCGTGCATTTTAATCATCTGTGGTTGATTGTGACGATGAATGACTGGAGTTTGTGTTTGGTTAGTGGTACTGGCCATCAATTCTTATCTAAACACTGAAAAAACATGAACACTTAACTACTTTTCATAATCGCTGGATTTCATTGCTTTTTGTAAATACTTTTTCATCAGTGGCAAGCTGGCCAGCCTAATTTAACAAATATAAAAAATGTCTGTTATAAGTTATATTCAATAAAGACCACTACTTACATTACCATTATATTTTCCCTTCATCCTCCACTTTTTTATTCCAGTCAAAACAACATGGAGATCCGTTGATCCAGATTGACAATGATACATTAGTGTGACCATCGTCGTGTTTGTGTTTGATATTACCAACTCATCGACCTGCAGCCCCGCTAGCTCGCCGTGATCGTATAGTGGTTAGTACTCTGCGTTGTGGCCGCAGCAACCCCGGTTCGAATCCGGGTCACGGCATGTAACTCGTACGTAGCCACGGACGAGATACTTTCACAGCTTTTCAAATATTAACAACATTGCCTATCGTTTAATCCTCCCATATACTGAAATAAAAAAAATTCTACCCAAATAAAGCCATATTTCATTTTACGATGACGATTCAGTAAATGTAGCTATTAGTCCTAAGTGAGTGGGCAAAATATAGTAAAATGATACCTCCCATGATCTTGGAGATCCTCCCACTGAGAGACCCCAGTTGGTCGTCACAACAAACCACTGATCTGACGTCTGCTTAAATCGCACCAGCGATAACTGGCCTGCAGGTGACAGTAGAATACATTCAATATTCACACACTTTAGGAAGAAGATTGATAAATAGAGCCTGCCCGCTTCAAGGATGCCTTACCTACGTTTGACCAACTATGTATGTTTAAACAAACAACAGCCAACACGTTTAGCTCGGTATGGACACTGCGAGAGATATTTTTTATTTAGATTGTTAATGGTTTGTTTCGATCTCATAGCCAAGGTTTCCGGAGTATTACTGATGTTTATGCATTTATTTTACCATCCCAGCATCATATTCAAATTGGGTAATGCACTGCAACTAACATTGCAATTACAAAAAAACAACTACCGTCCATTCACTTGATTTTTCACAAACAGCAGAACATATAGTTATTACTCAAGTTATAGGTAGCTGTTACTCAGAATTGCGAGGTAAGAAAAACAATATTTTGTATTGGATATTAAACCTCAGCGAAAGACGCCTCACACGCTCCCGTTGGTTCACTCTGACGTCAGTCCTCACCGGGACCCGCCCACTCGCTCGAGTGGCGGCGGTGAATGGTGAGAGATAATCCCCCCCCCAGCTCCCCCCACCCCCTTACACACACACACAAGGCTGAGCAGCCTCAGGATCTAGATGCGGGCATCCTTGGTTTCTTCTTCCCCTTTCCCCGGGCCCCCGTTGCACAAAAAAAACAAAACTTAACGGGACAACAATGGTGCACGCCTCGGCGGAAGGATCCGTGGGCGCCGGTCATTTAAGGGACCGGGGATCGTTCTCGATGTGACGTTCGCCAGCACGCCGGTGTTGAGTTTATTGTTCTGGTCCTAGACGCGGCTGCGCAGCGATTCTCTGAGAAGATGTTGAGCCGGTTCATGAGCGGCAGCATCAGGAATCTTGAGCGGGAATACAGCTGCACCGTCCGGCTGCTGGATGATACGGAATACACGTGCACCATTCAGGTGAGTCACCTGTCGACCCCCACCCCCCCATACACACACAGCTCCACGCACAGCGATGCGATGGTGTACGACCTGGCAGAAGACGTCCCGCTGCCCGTGTCTACCGGGAGACAATGCATGGATAGGATTATGCGGAGTTTATATTTGTAATTTAAAAATAACGCAAGGCAGGCTTTAAAAAACAAAGCATGTTTAGGGGACATGCCAGGTCCCTCCTGCTCAGGTTGACGGGGTGTCAAAATCGCACCACGCTGAAATACATGACTGAAAGGGCGTTGTGGCAGGATTGTTTTTCTCATGTCATGTTTTTCTCTCTCCTAGTTCCATGTCGCATTACTGCTTGTTGATATGAATGACCAATTATCGAGTGGCGCTTGTGCAACTTCCCATGAACCACTGACATCAATAATGCACATAAGGGATCCTGTCGCTGCACTTGGGAAAACACCAATGTGGCCCTTCCAGGTGTAAGCTGGCAGAACAAATGTGTAGTATAACCACCACTCAGTGGGGGGAAAAACCAATTGAAATAGTCAGCAGACATGTATTGCTTGTAAAGATGAAAACAAAGCGAGGTCCCGATAAGATGCGCCCTTTGTCTCTCCACTACAAGCACTGCTTTGATGACTGTGGATTTTTATGTTCATGCTGATTTCCTTAGAAAGTAGATGAGAGGGCCTGTCACTTCAACATCGTCCCCTTTGTGGATGCTGTGCTGTTTGTAGTTGAGGAGTGTAAGAAAATCCTAAGAGAATTCTCTGACTAGTCAGCAACATGAAGACCCATTCAATTTTCTCCACAACATACCAAGGGGACATTTAACCTGCAGTCTAAAGCAATTAAACATTAATAAGACACGCAGGATTCTTGCCTCTTTTGATACTGGTTATCAGCTGTACAGCAATAGCTCCTCTTCTCTCCCGGGAGCAAGCGTGAAATAGATTTTGTAGGATGGTGAGTGAGCGCCCAGGTTGTAAAGAGACCTGCGTTTCTGCTTAGTGAGCCGAGCCAGCGATGGACCCGGTCCAGGTGGACTGTGAAGCCAGCAGGTGTGCTGTTTGCGGCAGAGTCGTGTGGCTGACGTCAGCGGGCTGGAAGATGTGGAGGGAAAGCGGAGAATACTCCGCCTGTGCTTTGCCTGTGTGGCTTCCCGACCATCGGTTCGGTGTTCCCTGACTGTGGGAGGGAGCATGCTAATCCACCTGAACAACCATGTACGGCTACATCTTAGTACTCATTTAGTTCAAACTTTTGCTCTTTTTTCCCATCCGAGCTCCTGGCATGCTAAAAAAAACCCAAATGACCCAGGATGCCTACTGAGAAACACAAAGGAAGAGGCATAACTAGGTCATCATTTATTTTTCTCTATGTGTTTATGTCTGCTCCTCTTTCTCTTTTTCACCTTCCTATCCTGTTTCACGCGGGGGAGAATCTATTCCCACCAGACCTGTTTCCCTTAAACTGTTTGATGGCTCCAAATTCAGATTTGCTCCTGACTTATGGCCCCGTTCTGTTCTCTGACATCAAATCCTATCGCCTTCCTCCATGACAGAGACATCCCCTCTACATTTATGAAACACCACCCTCAGCACAAATGTCCTCTGCAGAAACTTGCATACAAAATATGCATGTGCTGTTGCTGAGCATTGCACGCTTTCAAGGGCACAAAATGTGTCCATCTTTAAGTTTTGCTTTAATGAATTATGGATCCTCCTGCTATGTTTGGAGGAGGAAACATTGAGCACTCATCATTACACAGACCTGTAGATTTTGCTCTCATCCAGGTTGATGGAAGTGCCCGAATTCCTCTGTTGGCCGCAGGCCTCTTCTGCTGCGATTTTAATGCAATGTAACAGCAGAGAGGCAGCGGTGTCTGTTATTTGTGTCACGTCTGTGTCACGTCTGAATAACAGGTGAATCTCATGTAAAGAAAATACAATATGCCCAATCAAATGCAACAATCAAGTGGATTCCCCTTCTAAAAATACACTATACGCTCTTATTTGTTTGTGGTGTTTAACTCGCTACTCGCGTGGCTGTTGTAGAGAGTGAGGAACCACACAGACCCTGTCCTGAAATACACATATACATACATTACGTAGACACCCTGTGTTTTGTCATCGTGCCTTTAATTAATAACGGCTTCACTGAACGTCTGTCTGCACGGTGACCTGCTCCTTTCCAGCTGCAGAGTTAATGATAGCCTGCACACTGTGAAACGTGTGATTTTATCATAGCGTTCTAATAAGGTGTTTCCTTTTAGGATTTTACAACAACCAGCTTTCAGGTCAATAATCCTCCCTGAAGTAAAAAAAACAAAACAAACATAAAAAACGATATGTGTGTCATGAAGTGTGCACCAAGATCATTAAAGCTGGTGGAAGACTTTCCTTTTCACTGGTGACCAAGGCCGAACCAAATCTCCTTAGGGCTGCTAATATGTCGGTGAGGAGACGACCGGGGGTTGGGAGCCCGTGTGTGTGTGTGTGTGTGTGTTTGTATTGAGGATACTTTACTCTGAAACATGGGCCCAGGGTCTCAGCTGTTGCTACGGTAACTCCACAGTTACCCTAACACAATGTGAGATCACTCACTGCTCAGGATCCCCCCCTTCCAAAAGCCACAAACACTCTGCCTTCAGCGCTGACGGGAAGTTAATTTATCTCCTGAATGCCATTTGAGGGCAGTGGTGGTGATGTAACTGCACACTCACACCAACTGGGAAAATCTTCTGGGAAACTTCCCTACTGATCCCCCTAACACACATTCATCTTTTTTTTTTATACCTTCTTTGATGTCACTGTCATCATAGATAATCTGCATTTAAAACTCATATGATTATCTAGATGTGTCAGAAAATTGGCAATTGCATTCTTGGCTGGGAATCTTTGAAGTACTTTTTGATACTAGTGCAGCTGCAATACCTGAGCTGTTGTAGTTCTAACAGTTCTACTTCTGACACTTGACTGATCCCTGGCGACTGAAGGTCCTTCAGGTCCTTCGTATACTATGTCATCCAAAGTAGGAAGTCAGCATACTTCGGCGAGCATCTGTGTGCAGGTGTGTGTGTGTGTGTGTTCAGAGACCAGCGAGGCTGACACACTGAGCTTCATATGAATGATTAAAATGTGTGCTAGGCCTGAATGTTTCATGAAGAGTAACCTCCGGAGAACGTCACTTGTGTTTACCAGCATCACTGCGCACCAGCATCACGATTGGCTGAACCTGTGGCGCATGGCTGGTTGCGATTAGGGATTACATCACCGTGGCTTCTACCCAGCAGGGCAGGGCGGGACGGCCCCTTGCAGCCCTCTCCGATCTCTCCCGTGGGGATTTGACATGTGGGAGCACTCTCTTGCCAGTTGTACTTTATCACTCACGTCCTTTCTATAAAAATAGGGATTGTGAATTGTGTCAAGGTTGTAAAGTGCTCATGCTCTTTTGCTGCCTTTCGAATGTGGGTCCTTGATCTTCAGCTGTGTGTGTTTTTACTGTCTCCCACACCGCTCTGATACTCCGGCGGGATATTACTGGGGACTCCAAAATTGCTTGACCTGCATTGGCTTACTGGGATTAATGTGGGAGCTTATAGCTGAAGATGAGATGCCAAATGTTTTTGCCTATGCACCCATTAAAAGCTCACACAGACACCTTTTCTCTATTTGTCCCACTGCATCGAATCAAAGGTTCTAAATTGTAAATGGACTGTATGACGCTTTTCTAGTCTTTTGACCCCTCAAAGCACTTTCACACTGCATGTCACCTAATTCACCCACTACCACCCGTTTACGCGCGGATGGCGTGGGCTACCGTGCAGGGTGCCCCCTGCCCACCAGGACCGTTATTAACCATTCATACCAATTCGTACACTGAAGGCACAGCTTGTTGGAGCCATTTGGGTTTAAGTGTCTCGTCGGAGGACACGTCGACATGGACTACTGGAGCCGTCGATTGAACCACCGATTGAATTGATCGGAGGAAAACCCTATTCTACTACTACATGAGCAGGGTAGAGCCCCTGAATGTGGTTGCAGAACTTGTCCCTCTCATATTCCCCATTGTCTCTTTGTGTGTGGGCTGGATAGAGAGCAGGCAGGCAGTCTGTCAGTGTGTTGGTGGCAGTCTGCTGAGCTCGCCATTGTGTTCTCTGGGATGTATTGTGTGACGGAGAGAAACGCAGCGGGGCCTGGGGTTATTCTCCACCTGGAAGCCTGAATGTTAAACCTCCTCCAAGAGCAGTAGATTGCTATTCACAGCACTGTACGCCAAAACCACCAGACACAAAAACAGTTTATGTCCTCGGGCCGTCTCTCTGATGAACAGCTAATCAGTCAGCCGGTACCTGAATAGCACCATTACCACTATCTGCACCTTGATCCGTATCCAATGTCGCTGTTGTACGCTCGTGTATACATATATCAGCCAATGGTTCACTTTAACACACCATAGCCTGCAGCTAGCGTAATGCAAACAGATTGCACAGCTTGCTGGTGATCTCTATATACTTCAGTGGCTTTATAAATGAGTTAACACGTGCAGTGCAACTCTTGGTGGGGATTGCAGAGGAGAGCCTCGGAAAGCTCAACTCATTTAAACGGGTGAAAAAATGTGTTGCTTTGAACAATTACAGATAACAAAGGGTGTTTTGTAACCTGCAGCTATGATGCACAGGAGTCATGCCCTCAAACTCGCTGGCACCTCAAGCCAGAGAGTGAATCAGATAAGGGCTGCCTTCAAACGCTGACCTACAAAATGTGTGAGCACAATTTGCTCTCGAACGGCATTTTAATGCAATGGCACATCAGGCTCAGCAATAAGTGTATCAGGACAAAACAACAACCGTGGCTTATATTGAGTTATGTTTCATAATGAGACACAATAGGGTGCAGAGAATTTTCTGTACAGCCGTAATGTTTTGTTTATAGACCATATAGCATCCTCAACCACTTTGCAGACTGCTGCCAATGGAGGGCACGGATGGCTGATTTTATATCAGGGAT